AAGTTCAAGATTGGTGAAAATTTGAGTTTGAATTAAGTTTGGAAATATCTTGTCCATGAACATTCGGTGTCCTATTTTTATTTTTTTTAAAACTCAGATACGCCATATATAGCTTTATTGATTACAGCATTGAACCAACAGGGTTTCTCAATTGCAAGATGAGTTAAAGGCCTATCTAAATCCAGTCAATCATAAACCACACATTTAAAGGTGTTATGCTTGGTTGACATTAATTTTCATATTTTTCAGCATCTTTTTCACAATTCATGACTTCCCTGTACATAAGTATATGCATGTTCAGGAATGGAATGTTTGTTATACCAGTAAACATGTTTTACACTGATATAAAATCATTTGACAGAAGTACTTGAAAGCTAATTAAATAAGTAAGGAAGAAGGTTAAAAAGAAATATTTTACCGATTTATATTTACGAGCTCTCAAAAGGAAGCAAATTAAAGGGTTGAAAAAATTAACTTGATTGGCTGTTTGACCAAACTCTTATGTGCTTGAATTGCTTTTAACTTCAATATCAAGTTGTCACTTGTGCTTATATTGCTAATTTACATAAAATACTTATCAAAATACAAACATAATTGTATAGATTGAGACTGTCATTTAAAGTCATGCGATTTTTTTTCACAAAAGAAATAAACAGTTTTTTTCTTACTTCCTCTCCCGTTATGGCTAGTAACAAGTATTGGGCATGTTTTCTACTCCTGTTTGGAAGATGCGCCTCTTATGGTTTGGATTTTTTATTATTTCATTTACATTTATTTACTGGATTATTCCTGATTGTGAAATATGATAGATGAAGTTAATTTTTAATATAAGAAATTTTTGATATCGGAAATACGCGTTGGCTTAATTACAACTGAAAGTTATTCATGGATATTTTTATGAAGTAATATGTAGATTATTCTTTTTTATATCAAAGGTAAGTCTTAATATACTGGGATTATTATATAATTGTATATTTACTTAGATTCACAAATTGACTTTAAGGAGCAATGTCACTCCACATACACACACACATCTCTCTCTCTCTCTCTCTCTCTCTCTCTCTCTCTCTCTCTCTCTCTCTCTCTCATAGAACTTTATTTTTTAATGTTTGTTAGTAAAGTATTTATTTTAATGTTTGTTAGTAAAGTATTTATTTTAATGTTTGTTAGTAAAGTATTTATTTTAATGTTTGTTAGTAAAGTATTTATTTTAATGTTTGTTAGTAAAGTATTTATTTTAATGTTTGTTAGTAAAGTATTTATTTTAAAGTCTGTCCGTATAGTAAATGTTCATTCTGATTTTTTGCAAGTTAAAACTTGATGTACAATGTAAAATGCGCTAGTTAAGTATGAATGTCATAAAATCAGGGACATTTGTGTGTACAAACATGCATTCATCTAACATTGACTACAAAGGACTACAAACAATAGCTTTGTTTTGCCAATTATATACAGACTATTTTTTGAAATAAACATAAGAAACATATTTAATTAAAAATAATATTAAAATGTATTATAAATTGTTATGTTTATAGAGCAATTTAAATTCATATCAATGCATATCTTATTTCACTGAGGAAATTCGGTTACATTTTATAGTTTGTTTTCATTCGAAATATCAATAAATTAACACTTATAATAGAAATGTCAACCAACTGCTGATCAATTACCGATGAGGAATATTTTGCATTAAATAATAATGTATACCTGCAAATATACCTGCAAATGAGCCAAATTATGAATGAGGGGAATCAGGAATAAATGTTCGCTTTTCTGTGGTTTCTTGAAAATGTAATTAAACCTAAAAAGCGAAGTTTTGGAGCTTTGCTACCAAGTTTGATGCATCTGCAATGTGTTTGGATTTCAATTAATTTCATCAATATTCTTACAATTATGAAATAGATTTATATTGTTTGACATTTATTTTTACACCAATATATCCATTTTTAGAAAACTTATGCAGAAAAACAGATATAATTGCATCACAAAGTTCAGACAGAGGAGGTCTTCCTGCAACAAAAGCTGTTGATGGGAATTACAATCAGAGATCATATTTAGAGTGCTCACACACTGAACCTCACAAAGCAATAGCGTGGTTTCAGGTTGACCTGAGGAGACCCTACAGAGTGAACTCTGTGACAATATATTACAGGAATGGTAAGTACATAGCTAAATCTATTATGACCAACCTTCTGAAGATAGTAATTTGATTTTGAAATCTTATTTCACTGAGAAGTTACTTTTTACGTGATTTGATTGACCTCTTTTGAAAGCTCTAGATTACATAAATCTACAAACATTAAGTTTCAAAGTAGCCATTCAAACGTTTCAATTTCTCTATCAACATAATATCAACTCAGTTCTATGTAATAAATATGTCTATTAATAAAATAATCAAGAGTTGACATTCCAAGCACAAATACATTAGCTCTCTATACTTTTTATCGAAAACTTATTGATATTGAATTCCAAGAACTTAACTGTTTCAATTTTGTTAAAATATATATAATGATTTCCTTTGAATCCGCTTTCACCGTCGCTCTTCGTTATATTTATTTAATAAAATTTAAAATCAACATACGTGTATATTGATATGTACTTTTATAATTACCGATCAACAAATATACTCCTTCAAATGATCCCACCTTGCCCAATGATTTTAGAGGTCCGTAAATCCTATGCTTTAAATTGGCATTATTGTCATCCGCTTTTGCCAGAGCGAGGGGACATTAAATCTCATTCGTCTGTCCGTCTGTCAGTCTGTGGTTCTGTCCGTCCGTCACAAAAACCTTAGCCATATCTTTCGAATGAGAATAGATAGGGCTTTCATATTACACATGTATATTACCTGTGACAAGACATTTTTAAGGTATGATTTTAACACTATGATTTTTTTACCCTGTGACCTTGCCCTTGAAGTTTGACCTACTCGTAAAACTTGAAACATTACTTTGAATTGGCCATAACTTCCTATTTCATAACTGAATGAGAAGTTTGACCTACTTTTCAAAAACTTTAATCTTGGTCATGACTTTTGAATAATAAGAGATAGAGTTATAAACTTGTGTAATGCGTGTGTCAAGACCTTTCTAAATACATAATTATATAAATCATTTGATTAGATAGAAATTACATTGTAAAATTTGAAAACCAGCATGTCTCTTCATCAAGAAGAATTCAAAAAACGCCAAAAACAACGATGTGAAAGTTACTAAAACTTTTCACCCTTGACAGTTATTGTGAAAGCAGCGTAACTTACTTTTTAAAGTCTTTAAATTGTTCTCTTAACAGTAAAGCGCATATCACTGTGAAGTCTTTCTTAAAATCCAGAAAACAAAAAAGGACCAGGCACTTAATGTGTTTCTCCGACTCAAAAGTGTCAAAGTCTCAACAACTCAGAAACTCTTTGCTCTTTACATTTTTTTGTCAAAATTGTCTATCTACTCGATGCTCGCTATTTTTTTTTTTTTTTGCAAAGAGAACTATCTGATCATGAGAGTGTTGTCAATTTGAACGTTTGAATTGTACATCGAAAAGTGTACAGCTACATACTGATACTAGTGAACAACAGTATTGATAAAGTCTATATTTTTGAATGACCTCATAAAGCATATATGAACACATTTAACTTATGGCCACAAATTCAGAATAATTCTTGTAATAAATACATGTCTACTTTTTTTTATTGTTTGATACTTTAAATTTCGTGAAATATTAAAAGGAAAATATGGGTACAATGAAACATAATGACGAGAATATTTTGAGAAGTCAATGTCTTCTTTTAGTTATTTTTGTTGTTGTTGTTGTTGAATTGATGTGACGGACAATTAATTATATAATATATTGTCTATTTTGTACACTTAGAAGGTAAATGGAAACCTTACCGATTTCGTCAGTTTTACTTGGATGTATCAAATACATCAGCAGCTGTCTCCACCACATCAACACCACAGAGGGTTCGATGCTACAAAGATAACACTACATACCCAGCCACACCCTCTGCTGTGATTGACATTCCTTGTAAACAGACAGCACGATACGTCATCATAGAAACCACGTATGATGCTCGTGAAAACGATGCAGAGACTGGACCTATGCTAGAAATCTGTGAAATAGATATTTATGGTAACGGCATGCATACAGATATTACAAAAATGAGACATTATATGAACTATTTTAAGCAATCTATTTTTAATAAGTAAGCAAAATGATAATACGAATGCGCATGAATACAACCACTTTATCAAAAATAACTAAAGTGTCACTGAATATACTAAAAAGAGTAAATCTGAATTGTTACTCCCAATATTAGAATTAGAAGGTTCAAGCAGGGTGTCTGAGATCATTAAAATAGTATTAAATATCTAATAATTAAAATCAGTTTTGATGTTTTGTTGCGAATTCTATATGAACTTTAAAACTTAGTTTATAAACTTTATAAACTATTTATCTGCATAATATATCTCAGGATGCCGTACAGAATGTTTCGGGAACACTTGCTATGCAAATGGTGCATGCGACACGTGTGGTGGGGGTCACTGGGGACAAACCTGTCAATACAACTGCTCTTCGAATTGTTATATGGGATCTTGTGACAAATACAACGGATCCTGTAATCGTGGGTGTGAGCCTGGATTCTGGGGAGTTGATTGTACAGAGAGATGTAGTGAACGTTGTATGGATGCGATTTGTAGTTATAGCAATGGAACATGTATCAGAGGATGCAAAGCCAATTTTACAGGAACTATGTGTCAAAGTAAGAATGACCATTTTAAATAAAGAGCACCAATTGCAAAGGTTTCCTAAAGAAAATTTAACTAAATTTTGTTGATTTTGCAATCAAATTTTTTAATTGAGCAAACTTTTGCATTTTAACAACAACTAAGCCGGTTTCTCATTTTTGTAAACGATATAAAATTAACAACCAATAGTATCTTTGCATAAAAACTTTAAAGATCAATGTTAGGATTATCATTTCTTAAAAACCTTACTTTTGACAGGTTGTATACCGGCCCGTTACGGAGAGGACTGTGAGAAGCCCTGTAGCGTTAACTGTATTAACGGAACCTGTCATGGAAACAATGGAACATGTACCTTAGGTTGTGATGGAAATTACATTGACGCCAAATGCATGAAATGTAACCGTCATTAATTGTTTCATGTTAAATATTTTTCTCATTTTTTTTTCAACTCAGACGACTTAGTTAATAGAGAGATATGATTAGATTGGTTCTTTTGAAGCATATTTTGTGTGTGTTAGGTGTGAGTAAGGTTAGGGTGTTTAGAGGATCATGTGAAAGTTGTCTAAGAATGTTTGTGAGGGAGAATGAATGTGTGTAAAGAAGGCAATATATTAAATAATATATGGGTAAAAGTACCTAATTCTTCAATAAAGAGTGGAATTTTAGGTACATCAGTACATGTAATTCAAAGAAAAGTATAATATCTTCTGAAATACGAAATATGTTCAACGACAATATATAAGCGATTCAATACAATTATCTTTCTTTTTTTAGATTTGACGGCTCCGTTTAAAGATAATTATTCAATTTTGAGTTCCACGCAAATCATGTACATTGGTTCCGCTGTTAGTGCTGTTCTGCTATGTTTAGTTGTAGTAGTACTAGTCATTTACGTCAGGTAATCAATTTAAAATTAATTTTCCAACAAATGTATCACTCAAATATATTTTTGGCATTGTACTATCGATGGATTTCTTCATGCTGTTGGCTTCTGATTTCAGTAAGGATAAGAATTATTTATTTTCCAGGTACAATAAAGTACAGACGTTAAGTTAATAAAATTCATTCTTGAATGTATTTTATTTAAATTTTTTGTATTTCTCAACTTCTATGAACCATATTTTCACAGAGCAAGAAGAACAAGGCATCCTTATTCAGCATCTAAAGTTGTCTGTAAAAGAAACAATTACGGTAAATAATGGATTTTGTTAAATATATTACACAGTTCAAGAATTGTGCGAATTTCTGAGATCATCTGAAATTTTCTATTTAGGATAAATAATGTAATCTTTGTTAATTTCATCTTGCTTCTGTCATACAAATCTTAACCTGCCAATATCTTTACTTTTCCGGAGGATTAAATCAATTCCATCCAGCCTTGGCAAACAAATTCTTGTGCAATAGGGATTCATTTTTTTTATTTTACTGACGAACTATTTTCAAAGAAATATTATTGAACTTATTGGATTTTTTGAGAACAGATAATGTAGAAAAGACAAAACAGACGTAAGCACACAAGAAGATGTATTCTACTTTTTTTTAATAAAAAAAAAACTTTGCGTTGCATTGATATTTGATGAAAATGAAGGAAAAAAACTAACCTCAATCTTAAATTTATAAGATCAGATTTAGCAATTAACATAATATACACGTAATAACAAGCATGCATTTTAACAGAAAAAATCTTTTTAAATGCAATATTTAAAAAATCTTTTTGACTAGGTTTTGTTTACCTGATCAGATATCAAAGATATATAGATGTATCAGGTCTTCTCAAGATCATAACACAGAAAGGGGTCAAGAATAACAAGGGCTTTTGAGAAAAAATTATGGTAGTCTCATTATATCTATTTTATGTCAATGTCATGCGTATTTAGATCAGGTGACTTCCAGCATTGCTATCAATGTTGAGGACAGAGAGGATCCGGAAGAAGAGCCACAGATAGAGAATCCAGAGGAGGCCGTGTACTATAACGACTTAACTGTGGCCAAAGACATAGATGTTTCTGATCTTCTCAAGGTTATAACACAGAAAGGGGCCAATGATAACGAAGAATTTCTAAAAGAATTTAAGGTAGCGTTAAGCTTTACATTTATATCATAATTATATATCATATATTATTAATATAATGGTAAATTTTTAGTCTAAGGATTGAAGTCAAAAGGGAGCAAAATGTTTTTGCAAAAACGGAGAAAAATCGGAATTTTGCTGGCCCTAAAAGTTATTTTGACAAAATATATTGAAAGTTCTTTCTAGGTGAATGAACTTATACAAACTATGTTTTTTTATGTATCAGACTTTGAAGTTAACACAGAAAGGGTTTGTGTAAATGAATTTAGCAGTGCTATAAGGAGTAAATAATGAGCTATTTTTTCAACTGCAGAGGATTGTCTTATCGTATAATATAAATATATACATGGTTTACGTATTCTACGCACGAACTATCACTTCAACAAGCTATTCACAAACAAGTTGATGAAACAGAGTATTATATGGACAGTCTCTTTTCATCATTATAACAAATAACCAAGGAAGACGAAGGTCTAAAGGAAGCAAGGTACATTAAGTTTTACATGTAAGTCATAATTATATATGATATATTATTATTACAAAATGAAAGACGTTTTATTATTATTATTGTTTTGTAATTTATTCTCTTTGTCCGATCATGAAAAGGAGCAAAATGTTTTTGTAAAAAGATAGAGAGGCTGAATTTACCTTCAATGGAATGTAAAAGCTGAAGATAACAAAAGTGATCGATTTTTGTTTAAAAATTGTAAGCAACATAAATATGTAAAATATGTGTAAAACACGAATCCCTTGAAATACCAGAGGTTATCGATGGCATGCCTAGGAGGAGAAAGCATCCCTTGTTAACCGGTCACATCCGCCGTAATCCCTATTTGTTGATAGACGGAACTTACCGAAATCAAATTCAGTAAATAAATTCATTCAATGAAACAAGATGATTGGCTCTCCATTATGTATGATTATTTAATGAAAAGTACTTTTTCTCTTCCTCTGTATATTAAGCAGAAAAAAATGTGCATGGTTTTGATTGGAAGGATATATAACCGTTAAGGCTATTAGGCTTCTTATTTAATTAATAGACAAATCTAACAGTAAATTGTCGTATATTTTCCTTATTTTCAGTCACTTCCTTATGGAGAGAGATTTAATTGTTTAACGGCAAAACTGGAGGAAAACATGCTTAAGAACAGATTTAAAACGACATTTCCTTGTGAGTCTATTAACGAGCAGTCTCTTACTTTAATTTGCTGATTTTATTTGTGTACTTAGCAATGTACTTGTTCTTCCAAACTCAGTTTAATTAAGAAACGTTTTTAAAAAATTCTCCATTTATGTTTTGAAATTAAAAATTTATAATACATGTATATCCTATTTCTGTATTAAGACGACCACACCAGAGTAGTCTTAGAGGTTGGAGATGGCTTCACGTCTGATTACATTAACGCAAACTATATTGAAGTAAGCTGTTTTTAACAGTTCTAACATATTACTATAGAATATCTTGAAAGTGTAATTTTTAAGTTAATACATTATATGGTTGATAAAAAGCTGCTTATTTGTATTTTATTAATTAAATTCACATTTCGACTTTGTTTTTAGAATATTGATGGAAAACATGAATACATTGCATGCCAAGGTTAGAGAGTATTTTTGTTGTTGTTGTTTTTGTTCTATTTATTTATTATTTATTAATTCATCTTTATCAATAATGTTATATAAATTATTATATTTATCATATCTTTTGTTATATTATATGAAAATTGTTTTATTGATCGCTAAAATGACCTTAGTAACAAATATATCCTATCATATTTTGGGTGGGATGTTTCGTACCAATTGTTAGGCACTAATTTTTATATAAAATTTGACTATGGAAAAATCCTTCTACTTGATCAATACATTGTATATCCTGACCATAGATACATATTGTTTGTATATAATTTGAGATCACACACTATAATTTTAACCTTTCATTAACGAGCAGTAAATCATGAGATATATTTATTTTCGTTTCATTTTTTCGCCCATTGTTAGAAATCAAAGCCAATGAGCAGGGGGGCATGGAAGTACCTAGTAATCTCACTGCACATATTGTCTATATTCACAATGTCGTCCGCTGAAAAAATAAAAAACAAGTGCATATTGATACTAAGAAAAATATTTGCTCACCTCAACTGCACATACATATACTGTTGATCCTCAATGAGGATGGTTTTTGTAGTTTTTTTTAAAGCAATTCAAATGTAAACCAAATACTTTGAAATATAGTATTAATATTTTTGCATGAAAGTGTTTTAAGGACAAAAAATTGATAATGTGGAAAAAGTATACATCGACTGAAATGTTAGATATTTTTGCAGCTCCACGAGAAAATACTTTGGTAGACCATTGGAGAATGATTTGGCAGGAGCGTGTAGAATATATCGTCATGTTAACAAAACTGATAGAGGGACCAAAGGTTTGAGTAAAATAACTTTTTGAGAGACTCAAAAAATACATACATCTATAAACACTTTTCTTGTTTTAAATTTTATTATTAATTGATATAAATACTTAATTGTAACGTGACATTACATGTCAATTAATGTTATGTCACAAATGCATTTCATTGATGTACAGGTACGCGGGGTTTATGTTTTTATGCATTCTGTGATAAAAGAGTGGATAAAAAGTTTTAAATAGGTTTTTATAAGATGCTGCTTTATTTTTCATACTAAACATTAAATGAGGTCTCAATATAAAGGTCAAAAGTTGTCAGTATTGGCCAGAAGAAGATGAAGAACTGGACATTGGATCTTTCCATGTAAAGCTGTTAGATCAAAAAGTATACGCCTATTTTGTTATGAGAAGAATTAATGTTCAGAGAGAGGGAGTAAGTGTATCTTAATTTATCTTCCGCATGAACTTTTAATTTGTTTATTTAATGTAATGTAACGTGTTTTAGGTTCGATGATTTGGACCAGTATGAGAGATGTATAAAAATTATCAGAGTTACAAGAAAAATAATTACCAAAAATGATTTATAAACAACGAGTCAATATAAACATATATTCCTAGGGTTATCTATCCCTTCTATATAAAACAAATCAAAACCAATAGATTGTCGGACTGGACTCTGTCCTGAGTATCAGACCGGAGTATGGGTCTCAGGGACGTGTCTCTATACGGCTGTGTTCCTTGATCTGACACAGGCTGTAGCCAGGTACCAGAAAACACCGCTTATATTTAAATACAGTAAATATATCACTTTAAACCAAGCTAGTAAAACAATACAACACTGGGCAGTTGCATTAACACTGTTTAACTTTTTATTATCTCTACCACCGTACTTGCTCTTTTGACAGCCAAACAGAGAATGACCAACTACCTCGGATGCGCTCTTATATATACTCTAGCGCTACATCCGGACTAACCTCGGCATTCACCATATGTCTAATGATAAACCCCGATTATAACTGAATCCCGAGCCCGATCGACACATTAAGGCCGGTATACACGGTAAGATTTGTATTATAAGATTTGTATTATAATACAAAATCTTACTGTGTATACACTCTTAATACAGTGTATCATCAGATTTTTCGAATCTTATAAAACTGTATTAAGAATAGAGCAATGCTCTATTTCCAAATACAAATCTTAACTTACCTATCACTTTCAACCAATGAAATGTAATGACACTTGGGGTCATCCTATTTTTATCATTACTAAAAAGAGCACACGGTAAATAATAATCGTTGACTTTACAAGTAATGACATGGAAAAACTCGTGTCTGAATGGGAAGGAGAAAGGACTTGTGGAATATATCAAGCAGTGCATAGTACGATGATAGATACTGCTATCAGAGCCTCATCCTCCGTTTTTATTACTTTGACAGAGTGAGAAATATGGCGGTTGAAACACGTTGGAATACGTAGTTTATTTACAATCTGATAAGATATGTATTAGCGTGAGTACAGGAAAGTATTATAATACAAAAGTATTATAATACTTGTATTATACTACAAATCTCATCGTGTATACCGGCCTTTACCCTCGCCTCGATGCATCATGTGTCCCCACATGACAAATTAAAATGCAACTAAAAACTTTTTTCCCTTTATGTACTAACAGATGAGTGAACAAACATGAATGGGGTAAGCATGATGATTATTTATCACCTACCTGGTGATTATGAATCATTAACTAGCAAACATGAAAATTAGCAAACATGAAATTGAACTTAATGTTCAAAAATGTTCTCTGATGACTAATCACTATTTACATATCAAAAGTTTCTTCGCTTTCTCTAATGCGCTTGATTCTCTGTCCTTTCTCACTGTACTTAGTTACAGTCACCTCTTTTACCCGTCTCTGATATCCCTCTGTCTGAGTAACCTGATCAAGTTGGACTTGCCTTTCTTCTGGGTCAGGTAAAGTAAAAGTCGTCTGGACAGCTCTATCAACGCCCTTCTTCCGTACCAATTCCTTCTCTGGAATGATAACTTTCCTGGACGTTTGGACAGGACTTGGAGCTGTTCTCTTGCGGACAATTCGACCTGCGATTAAATCATCACTATTGGAAGAAGATGGTCCAGCCTCCATTTCCTTCTCGATTTCGATCGCATCTTCCCCAAGCTGAACTTCTGGATTCACATCCCAGTCACTATCGTCATTTTCGGCTACATCCTTTGATGACTGGGAAGGCGCATAGGATGTTTGGTCCGCATATGCTTCTGCAAGTACTCCTTTTTCTTGAAGGACACTTGGCATGTTCTACATACTAACATGCTACTGGCACAACTAACCACATGCTTTGTCCAAGCTTCTTTACTGTCCAATTCTACAAAACACACTGGGCATATCTCTTTTGCCTTTCTGGGTGTTAGCTTGGTGTTTACCATCTTTGTTCTGCAAAAATTAAATATTTTTTTAGAACAGCGCATACATAATTTTCTCAACAAATATCTAATACTCTGACATTAAACAACTATTATGCAGATATAACTACTATACAAGACAATAAATTTGAGGCTCGTCAGTAAATCAAACAGTTATATACATGATTTTCAATGCTTTACAATGCAATTTATTCAGGGACATAGTCCTTCATCCATGCTGGAGCCCGTCTATCTCGCTTTGGCTTAACATTTTCAGCTAACTCATCTGTGACTTCGATTTTTGACTGACTGTCATCGATAATCTCAGCCTCAAACTGATTATCTGGCAGTTATGTATTGACAGCTGTATCAGCATCCTGATGAATCTGTTCGCCTTCACCTCTCAGAACCTGTGATTTGCATGCTTTGAGGCGATCACAATGTACTACTTGCTCTTTTCCATTGCGACCACAGTTTGCTTTATACAAAACTTCTGATATTCTAGCCAATATCTTGAATGGTCCTCGCCAGTAAGACATGAACTTTGGCGAGCATCCGGCTTTTCGTTGAGGGAAGTATATGTAAACTAAATCCCCTTCTTTGAATTTCTCATATGACATTTTCATGTCATAGTATTGTTTCTGTCTAAACATTGCACCTTCCGCATGACGTCTGACAAAAGAATGTGCTCTCTCCATCCGATCTTTCAAGATCCATGCCCATTCATTCTTGGGAACTTCTTTCCAAGCGGTAGGTATCTCATACATGATATCTAGAGGTGTCGTAACCTCTCTACCTAGCATGAGCATGTTCGGACTGTAGACCGTGGATTCATGCTGAGATGACTTATATGCCATCATCACGTATGGAATGCTATCATCCCAGTCTCGGTGGTTTTCATCCACATAGGCACTTAGAATAGTGGCTAACCTTTTGTTGAAACGCTCCACCATACCATCAGACTGTGGATGGTATGGTGTGGTTCTTGTCTCCCGGATCTGGAGAAGTCCACTAACTTCGGTAAAAAGGAAACTCTCATACTGTCTTCCCTGGTCGGAATGTATGATATTCGGGCATCCAAATCTACAGATTACTTCGTTGGTGATGATCTTAGCTACCGTTTTTGCTTCCATATTTTGCACTGGAAACGCCTCAGTCCATTTGGTGAAGTAATCCGAGATGACTAAGATTTACCTGTTTCCGTTTTCTGTCTCAGGAAACTCACCTAGGATATCAGTAGCTACCCTTTCAAATGGAAATCCAACTTGTAGAGGCTGCATAGGGGCTCTTTTCGTTTTCTGAGGAGCTTTCCCTCTGGAACATATGTCGCAACCTGACACGTAGCTTCTCACATTACTCTGTAGACCTGGCCAATAATAGTTCTGCCTTATCATATGGAGTGTCTTTGTCACCCCTAAGTTAGCCGAGGTCTTTGCATCATGCATCTGCTCTAAAATAAGTCTTCTGTGGGACAAACGAACCACTATCTGATATGTGGTCATGTCACTATCTTCAATCTCCCACATTCTACACAGCAGGTTATCTTTAACTGTAAGCCTACTCCACTGAGCCCAAAGTGATTTCACAAAATATACTTCGGAAGATATATCACTAAACTCAGGACGTATCTCGTTTTGCAACCAAGACTTGACAAGTCTTAAATCCTTACATTTCTCTTGTATCGTAACCCAGTCACATTCTCCATTATTATACCCCCCGCTTGAAAAGCGGGAGGGTATATAGTAATCGGTATTTACGTCCGTCTGTACGTCCGTCCTTCCGTCTGTTACGCTTTGGGGAACCCATCTCTTATCCGCAACTCCTCCCATACCACTGAAGGAAATTTAATGAAACTTTCACAGAATCTTTATTACATATTGCCATTGTGCACCTCCTATTTTACTTTTTGATCTGACATATATTTTGGATTTTTCAGAGCAAAACATGGACACTGCCATTATATTCATATGGGAGGCGGGGGTATCATTTAGTGAGCTCATTGCTCAAGTACCTCTATTTTGCTTGAGCTTCGTCCTCTACCACTCTTGCATGATCTGCAGACATATCCATCTTGTCCCAGCCATCAAAATATCCACACTGGCTACAAGGTACTCTACTGAGTCCATCTGCATTCCCGTGCAGTTTTACAGCTCGATGCTCTATCTCCATGTCAGAAGTTGATATGACCTCGAGCCAACAAGCCAACTGACCCTCTGGATCTTTAAATCTGAGTAACCATTTTAGCGAGCTGTGATCAGTCCTGACTAAGAACTGTCCATACAAGAATGGTCGAAAATGCTTAATGAATGTAACCACAGCCAGAAGCAATATTTTCATTCTGACTTGCTGAAAACTTTGCTTGCGTATGCCACGACCCTCTCTTGGCCATTTTGAATCTGTGATAGAGCGGCGCCCATGGCATACTGACTTGCGTCCGTGTCTAGTATAAAAGGTTTTGTAAAGTCTGGATGCGTTAGAATCAGTGCAGAAGTCAACCGACTCTTAAGAAGATCAAACGCACTCTGGCACTCATCACTCCATTTAAATGGAGCATTTGCCTCCGTGAGTTTGAGCAGTTTGAGCGTAATTGGCTATAAACTTTCTATAGTAGCTAGAAAGACCAATAAATGATCTGACTTGTGTCTTGCTCACTGGTACAGGCCAATGCTTTACAATCTCAATCTTTTCAGGCTCAGTCTGAATTCCTTGTTCAGAGATTTTATGTCCCAAGTACTTAAATTTTTGAGCAAGCAAAGTACACTTCCTAGCTTTCAGCTTCAGTCCAGCTGCCAGAAGCTTCTCAAAGACCAACTCTAGGTTTTTCAGCATTTCGTCAAATGTCTTTCCGTATACGATGACATCGTCTAGGTATATAAGACATATCTGCCATTGTAAGCCAGCCAGTACAGACTCCATCAAGCGTTCGAACGTAGCTGGGGCGTTACAAAGCCCGAATGGCATGACATTAAACTCATACAGACCTTGACGAGTAACAAATGCTGTCTTAGCCTTATCCTGTGGCTTTAGCTCAACTTGCCAGTAACCAGCATTTAAGTCCAACGTACTAAACTACTTGGCACCACGCAGTTGAATTAGAGACTCGTCAATGCGAGGTAATGGGTATGCGTCTTTTGTTGTAACACTGTTTAAGCGCCTGTAGTCTACACAAAATCTTGTAGACCCATCTTTCTTCTTCACTAGTACAATTGATGAAGACCAAGGGCTTTGTGATGGTTCTATAATGCCTCTTTGTAACATGTCAGATACATGTTCTTTAACCTCCTCTTGCATGTGAAATGAGAGACGCTTAGGTGCCTGCTTAATAGGTGCATTTGTACCAGTCTCTGTTTTGTGCCTGACTTTAGCGGTTAGTCCAACGTCTTCGTCAGTCTTTGAAAACAGTGATGCAAACTTCAATAACAGACTTTCGGCTTTCTGTCTATCTTCCTTATCTAAATGACCAGTACTACTTTCATGAAGTTCTTTTAAATGCAATGGCATGTTACTATTCTCATCAAGAAGATCATTCGTCTCTGTCATCAAAGACACGACCTCATCGACTGAAGTTAATTTCCCTACAACAGTCCTGGGTACATGGTTCTACTATCATCTGAAATATTCATGATACGGATGGGAACCATGCCCTGTCTCCGGACAAGTGCTTTTGCAAGCAAGCACGAATCTGACTTAAGAAGTTTCTCAGCTGGCTCTATCAAACCAATTTTAGTTGGAAGAGTTCCATCCGAACTAGCACATATTTGTCCTTCCACCATCACTTCTGATCTAGGTGGTACAGAGATCCTATGTATAATGGCTACCTTATATGAGCTTGCTGACCCCTCAAGCTTAATAGGGTGCTCCATGCCTGAGATTGATATCTGATGCCTTTGCATGTCAATTATTGACTCATGCTTTACCAAGAAATCTACACCTAGTATTCCGTCTACCGGAATATCAGCTATAATCATCTCATGTTGCATCTCAGCATCATCCAACTTAAAATCCACTGGAACCTTCCCCAACACTTTAAGTGTAGTTCCGCTTGCAGTTAATACGTCTCTCTTGACTTCGGTCAATGCATTGTTTCCTGTCCTTGTAATATTTTCATAACATATTGTAGACAGCAAAGATACTGTAGCACCTGTATCGATCAACAAGTATGCATCCATTCCATGAATACGGACAGTAACATAAACCCCTCTCCCCTTATAGAGCTTACAGATCTAGAGTACTCATCCTCTGGCTTGTGATCTTTCTTTGGAACTGTACCAGACCTCTCATGTTGAACCTTCTTAGTATTGATCTCGTCCCTAAACTTGTTTTCATGCTCTTTCCTCAGCTTTCGGCAGTCTTTTCTCATATGCTTATCGGATCCACACTTGTAGCATTTCCTGGCTCGAATTTTATCGTCTGTATGTGTCGCTGGACGAGGCATACGTGTCTGACTTTGTGACTGAAACTTCCACTGTCTCAATTCCCTCATATCACGCTGTAATGAGCGCATGTTCTTTTCAACTGTTTCTATGAAATGATCGAGTTTCGAAGTCTTAGACGAGTCTTTAGTATTCTCACTCATCACCCTGACAGTATCTATGCGACGGCTCTCTGCTCTGTTGTATGCTTCTAGTTCTACAGCTCTCTGTATCGCATCATTCAGGTTCATGGGTCTCTTGCTTAATCTTGAGACGCATTTCAGAGTTGTGCAACCCATCTAAGAATTGTTCTGTAGCGAGAATTTCCCGGACGTCATTGGGAGCCGTTGGGTAGGCTAAATTTATGAGTCTTCTTATATCTTGATCCATCTCTGGCAAACTCTCAGACGCCTTTTGTCTTCTTTCTCTGAGCTGTGCTCTGTAAAGCTCTGTCTGGTTCAAAGGCGCAAACCTATCTTGGAGAGCCTTAACTAGTTTCTTGTAGTTCTGTCGTCCCTCTCTAGGCTGATTTCCTAATACTCCTTGTGCCTGGCCTCTAAGGGATGCAGCCAAGTATAGTCCCTTCTCAGTCTCTGTCCATTCATTCAAAAGGCATACCGATTCGAAGTGAGACAGATAATCATTCCACAAACCAGATCCATCATATGTAGCGGGCTTCACAAAATTTCTGGATCGAGCGTGTCTAGGGTTTGTATGCGTCCTTGGCTTGGGAGCACGTATGGGAACTCGATCAGTAGATACAGAACCCTCCTTATCATCCGTACATGTACATACCTCATCACTGATAGATCCACCCACACTATCTCTCCGTCTCTCATTCGGGGTACTGGTACTGATGACTGGTCCGTGTCTCGAGACTCCAGGAGTTTGTGTACCATGAGAATTTCTACTCATTACAGAGTCATGTATCTCTCTATTGAGACCAACTATTTCTCTCTCCAAATAATCAACATCAGCTTGTATACCTGACATTCTTAGACAAGTGACAAAATGATAGCAATGGAACTACATGTATAACCTTAGATAAGATGCATTTATGTAGGTCAATGGGTCAAGGACAGTTGTACAGTTTCACTACACGGAATGGCCGGACCACGGGACGCCCGATCCCATAGATCTGCTGACCTTCCTACGTCACTTCCGACATCAAATAGAACCATCACCACATCCTATCATTGTGCATTGCAGGTAAAAGTTTGAAATATACAACTAGAAAGTGTTTGTGGGTAAAAGGTACATTGCAGGTAAAAGGTACAATGCAGGTTTTAAAAAGTTGATATTGAAATATAAAATATCTTAAAGTTTCTGTAAATACTTTGTTTGTCGGTATCTTTCGTAAATTTTATAATAGGATAATTTTTTACGGAGATATTTTTTTTTGTTATCCTGGCACCATTCAGCATTCTTATTGCCAAAAATATTCATTCATATAATATAAAATTTTAAATTTTGTCATTTATACATTCAACACTACTTTTTCCCAAATTAATCGTTTTTTGTTTTTTATTCACGGTTTGATTAACAGCACAGAACGGAAAGACTGAATTTCTTTATAATCTTCTCCTGATGATTATTTATTTTTTGGTTTTAGTGCGGGGATAGGTAGGACTGGTACATTCCTAGCCCTGGACGTTTTATCTAGATATGGTAAAATAAAGGGGAGAATCAACGTCGTGGAGTTTGTGAAGGCCATGCGCAGAAACAGAATGACAATGGTACAAAATAGTGTAAGTTTCAACCTTTTCCGTTTTTTATCTATTCATTTTTAGATTGTTTTACATTCTATTGTATTTGTCAGATTCCCCGTTTGTTTTCAATTTGTAACGATAAAAATGTAACTGTACCCAGTGGCGGATTTAAGGTGGGGCGCACCCGGCGCCCCCCCCCCCTAAAATTGTCAAAGTTAGCGTAAATCAAATATGTCTACTTGGTAGAACTCATTTTTACCCTTCAAAATCTCTAGAATCCAGGAGCTTCCGGGGGCTTCGCCCCCTGGGCCCCCACCAGGGCTTTGGTAGACCTCATTTTAACCCTTCAAAATCTCTAGAATCCAGGAGCTTCCGGGGGCTTCGCCCCCTGGGCCCCCACCAGGGCTTTGCCCTGGACCCACTGGGGGCCTCACGGCGGCCCCCAGACCCCTTGCCTAATTTTGGCGCCCCCCCCTAACTCCAAATCCTGGATCCGCGCCTGGTACCGCATACAATGTTTCCGACAAAAAGATGTTTGAATTACTTGTGAAGATAATGAATAATAATTTAGTTCAAAAATACACTGAAACAACACAATGTAAAGTCAGCGAAAACACAGATCTCTGAAAACAAAGATTGCATCGGGTACCAAGAAGGACTTAGCATCTCTGACTACCGACTGTACACTCATTGAACAAATCAAACATATAGAGATAACAAAGTTAACAAAGTCCATAAAACAAATTAATGCAAAATAGGAGCAGAGCAAACACAGGCCTCTAAAACATCAGAGGTGGTACTAGCATATATCAGGTCTATCGTATTATCAAGTACCATGGGGGAGTGAGCATCCCTTAAAATACTTACATTTCAAATGAAAGAAAATATTATCAATATTTTATTATTTATTGAACTTAGCCTTCAAATCACTTTATCCGTTTTTTTTAAATATATCATTCGAGTGCTAATAATTTCTTCAATGAATGATCGTCTGTACCAACCAATAAAAATTCAATTTAGCTTAAAAATGATTTCACAGCATATTTAATTGACCTATTTTGTAGTATTTCGTAACATTGATTGAAATAGCTTCAAATATTTATCAACAAGGTTCAATTTGCATTAACTAAACCTTCTGTCTCAATTAAGTATTTTACATGAACACTGTACTGTAAATCACTTTTTATTCGCGAGAACTTTATTTTCGCGTAATTACGCGAGAGGGTGTGCTCGCGAAAATTTCACTCTCGCGTAAAATCATATTTCTTATGATTATATAAAGCAATGACCTCAATTCGTGAAAATTTTGTTTTGCTAATAAAGAGTCAATTACAATCTCGCGAAAATAAGGTGTCGCGAAAATTTAGTGATCTACAGTATTTGTTTTCTTCATAGAAATTAAAAGAAGTTCATGCAAAATTGTGTTAATCAATTTTAGGAGCAGTACATTTTCCTTTACCATGCGCTCTACGAATTCTTCAGACGACAAGGACAATTTATCGCAAAGGATACTTTTCTAAAGATGTATGGAGAATTGGATAAACCAGAAACAAAGAAAGATCTCGCAAACGAATTCAACGTAAGAATTCAATGCATTTCAATTTAATGTTGAATCCAATTTGCGCTTATTGTGTCCTTTTTCATAAATCAATATGAACATGGTGTACCATTAAGACAAATGTTTTCAGATTTAAAAAAATATATATATATATATTCTAAAGCCTTGATTTCTAATTGTAAACATGTACATGATCTACAATGTTTTTTTTTTCGTTTGCCTATCATGACTTGGACAACACGGAGGGGGTGCTGGTTTACGATGGATGATTAAATTTTTACTTATTTTTACTTAATTTTTACTTATAGGGGAATACACAAATGTATGGGGATTGTAAGATAATTAAAAAACGATTTTTAAAAACTCAGTTACTCAAATTAGCTTTTTGGTATACTAGGATCTCTGTTCGATAAAAATACAATGTATAAGGTTTATCTTAGTTTAAAGTAATACATGTAATAGAAATAGGAAGGCACATTCAGATAACCTTTACCCAATGTACTTAACAATCAGTATGACTCATTTTAGCCAAAAAAAAATAAAGATAACATTGATTGATTTAAAAAAAAATTCTTATAATCATATATTTATAAAGTACTTGCATATGCACAGTAAAGTACAAAAGTTCCTGTTGTTCTTGGTTTTATACATGTACATATGTATCGTATTCTAACTAGGCTCTCACCTGTTTACAACCAAGGTACGAAGCAAAAGATTTCAAGACTGGGCAAAACCATCCAAAACAAAATAGGACGGAATCTGTTTTACCAGGTTAGTGACTAAAACTCTTCTTTAATTATTGGCGGAACGTAGAAAAAAATTTTAAAAGTAGCAATAAAGTACATGTATGGTCTGGACCAATGTTGATCTCAATGGCAAATACATTTCCAGGAATGTTTATCGTTTTTCAATTTATATGTTATAAAGATAGTTATAAGCTGCTATGAAGAAAAGAAAGAAACTCTTTATCGTAGTAAACAATTTAATCGCATTGTACTGCTTTTGTAAAATAAAAGATAGAAAAGTTTCTGATCCATTGATATTTAATATTAAATAATACATAAATGTAACAATGAAATTCAAGCCATTTTTTTTTATCTCAGTCGAGAGGTACTTGGTTCATTTAACATCTAGCGTAAAAGGACGAGGAACATACTACAATGCTGTATTCGTGTCGGTATGAATCCTAATTCAAAATAATATACGTATTCAGTTTTTCATGAAAAATTCTTATTTTTACATTGATACAAAATACTAATAAAAAACAATAATCATTTTTAAACTCTGAAGCCGTTTGGTTCGTGTTACAAATCATGCAGTTTGAGACATAGAAAAGGAAGCACAAATGCAAGTAAAATGTATTTAATTTTTATGGAAAAGTCATTCACACAAGCCCAGGAGTTTATTTCTGCGCAATATCCGGTTCCTGGCTCTGCGATTGATCTTGTTCGTCTGCTGGTTGATCATGAGTCAGCTTTCCTGGTTTGTCTAAACTCCCTGACAGTCATAGAGGAGGTAAGACAAGTGATATTATTATCTTCAAGCTAGCTTGATAAATAATTCAATGAATACCTCCTATTTTATCTTTACATTCATGTTGTCTTAATGATTGTCTCAAATAAGAAGTTTAAAATCCTCAGCTTAGTCAATTACATTTGATAAACTATTGCAAAATAAAACAAGAGTAAAGTGAAAATACAAAAATGGTCATTTTTTTGTTAAAAAAACTTAGATAGCAGCACTAACTGGAGACAGTGATCAATCGCTTTTAGCAGATGGTACTTTGACCTCAAACAAGTTATATGACTGAGTAATATGCATTCATTAAAAAAAAATTAAACTTTCTTTTTCTCTGAAAAGGATTATTTTCTTTGTAGCTAAAAGAATGGGCTGAAGAAGGGACAAAGATAGTTCAGTTTGGACCATACAAGATAGCAAAGGTCTTACAGACAACACTGAGCAATGCCATACGGAAGACCAGAGCGGAAATACAGATCAAAAATGTAATGTTTAAACATATATAAGTACATTTCCTAAAAATAATCATTAGTAAAAAAAAAAAACAAACAAAACATTTACATTACTTTTGATGTTGAAATCTTGGCTGTACATATTTAATTTAATTTTTAGACAAAGGAGAAACACACGGTTCATATATTTGAATGTCTTGATTGGAGTTTAAACGAGCTTTTTCCCGCTGGGACATCTTCATTAACAGATATGTTAAAGCAGATTAGCTTGGATAGAAAATCTATTGATGACGGTCATATAACTGTTTTATCCAAGTAAGCTATAAAAGATTTAAATATAATATAGGAAAATTAGTATGAAAACCTCGATTTCTCAAACACGGCGGGAAACACAAAACAATGTTCGAGCTTATTGGGGCTTTGTTATATCGTTTGTTCTACTAAGCATCTTTCTTTACTGCTCCCTTAAATTGTTAACAGTAATGAAGGACAAGCTTCTGAAGTACTGTGTCAATCAAAAAAGAACTCGTAAATTAACTAATCTTGTCATTGGTCATTTGGATAATTATTTTTTTTTTAAATATCGTGATTGTATAATACAAGTACTCTGAAGTTGATATTAAAAGATGCATGAGTTTCTGATTGACAATATCTATGTGATTTAAGGTGGAGTTCAGGTCAACAATCAACTGCAATTTCAATGGTTAGCAATTGAACCCCGTTATTAGCAGGCCTATATTTTTGCATTCATATGAAGCAGATTTTGTCCAAAATCTTAAATGTGAAAAGCAGAAAACACTTGCTGTGTAGTTCATTCAACTCGACATTTATAAATATCGACGATGTTTTGTCAATTAACAATGATTTCTTCCATTCTTATGTCAATACGATATATCCCGGTTAATTTAGAATAAAAAAATACCACATTGTCAGATACATCTGTTTCATATCTGGATATCTTACTTGAAATAGTTATCTAACAACCGAGCTTTATGATAAACGTGATGTCTAACTTTTCAATCGTCAGCTTCCCTAACTTATGCAGCAATATACCGTCAGCATGAACTTATCGGTTGATTCGATGCTTAAGAGCATGTCGTTCTATGTATGAACAATTTCTAAAACGAAGTAAGTTATTGACAAATTAGATGATGAAACAAAGATATCATAAAGGTGGATTAATATTTTAAAAGGGACGGGGCATCCTGTTGTGGATTGTTTATTGCTGTTTACAACGCAGTACAACAGCTACAACTGGACGGTGAGATAGACATGTTTACCATTGTACAACAACTTCATTGTCGCCGACCGGAAATGATTTCTACTAAGGTTCCTTTATATCATGCAATTCTTTATTCGATTTTGTATTTTAGTGGTCTCTTGTAACACGCTTAGAGGGATCAAATGTAAAAGTAACGAATTATCAATACTATCAAAATCTTAATTATAAATAAATTATCAATTCATATACATGTATGTATAAGTGATAAATTACCGATATATACTTTCTTTTACAGGAAGAATACGAGTTCTGTTTCAAGTCTGTGTGTAACTATCTCTCCACAGATTGTCTGCACGCAAACACTTAACAGGGTGTATTGAATGTAGTGAATGCTCAATTTAATTTAGTTATTAATTTAGTAATTTAGTTATCAGTATTGTTCTTTCTTCTTGTGTTTATTGAAGAATTTTCTTTTTTTCCTTTTAATGAAATGAACTTTAAAATGATGTAAACTGATTTATGCAATGAAATTGATGGTGATAAACATTAAGCATTTTTTTCTTTTTTTCTTTTAAAAACGAAAACCATTCTGCATAATATGATTTATACATGTACAAATAAGTAATAATTTCGAGCCTTTGTATTTATACTATTAATTAAAAGTATAAGTTTGATTCCGAAACATCATACGATAAGTACGTACTGATCCCTGCTGACAAAGCAGGTACAGTAACCGCATTGTCTTTGATTGTAAGGCTCATTATATAAATTGTATTTTAGAAGAACTTGGTTTTAATTCTACTCGAGGTAATCCAACTTATACTTACAGTTCCCTTTCTAAGGAGGAAATCCTTTAAAATCATGTGTCAGTTTTGAATATTTTCAAAATTCCAAACCAAAAATGAATTTGAACTACCATATATATTGGATTCCGAAACTTCATAAGAATCCTAACAAACAAAAATACAGACCGGGTTCCAGTAGGTGTTCAACTAAACCTCTTTCTTTACTCCTCACTAAGATATTAACAGTAGTGAAGGAGAAACTTCAAGAGTACTGTGCAACAAAATGTTCAAGAAGTAAATCAGATGTGGATACTTAAAAATTCCATGGAACTTTTAGACAATTTGAAATCACAGGACTTTACCAAAATCAACAGCTTTTCAAAACTTATGAGCTTTCAACTTTATACACAATAATTCCTTACGATAAACATGATAAAGTCCAGGCTTTTCGATATCATTGACAGCTGCTTAATCAATAAAAATGGAACTCGAAAATTTACTTACCTTATCACTGGTCATCTGCAAAATTATTTTGTTCAAAAGCATTCTGATTATACACACAAGTACTCTGAAGTTGACATCAAACAGATGCTTGAGTTTCTGATTTACAATATCTATGTGGTTTTTGGAGACCAGGTCTTCCAACAATCTATTTGAATTCTCACGGGTACGAATTGCGCCCGTTATAAGCAGTACTATTTTTATATTTGTATGAAGCAAAATTTATGCAAAATCTTGTATGTGCAAAGAAGAAAACACTTGCTGTGGCCTTTAACTCGACATTTAGATCAGTCGACGAAGTATTGTCAATTAACAATTGTAATTCCATTCTTATGTCGATACAATATACATGTATTCCGGTGAGCTTGAGATAAAAGATACACAGAGTCTGACACGTCTGTTTTATACTTGGATATTTTACTTGAAAAAGACATAAATGGTAATTTAACAACCAACCTCTGTGATAAACGTGATGACTAACTTTTCCGTCGTCAACTTCCCATACTTTTGCAGCAATATACCTTCATCACCGACATGCATGCAGAGTTTATACACCTCGCAAGAGCATGCTCTATGTATGTACAATTTCTTAAACGAGGCATGTTATTGTGAATTGAAACAAGTTGATAAAAAAAGAATTTCAGCAGCTGCTGACTGACTTTTGTCATACTAATTGTTAGGCGATTCCACCTCTGATGTTTTGAACGTTTGAAGGTCCGTGTTTTCTCTGCTTTAAGCTTGAATACTGTTCCTTATCCCCATATTTTTTCATTGCATAATTCTACAGGTTATGTCTTCAAGATGACTCGGTTTGCAAAAGCATGCATTACATACGAACAATTTTGAAAAAAAAAGCATACTTAAGACAAATAAATAAGTTGGTGATTTTAGAAATATCAGTCTCCTGTAAATTACCGACTTTTTTCTATCTATAGTTAAGCCAATTTTTCACACTCCATGTCGACTTTTTTTTTTGTTTTCCAATCATGTCTGCAATCAAATGGCGGATATGACAAATTGACAAGGGATGTTTTCTCCTTCTACACCTCCGTGGCATCTGGTCTCATCTCTGAATTTTACAAAGGACTATGTTTGCTCTGCCCAATTTATCTATTTTTTGAAGAATTTTAAACCTGATGTCTGTTTAGTTTTTTCCCACCATATTTTGTACCAATATTTTTTCATGCAAGATCTTTCTTAATATAGTTAGACATGAATAGATGACATTTTAAAAGCATCTGTTCCAATATTTTAGCAATTTTATATTTGCATAATTTATTGCCAAATGCCTGTACATGTATATATTAATTATGGTATCATTTTTTTATCACCTGTCTTTGAAATTTATCGTACTTTGAACATGCTCTAGCATAGCGAATAAGTTGGGAGACATCAACACCATATGCAGGTGAAAAGTGGAAAATTACCTCAGAGAAAAATGTTGACAATAGAAAAATCAAAGTCATCACGTTTGCCATCTTTGTTGAAAAAGGGGTTAATTTTTAAAAAATCTTAGAAAAAGCACAAAAAACCTGTAGAACCTTTGAGGTTTTTTTCTCTACAAAATGTAAAACTTTTCAATGGCTCAATTTCAAGAAGTGACTATTTCTTGCTGACAAAATATGTTTACTCAATCCGGTTATATTTCTAAAGGGTCATTTACAACCTCTATGATATATGTTTTAATATGGTGCATGACAAAGCCAATTACAATCAGATTGTTTAAGTTCATATCTGCTCATCATTTTATGAGATTGGTCAATCTTATGAGTAAAAATTAAACAAACCTTAATGCTATTCATAATAAAAAAAAAAGCCCAAAGTTTGTAAAGGGAAGACCTAAACCAGAAGTCTCTGTCAAGACTGAAGCTCTACTGGTTTGTACTTATAAAAAATGAAGAGAAAAGTAGCAGTTGGGACTTGAAACTTTACAACAGCAATAAATAGAATAATGATGCTTGGTTGAGCTCTTTTTGTGGCATGATACTGCAATAGGACCACAGCTGTAGGAGTAGCTTTTAATAAACTTTTACAGTATTTTCAATTTTAGTAACCATGGCAACACCGTTCATCAAAATCAAAACTGATATATAGAATTATGTATCTTATTGTAGTCTACCTGTGTGCCAAGTTATATTGAAATCAGACCAAATCTGTAGGACGAGTAGCACTTTGAAAGTATTTTACAGAAATTTCTATTTTAGTAACCACGGCAACACCATTCATCGAAATCAAAAACCAATAAATAAAATTATGTATCTTAGTGTAGTCTACTTGTTTGCCAAGTTATATTGAAATCAGACCAAAACTGTAGGAGGAGTAGCATTTTGAAAGTATTTCACAGAAATTTCTATTTTTAGTAACCATGGCAACACCGTTCATCGAAATCAAAAACCGATATAAAGAATTATGTATCTTAGTGTAGTCTACTTGTGTGCCAAGTTATATTGAAATCAGACCAAATCTGTAGGAGGAGTTGCATTTTGAAAGTATTTCACAGAATTTTCTATTTTTAGTAACCACGGCAACATCGTTCATCGAAATCAAAAACCGATTTAAAGAATTATGTATCTTAGTGTAGTCTACTTGTGTGCCAAGTTATATTAAAATCAGACCAAAACTGTAGGAGGAGTAGCATTTTGAAAAATTGTTTACAGACAGACAGACAGACGGACAGAGACGCATTACTATCGCATAAGCTCTTCTGGTCTCTGACCAGTAGAGCTAAAAACATGGCAAATTTACAAGGAAATGATCCATGATTTATTAATCTATTACTAAATCTAGTGATACAAAAAGAAGGGATAAAAATTTGAAGCTGTGTTTTACAGATAGCACGAGAACCATAAGAAATGCTGTATTACAACAATCTGCATAAATACATTTTATGAAAAATATAAATTAATTCAGGGTTTTTAATGTAAATGATGGCCTCACACACAACCTTATTTCTACAATCACAGACAAACAATACTTCAACCAAAATCTCTGACAAAACGGTAGCTCTATTGGTCTGTACTTATAACATACATGTATTTATTACAAAGAAAGAGACATGTCAAACTTATGTCAAAGTACGGCAACAAATAAATTGCAGTCCAAAGACAACAGTAGAAGAAGATTTTTAAAATTATTTCTCATAAATTTCTGTTTTAGTGGCGGCAACATTTATGACATTAAAGTAAACCTGTAGGAGTACATTGTATATTAATTCTATTGAACAAATATCGGAAAAAAATTTAATTTTCAGACATGACTCTTCAAAATTAGAAACCAAAACAAAGAATAAAGAGTATCTTAGTGCAGTCAACTTGTGTACCAAGACATACTATAGGAGGAATTACGTTTTTAAAAAAAAATTGTTGAATGACGATAAACAATTCCTATCACATTAGCTCTTCTGGTCTCTGACCAGTAGAGCTAAAAATGTTATACACACCAGCAAAATTAGTTCACAACCTTAGACACACAGTCATGTACTACTCTGTAAACAATCACTCTGAACAGATATGTATAATAATAAAGCAGATCTTCTTTATACAAATTTCATTTGAATAAATAATAATACTACCATGGTAGACAAATGGACTAATTCAGAAAAAAATGTTATATGTTTTGTGAAAATAAAAGAAGTATATAGCTTTGAAATTAATATATTACTTAACCTGAGAGGCAAAATAAAGTATAGTATGACACAACTTAATCAGTGAGAGATCTATACAAAACAACATAAATTATTATACAATATGCATCATATTAATCTAATTATAAACAATCAGGCCAGCAGTGAAAAGCTCTAAACCTTCCTCTCTTCATTACACTGTTTATCATTCCTTTTTCTTCTGGTATTTATAGGTCTCTTTCAAGCTAATAAGTTCACTTAGCTCTTTGATCAAGTATTTAATAATTAAGTCTCTCCAAGCCACAAAGTTCTGTTAGCTTCGTAGGTGAGGGAGTTGCTCAAAACATTCGTTGCAGAATTTCAGCTGCCAGATTTTCCCTGCATACTGGTCAAACTTGTCCTTCCCCATGAGTTCTACCAACTGAGGCTGTTCATGAAATAAGACAGAATCAAACAATGCTCATAACAAACATATTTGTACATAAATTGGTGTGGTAAAAGTCAGTAAGACTATGTATATCAAAGGAAATAAAATAAAGTATGGGAACAAAACAATATGAATATCACAAACTATGTGTGATGATACTTTTTAAGACTGGAAATTCAATTTTAAAAAAAGGAAATTGATTTGAATTTGATGAATTTGAATTTGAAAATTAATTTAATTGATTCACTTCACAACACATGATTACATGCTTGAATTAAAGAAACACTGCACCACATTCCAAATACAAAAGAAAGGGTGACAATTGTCTTAAATCCTTTCAGAAAAGATATAAGACCTTTTTATTTCTTATCTATACACTGAATAACTAGTATTTATTATATGAAGCATTAACCTCAAATTCCATTAAAGTATTAATGCTGATAAATGCTAACACCAACAGATAAAATTGGCCATTGTTCTCCAGTTATTTTTTAATTTTAAATACATTTACAACACCTTAAATCAGAAAGGGGGTGGATCATTTTTAAAATGATCACACTTAGAGATTTGAAAGAAAACAGATGAGTGTTTGGGAAATACATGTAAAGAAAAAAAGTGTGATCTAAAAAAAATACAATTATATAAACTCGGTGCTGAAACCGACACAGTATAAGTGTATTTACCAAAACCTTTTCTGCCACCTAGAATTATACCAAGCCAGACAGATCTGTTATGTTGGATAGAAAAAGTTGCTTTTTTTGTGCAGAAGGTAGTGCTTGTTTTTAATATTAAAATTGAAGCTTTATAGTTTTGTTTTGTTTTTTCTATTATTACTGTAAATTAATATATATTTTTGAATTTACAACTAGTTCATTAAAATCTTCCTAAGAAATTTATAGACCAGAAACTCAGTTCTACATTTAAATACTGTATACAGGAAATTTCGCCCTCGTTTTATTTTCACCCCTTTTGCTCTACCCTCCTTTGGGCGAATTTACAGTTTAATTTCTTAAACAAATCCATGACTGGGCGAATTTAAAACGGGACAAAATTGTTTGCAAGAGCAAAAGGGCGAAATTAACATGGGGCAAAAATAACCCTGTATACAGTATCCAGTATTTAAAAGAATATCCAATAATGAGTATGAGATCTCTATTAAAACTGATTCAGAACTCATAAGTTAAGAAACCTTGGTCATAAGGAATTTTCATCGTATCCCCTTCCCTCATAACTAACACTTTCATTTTAAGGACATTAAGAAATGTGGAAATAAGAAACTTCAACTTCCTTATAAGTCAGCTTTACAATATATATAGATATACATATATGTTTGTGATTAAGTCTGAAAATGGATTTTTTTTATCCTATCTTGTTATAAAACAAGGAAAGAGAGTATGCAACCAAACAGAAATATCAAAATCTATGTATATGAAATTAAAAAAAAAATTCATCAATGACAGTATGTTGACTTTCATCTCTACTCCCAGACCTACATAGAGATATAGATAAAATAATTTTCAGAAGAAAGGAACAGAGAATACTTGTAGATTTTACCTCTAATTCATCATCTTCTATGTTAGAGAGGATTGCAAATGCTTTATGTAAAATATCAAATCCCACTCCACGAACACAATCCCTAAAACAAAAAGCATCCAATTAATTACTGTTCACATTGGTAGACTTAGGGAATAACTATCTTCTAATTTGGTATTTGCGACCGTTAATGCTGATTTAACGGTCGCAAACTGAGTTTTACCGGCAACGCATAAGCTCTATTATGACATCACAATGAAAAGCTTTCACTCATGTTAATGCTCATTTTACTGCTTCAAACATCAGTGCATTAGCCAATCAAAAGGTGTTTTACAAAATAATTGCATTAGAATAAGTGTTTTTGTAACATTTTTATAGGTTACATGCAAGTAGATTGTACAGAAATCATACATTCTAATAACAATTCCCTCCAACTTAAGAAAACAAACAATTTATTTCCTTACCATGTATAATCTTTAATGCACAAATATTTTTGTTTACAAGATCATGAAACATATTTTCTCAGCTAACCCTCAGAATTTTACCATCAGTTTTCCCTGTCCAGTTCTAAACTTATTTAAAATTTGTTTCCCTGGTTCTGCTGTAACATTCGCATTACTCTTCCATGCTGTAAACATCTCCTATATATAGTTACCTGTGTAAAATTTGTATCCTAGTGGTCAGTCTGTCAGCATTACACAGAGTTTCCACGCCTAGAAAAAGGTCAAATTAGTATTAGAAAATTGTGCATAATCTGAATAAGTATGGCTGTGTGTAGAATGTTTACATGCATACATATATTAATATTTACTTGTGATAAAATAATTGTTTAAACAATTATATCTGTGAAGAACAATATAAACTGCATGAATTTAACAAAATATGTGGAAATATAAACAGACTCTGTAGAAATAAGAATAGCATAGTAAACTTAATGGTAGTTGACATTTGTGAGACAAATGAGACCATTTTCTACAGACTCATTTTGTAACTGTTTAATTACAGGAGGGTCTTTAAATAATAGTTGAATCCACACTTTTCAAAAGTTATGTCCCTTGGCCGCCATCTAAGGGGATAAACCCATAGAATCCTCACAGTAGCCTTTGTAGTTTTCTGGTTCATAACTTTGCCATCTTTTGTCAACTTTGTGCTTCTTGTATAATGATCGCCCCAAGATGGGGCTACCAATATACTTAAAGAAAAAAATTAAACACAATGGATTTATTGAAGCACACCTAAATGTTTAGTAGGATAAAGAGGAGAAATGCCATTTCTTTCCCTTTTGATCTTTTGGTTGACCCCACAAAGAGACAAAACTATTGCAAAGTGTGGATTGGATCCTTATATTTGTCAGAATTTTTGTGGGATTACTTGGCAGTGAAGCACTCTTGTGGATTTCTGACTGGGATGGTTTTGAGGGCTCGCTGACTCGTCGATGACCTTTCCCCTCATCTACATCATCATCATCCTCATCTGACTTGTCATCGTCTTTGTTCATTTTTAAGGTTGTATCCAGCAGAGAAATGAAATTGTTCATTTCTTTATTTTCCCTACAATAAACATGATAAAACTCTACTTTTTACATTTCTGAACATCTGCATGGAAGTACTTCCAATTGCGTTCACAGTTCTACCATTAGTACCAACTTTTAATTTACCACTGGTGCAATAATTTAACAATGGTACCAACTGTACCAATAAACCCTGAACGGATATTGGCATACAAATGTAACAATTTTACCAATGTTACCAATGGGAGTCCAATGGAAACATTGGTAATACTGAATTACAGATTTCTTTGTTTTTAAGTTATTGGCTCATGCCAGAATCACAAGAAAATCATAGCAGACTCATAGCCAAGAAACAAACCACATCAGGATCACACTTCTTTAGTTGCCATATCTATGAGTTTTATATAATCCATTTAATGGATCATGTATCATATACTTCAACATCATGAATTTAAGTGTTTGATATGATTTTTATGTGATTTTGGCATGATTTGTTAAAAAGGCTTAGTGGAAAAATCGTTTATATCATTGTGAATCCGGGAGCCAAGTCTTTCTAGCTTGTTGCCATGTCAATAACTAGCTGTGACGTCATTTACCAACATTAACCACACTCTAGATAATAGATTGTCTGCAGAAAAATATACCATTGGCAAAAAACATTGGTACCAGTGGCATGCCAATGGTAATTAATTTTACCAACGGCATCTTTTGTCTACCAACGGCAGAACTGTGAACGCACCCAATAAATATTATCTTTCAATTGAAGATAAAGCATTTATAAGATTTTGTCATAAGAAAATTATGCACCTATAATAATATTTAAAGATATTATTTTTCTCCCAATGGTCTTCACTACATACCTCTGTTTCTCTCTCTCATTTTTGAAATCCTCGTTTTCTTTGAGGGTCTCCTCCTCGGAGCTAGAGCTGTCCTTTATAGAGGGCTGCCTCACTCTCTTGGAATTGGATTTAGACATTTTAGGTCCGTACTGGAAATTTACAGAAATACAAATAATGTCAATGACATTCAGAAAAAAACATTCCCATTAATATTTTGGTTTTTTAAAATATGAATTCATATAAATGTCATTTTTTCCAGATTTAAGTAAATGTACTTGAAAGATAAAACATTTGAATTTTATCAATCAATATGACATAAATTTAGCAGTCTGTGAGAAGAATGAAATTGCTACTTTTCCCATGTTTTCAAAAATATTAAATCACACAAAAAGTAAAGGTATGATATTAAAGGTTAATAAATATGTAAATCATGTAGCACATGTGCATGTAGTCATACAGTGAAATTGCTTAAAGTATTTCAGGGACTGGGTGTGGGCCTGTATTTTGTAAATACATGTATTAACAAAACAATTACTAGATTGTTAATAAATTTTTTTTTTTCATATTTCTAGATTTTTATAATGAGGCAATGCAATCGATCTGCTTCAAGGAAAGAGTCAAGCTTGAAAAAAAATGTTTTTTAAGTTTTAAATTTCCTTTACTTGGAATAATTTAAAAATAATACATGTATTAACATAGTTTGTAAATTTCAGGAACTGCAGTGAAATTTTTATAATATATGGAGTTAAATCACAGATTAATTCAATTTTTATTTTTTCAAACAACCCTCTTTTGTACAGATATAAAGTTTTCAGGTATCAAAACAATAAAATCTTATAAACCAAGTGAATTTGTGAATCCCACACATTATAATCAGTCACAATCATTAGTGCATTAGCACCCACACAACCATGTGATCAGATCAGTCATTAAGTCACGCCAGCCATTGCCTTGACTTACGGGTTCATACTCCCAAATATCCACATCCCCCCTTGGGGTATAACTATCTTCCCTATACGGTCTACTGTAATACTCATTTCTAGGAGTTCGAGCCGAGTCCGGACTGGAGAACTCATTCCAATGTCGATAAGCCTGCCATTGCACAAATTCTTTTCAATATAGAGACAGATAATTATTGCCTTTTTTTAAAAAAAAAAAAAAAAATTGTTCTTTATGAAAATGGGTTTAAAACGCATACACTTCCAGCAACAATATATCAGGGAAAGGCATGTCATACACGTGTCTGACAGACTTCTAGTCTAAGATAGATATTGTTTATTTGCGACAATAAATCTACCAGTGTTTCATGTAATTTTTATCACAATGACATATAGCTTTTTATTATCATTATCAACTTACCTCACTCTTCTCAGCTTTTGTGACTCTCTGTGACTCATGACGAGATGGGGCCTTTAAATGAATGCGGGCCGAATTGGGTCTTTCCAGTGCTGAACAAATACAAAAAAGAAGTACAAAAAAATTGATATCAATATTATGTAAAGAATAAAACACAGGGAAAGAATACTGTGTATCTCCCACTAAACATAGACAATTTCATATCTGAAATTTATTAACATTATCTTTTCAATTCTAATCAGAAACAAATTAAGATATGATTTCCTTAGACATACTTACAGGACCCTGTTGGATTTTTGGCCCTTCGTCTTTGTCTTGCTGAGAGATTGGGTTCCTGTAAAAAATTGAATGAAAATACATTATATTTAATCTATTTTAAATCTAGAGATTTTAACATGTGACAATTTTGTAAATTTAGGCTCCATAACTTGTGTAGTTAGTTACCGGTTACCTAAAACCAAACCTCCTTATTAAATCTTTGTCAGAGACACCAAGACTTAACAGATTGCAGAATCTCCATAGTATTGACAGTTAAAAAAATTAAAGAACGAACGCTGGACAAGTCTGGATACTACAAAGTGCACTTTGTAGAACTTTTTTAATATACATGCATTAGATTCTTCAAAACTAGATGATAAGCTTGATCATTGAATATTGCACCAAACATTCCCAAATAAAATTACGTGGCATAAGTGATGAAATACCGGTAACACATTAAAGATCAAACAGAAAAAAACTGTATGGGAGTACTGAAACACATTGTTATGATTTCTTATTCTCCTTGAACTCACCCTGGGAGTTTCCAGGTCACATGATTCGTCCTTAGAGCTGGAGGTGCTGGAGGATTTATTGTTTTCTACCAACTTCTCTTCATAACTAGGTCGCCTGACCGGGATCCCCGCACTCTCACTGACCTTTGGGGGTGTGGGTAGGGGGCGAGGGTTACTGACTGGCTTAGGCTATAGAGTAACAATTCAAAGTGAGATTGTTTAATCAACAGATTTTAATTCAAATAATCTTAAAAATTTCCTTGTGGGATTATTTTATGGATAATTCTTACAAACTTAAGAAAACTTCCAATATTTATGACTGTTGTCAATTTACCGGTACATTTTAATACACATAATAGATTTTACAAGGGCTTGCAGCATAATAAAATTTTTTTTCTAAGAAACTGAAGTAAATTTAGTGAAAACACATGTTCGTTTTTTTGTGTTTATCTCAGTTTGTTAAAATTAAGTCAGCAAGAAAATCATACTCCTGGATCACAAAACCACAGTACTAACAACTGTTAAGTACATCCAAACTAAATGTTGAAGTTTCATATAACAACATGTGAAGGAAAAAAGTTATTTTATTCTTCACTTGTTTGTAACTCAGAATATGGTAAAAGTTAAATATACGAATTTTAAGCTTAACAAAATTATGATTTATTATTAACTTTTGAAAATAGCAATTATAGATAAAATCTAATGCACAGCAAAAGCAAAAACACATCTTTAAATTTATCTACCGATATACAACACAGAATGATAACATCTTCCATGTAATATTTTTTTTATAAGTCTACAGAACTCAAAATTACTAGTTTTTGCTAAGATTTTTGGCATGGAGAGTCAGATCTCCAAATTTCTTCTCTATTGCAAGCAACACAATAAGTATTAAAGCTAAAAAAGACTTCCTGAGGAATGCTACAAGCCAAACAAGAAATTCCGGTCACTTACACAACTAGAGCTTATAGAATCACTGTCAATGGGGCCAGAAAATACCGAATCCCCACTCCGCTCAAGTGTGTCCTGCATTAGGATATTTAAAATTGTAATTTATATCATCAGCATCATTAACAAAAGATTTTAGGCTTTAATTTTCATATGTTTAATTTGCTCTTGTGATAAATAAATCTTAAGACAAAATATATTTATTTCTGGAAACTGTTTTAATATTCAACTGTTATAGACAATATGATGTAATATACTCATAATCCCTCATCTTTCTTAAAGTCTTAATGTACTTCTATCACTTAAAGCCCAATATTAAATCCACCAGAGAAAAAAAATCACTACAACATCCCCTGTTAGATTAATTTAGAATTGAGAGAGCCTATACCCCTAATACTTAGCACTGAGTTATATACCTTGTGGATTCTGGGAGACAGATTACTCTCCCTTGGAACATACACCTATATATAAACAAATATCTTGTGATTTTAATGAAAGTATTCAGTATCTAACAGTTCCTGTCATTCACCACTCAAATGAAAGTTTATATATGTTTTCTGGGATTTATATATTAAGGTACATTTGTTTAACTCTTGGTCTTGGTTACTTGTACTTACTTTTTTGAATACATCACTTTTGGCATAACTTGAAGAACTGGAATCAGACCTGGCACTGAGATTAGGCTCAGATCTCACACTCGGGAGTGAGTCTGTGTCACTGTCACGGTTAACCTTTCTCAGGATGTTCTTTTTCTTTTTGGGGGAATTTCTCCCTGGAGGTGAATCTTTACTTTTTCTTGTCGGGGAATGGGAATCTGATTTCTACAATTAAACAAAGCATTTATTTGGTTTATTTTCCAAGTCTTGATCTTTTTTAAAATTCTTTTCTGTTAAACTCAAGAATTGATTAAGAAATGATTAAGAAAATAGTTTCCATAACTATTTTTAATACAAATGTATACATTTCTTCTTAATTTTTCTTTAATCTCATCCACACAGGTACCTCTTTGACTGTATTATTTTTCACAGTATCCTCCGAACTAGTGGAGGATCCTAGATTTTTCTGGTGGTTATCACTGATAACTTTATCCTCCACTATAGGAAACAGGTCCTGCTTAGCTCCATCTGAGGGTTTGCGGGCATGACCTGGTCTTCTTAGAATAGCGGGCTGTGGTACAGCCTACCGGGTAAAAAAATGTATATAAAGAATATCAAATCTCCAAACAGAGATACATGCATTTCAACTTCTATATAAAATATTGGGATTTTCTGATAAACAAAAAATAAATTTACTTGTGCACTGTCTGTGCTGTCTCCTCCCTCAGATTCGGGGACATGGACCCGTATTTTACCGGCGGAGTTGTTATTGACGTTGGAGACATCACTGGAGGGAAGGGGAGCGGGAGGGCGATTGGACGGGGCGGTTCGTGGTCTCAGTCTCTGAGCACTGCTGGGACGACTAGCACTAGATGGACGGCTATAATCAAAGATTTATCCGTTTTTAAAATATGCATCATTAGTTAAATATATGGTTAGAATATCTATCAAATACTTAGAAATATGGTGGCTTTAATATTTTGGATGAGATAATTACATGTACTCTTGATTTAAATTAATTGTGAACCAGATGTGTTACAAAGAACTTTGGCAAGGGCTGGTTCAGAAATTTATCATTCCACAACAAATTGTCTTAATGTAAAAGCAATCAGATCAAGATAAGATACATATATGTGATTTAATCCCACCTCTTTTTGGTCTCCTCTAAGAAGACAGATATATTCTTTTTGATGTACGGATCCCTGAGTATACGATTAACAGAGGGACGCTTCTCTGGTTCCTGGTGTAACATGTTTTTTATTATCTGGATCAATTCAGCACTGTATTGTTTTGGCATCATAGGCATCTAAAAAGAAAAGATAGGTTATAAAAGAAATCTAAATAAGTTATCTTGAAATATATAAATTCTCTTTCTGAGACAAGCACAAATATACACTTTAATGATTTTAAAAAAATATTGGCGTCGAGTAACAAAGCTATAGCATTAAGTTACTAGTAATCTCACCTTTCCTTTTAGAATTTTATACACCAGTGAGTTCATATCCTTTGCATTAAATGCATGTTTTAGAGTGGCCATTTCATACACGCAGCATCCTAATGCCCATACATCAGACTGTCAATTAAAATATGTTTATCTTTAAACACGATGAATTAATCTCTTAAAATTCATGGATATCTATAAGACACCACTCCCTGATAATATTTTGTTCAATGAAGACTATATAAAGACTGTGAACAATTATTAAGCTTTTTGATCTCCATAAAAAGTCATTTTACTTACTAGACATTCTTAAAACCATGACATTATATAGATATGGGATAACGAAAACAGCGATCATAAGAGCTATATAGTCATACAAATCTAGACGCTTGTGTTTCCATGTAAGTTGGATATTAAATGAAGCATCGGGATTAATGAAACAAGCTTCACTGCTTTAGTACATTTCAACAATAAAATGCTTTCCTTAGTTGTTAGCAGAGCTCCATATAATTTTTTACCCCGAAGTGAATTTACTCCCTGATTTTCAAATCGATGCAGATTTTGATTTTCAGCAAAATTATTGAAGAGTATTTTTGTTAATATATAAATGTTTTGACCTTTATTTTGATTTTGAGCTTGTTCTTGGGAAGCATTCTTATTTGACAAGTGAGATTATACAATAGGTCAAGTTACCATAGATTCACAGACAAAGAAATGTTTTCCTCCATTTAAGATGATATCGTAACAAGACTAAACTGAGAGAGAAAAAAATCTTCATTAATATAGCAAGCTGAGAGAAGGTTGTGTGCAACCTTTCTTCTAAATAGAAAACTTTAGAGACTCTAAGAAAACCCTTGATCAGTAAATTCTAAATCTAACATTTTTTGTATTGCTTTCATCATATACATGTATGTATTACACTTATTGCAATATCATCTTTCATTGATGGCACAAGCTTTTGTGTGCATAGTCTCTCTATTTAAAGAAATCGATTTTAATTTAAATCTCTGACTCTTTCTCTCGAAATGGAGATCGTCGTCGCCATTACTTGAATATTCCTGGTTACTAAAATGCTTATAAATCAATATTTCGTGTTGAGAAAAATCAAACATTGAGTTAACCTGAATTTATATCATTAGCTAAATTGTACTTGTATTATCCAACCCGTTGTATGCAGTACGTTCATGGTGTAATGCTTATCTACGATTGCTAGTGCGTAACAGTACACCCTATTTTAATTTTCAAAGCATATTTTGTAAAATTGAATGCGTATTTCTGCAAATACGCACCTTACCTGGAGCTCTGTGTTAGTACTGGAATTAATGTTGCAGATGTTGCAGAAAAATGCATAACCTGCATAAATGGTTCATGTATATTTTTGCTGCAATAGCAGTCAATAAAAAATAAATCTTGATTAACTCCTGTACAATAGATTTACCTTGTGGTTGTATGGTTTATTGGAGAACAGTTCTGGACTCATGTAGTATGGAGTTCCGATCAGAGTGGTGGCCATGTCACTAGATGAATCCAACACTCTACAACAGACACACAGTTTGTGACTTTGACAGTTAAGCAGTTACAGCAAATACATACATGTATAAATTCTTGTTTATGGTGAAATAATTATCATTCTCTGTAGTTTTGAAAATGCGATCAGGAAACAAATCATGATTATAAAGAATCAATAAATTGCTCCTCCTTGTAACATTACTGTCAGTGTACATGTATTTAATTTGATCTTGCTTCAGACAATTTTGTAGATTACTGATTGGATAAAGCTAATCACATGACACTGAAATTTTCCAAATTACATCGCCGTCAAGGAGTAATATTAAAATCATTATAATAAAGACGCTTCAAACGAATATGGTAAATTAAAATGACGGCTACGAAACAGTTTGTGTAGGTAAATTTCTTGTCACTTAATTGTTTTGATGTTTTATATTGATTGTTATTGGACTGATAGATTTTTTTATATTTCAAAAAGTTTTCAGCAGGATAAATTCATAACACAGTCAGTTAGGGACCTAATACAGAGCCTCAACCAATACAGATTTCTATTTCACACCCCGTATGACTTGGTATTAAGTTCCTAACTAACTGTTTACTTTTAGAACCATTTCAAGTTTAGTTTCTGTAAGGCGTGACACTCTCAGCGCTACATGTTTACCGCTTGTGAAACGGTGAATAGATTCTCATTGGTTAATAAATCAATAACATCAGGAACTTTAAATTGTTGTTGACAACGATGAGACGACTTAAGTTCCACCTCTTTGCAGGTGAAGACAATGTAATTGGTTATTCGATACTCTAATTGGTATTTGCCCGAATTTCTATCCCACGTATATTTCAACAGTGAAGGAAAGCTGTGTAAATTTCATACAAGATATATAATTTTTTAACATCGAGAATGCAACGCCTTACTGAAAAAAAAAACTTTAGGGTTGGAAAAATGGTAGGTTGGGTAGCTATAAACAAAAATCTCACATTTTATGAGATCTTTCATTTTTATGGTGAATATTATGAACTGATCCTGTAAAGAAAGTGACTTTAATGGAGAAAATACTTTCAATTTTTGCTGATTATCATGAGAATATGGTGTACGTAATGCATGTACATGTACTGCAACAAATTAATTCTCACCTCGCAATTCCCAAATCTCCTACTTTAATTATTTTGCTCTTAGTGAGGAAAATATTTTGGGTTTTAAGATCTCTGTGAAGAATATTTCTTTCATGCATGTACTGAAAAATAAAAGGTTTCTTTATGTTTCAAAATTAGTAATTATTGTTAGATTATTCAACACGATATGAACATACCTATTCAAATTATGAGTATAAGATTACTTACTTACTGTTCTATATACATGTACTTGTATGATATATTTATCCTACAGATAAACAATTTTTTTCATTTATTTATAGATTTATCTCAATGACATTCAAAAATATAAATAAATACATCCAAATATATGTTCATAGTTTAGGGGGAGGGCAAAAATAGGCTTTCTTTGTTGTCCAATCCAAATAACTTTTTTGTAAATAAAAGTATGCATAAATAAAAAAATATATAGTTTATATCAGAATGTATTAACAATTATTACAATTTTTTCTGCATAAATGTATAAATGGAAACAGTCCTGACCCCACCCCTAACTAATTATGATAAGCATTTCATATACCTGCAGTGCCATAGCAATCTGTACAAACCATTCCACCACCTGTCTCTCCTCCAAGGGAACCCCCTTCTGTTCCTTGAGTTTTGTGTACAAATCCCCTCCCTCACAAAACTGCATGGCTATGTGAAGGAAACCATCTTTTCCTTGAAACGAGTCTTTATATGTCACAATATTAGGATGCTTCAGTTTTGATAGAAGTTTGGCTTCTTGTTCTGCGGAATGCTGCTCTCTTTTGGAGGCTTTCTTTAAGTTTATTCTTTTCAACACATACTGTGAGAAAAATAAAATCAATGCAGTTAAAAATACAAAATCACTGAATATCCAGTCATGGTTGTTGTCCCACATTTAGATCAACATGTTTAATGTAATTCTGATATATGTATATGAGTTGGTTTCAATGGCAACAGCCTCTGATATTATATTGTGACGTTACCTATTTTCGATAGTATCCTAATTTCGATAGCCTAATGTTTTTAACAATAAATCAGAAACCCTTTCGTATTTTTTTGGAACTCTATTCCCAAAATTATCATCAGATGTAAAAAGTGTATTAAAGCCAAAAAGATCGAAAATTATGCCATTTAGAGAGGTAAGATTCTATTTTTCTCCGTATCTATTCAAATCACGCCCTTTTCTCATAATGCAAAAAAAAATTCACTCTAAAACCCTATCTCCTAAGCCTGAAAACAACATTTGATGAAGTAATGTTATCGTCTGTTAAAAAGCTCTGTGTTATGGCTTAAAAATAGGTAAGCCTCATTTTGGTCAAACTTCTGCTTAAAAAAATAAAGTATGGAAGCCTGTTACAGGTATTTTATTTTAAATTTTGAGATATTTCAATGTTTTAAGTGTTGTTTCTATTGCTTTATTGTTTGTTTATTTGTAGATATTTTCCATCAAGAAGGGAAATTACAAGAATTGTTATAGGCCAAAGGCTGTGGATAATGCTTTCCAAGCAGACAATGGCTCCTGGCTTGAAATTCCTATTTTAAAAAATTTCAACCAAAAAATTAAAAAAAATAATGTTATAATTAATCATATTTTATCTATTGTTAAGATTATAATTGAAAACAGGACAAAAAAATCCAATACCATAAAGAAGGACAAAAAACAAATAAAAGAAAACAAAAATCCACACAAAATAACATAATTCGATGTTTTATGACAATAACTGTGCGCCATACTTGCTATCGAAAATAGGTGACGTCATTCAAAACAACTCGGATTATGGCGGATCCAAAGAAAGTTGAAACTGTGCTGAAATTCTTGATTTAAAAAACAAATAAATGTCTGAGTATATTTATGTATTGTTGACTAATAATACATAAATAATTGAGGGGAGAAAAACACAGATGCCTAGATTAATTTTTTGACTCAAGTTTTACACTATCGAAAACCGGTAACGCCAGGATATAAGTTTTCACCTGAATATGGAGATTAAACTTAAATTGAAATAGTAAGGCCGAATTGTAGGGCTTACTCTCCTTAACAATTCTGACAAATGCAGAAAAATAAAATGACAAACTCTGGTCATCTATATTTGCTCTCACTGACTGCACTATTTTTAAACTGCAGGCATACCTGTTTTCTATCCTTTTTATGTCTTTGAAGTGTCACTTCTCCATAACTTCCCTTCCCAATGTGTTTTATAAATTCAAACTGGTCCAGTCCTGCCATTTTCTCTGCTTTTACTCAAACACAACTTTTATTTTTCCTTATTTCTTTGCTCCATTAAATTGATTCATTTAGGCCTAAACTTTGTCATTTTCACATTTCTAATTTACGTATTTTGAACATTCTACTGAAACTGCATACAACATACATACCATGCCCTAGAAATAATACGTATCTAAACAGCTGATTTGTAAATTAATCGATGAACTGGTTAAGGTGGTATATTTGGCTGACAAAGTGTCGAAAAAAGATATGATATACTTCACACATAATCAACCGATATAGATCTATGTCTTTTCTGGGGCATAATGGTTCCGAAATCTCACATCATTGTAGGATTTTTGCCATGTATACAAGAAAATTAAACGAAGTCCTTCATGAGTCAAAGGTTTTTACAAACAATGTGGTTCTGTGCATTATTGAAAGCTTTCTTCACGACTGCAATTCAGGAAGTTACAAATCGTGGAATTGTGGGATTTGTTATTTGACTTTCTTTACCTTCAATATTGAAGAGTTATCATCATAAACAGACGACAACAAATATTCGTGCAAACAGTCTTTCGAGCTTAACCGGTGGGTTATTTTCAGATTTTTTACTTGTTATTCTGTTCAAAACTTCTAGGCGTATATTTTTTATTTGTTTCAAAAAGTCAACAACAGTATTCTTTCCGTTATCATTCTTGTAATATTTCATTTGTATTAATTAATGGATTAGATTCAGGATTTCCAGTCAGGAAATAGCTGGGGAAATGACTTCATAAATAATTATGTAGAATATACGTGTTGAAATATATTTTTATCTCTTGATCTGTTGGATAAAAGATCATCTATATGTAGAATACTTTTCCTAGATTGATTAGTGTAACCTCAGGTCATTAAGGAGGGGATGTACGTGTTATGGGACAGTTATACGTGATAGGATGGTTGGAATTGCTTCTCGGAAGAAAAAAACGCCAGAAAAATAAGAATATTTTTCTACTATTTCGTGGGATGAGCAGTCCAGTCCAATACGAAAAATGGCTCGTAATATTACTAAAATTCGTAATATAAGCAATTTCTAACTCTTCTAAGAGTTACTTCCCTTTTTTCTGATACAATCTCCTTGTTATGTTTCATCAGAGATTATATGTCTCTGGTTTCATCAAATCATCGTGGATATGCATGCATTTTTTTTGATGCATTTGATCCAAACACAAGCCTAAAGTCGATATCTCGTTGTTGCCTGATTTTTAGGGTAGACTTCGGGAAAAATACAAATTAAATAAAAAAAAGTTGAAGTTTTATGGAAAATTGATGGAAAAATTCTTATATAAGAATAATAAAACAAAATTTTCACTCACCCATTACTATTGTTACTTTCTTCTTGCATTTCATACTTTTTAGTGTGAATGACCACGTGATACTAGACCATTGGGGCATAATGTATTTCTGACGTCATACTTTCCTTAACATCATTCATTTCTTTCAATGCTTAATTTTGTCTTATATTACAAAAACTCGTAATATAGTTCTGGGGCAACTTGCTATATTACATAATTTAAGAGAAAAATAGTAATATATATATTACGATGTTTGTAATATTACGATGCCTGGTAATATTACAATTTTTAGTAACATTACGATTTTTCGTATTGGACTGGACTGATGAGGTCTCTGTTTTTTTTAATGTTATGAAACACAACAATTAAATTGCCTGTTCGCGAACAGATTAAATTAAAAAAAAGTTGGATAAAAGATCAACTACATGTAGAATGCTTTTCCTAGATTGATTAGTGTGAGGTCAAAGGGGGGGGGTTGTTATGGGGCAGTTATGTACATGTAGAGTGGTTATATGGTTGGATCGACTTGCTTCACGCGGAGAAAAAAAAACGCTGGAAAAATAAGAGTATTTTTCTACTATTTCGTGGGATGAGGTCTCTGTTTTTTTATGTTATGAAACACAACAAAATAGATTGCCCGTTCTCGAATGTCTCCAGATTTAAAAAAAAAAAGGATAAGGTCATCTTTAAAAGGATGTGTTTGCCCTCTCCCTACTCAGGCCTCAGGGTAAAAAAAATGTGTCGGTAGGTGATTTTTTTTTAAATAGAAAATTTCAGCATATAGGCCTACTTGTTAACGACATGAGAAAATTCTGGGGGGAAAAGCGAATTAAGGTATCCGATCCATAATAGCCTCAGATTCAATGAATTTGAATGAATAACAGATGTATATTGACTGAATACTCAGTATATGTAGACATAATCTTTATGTTTCAGTATCAATATGTACGAGCAGAATGTGTCCTTTTTTACCTTGACCTGTCCTTGAAGAGTTATCCCCCTTTGCTTTCAATAAAAAAAAATTATTTAAAAAAAAATATATCTGGTGAAAAATTATTTTAAGTTTTAATTGTTTTTCTATTCTTAATAAGAATATGCATCTTTACACCAAAGCATTTTTTTTTATATTCATAGTATTTAATTTTTTATTTTAAAATAAATGCTTTTTCCCCATTGACTTCAAAGCATTCTTAATTAATTAATTACTGCGCGGGGATTAAATTTTTGAAAATTTCTGCTGATAAATCCTTCAGTTTTCTACTCTAAACTGCTTTGAATGAATTTCAGAGTATTTAATGTAGAATGGATATTTAAGGTTAGAAAATTATGTCCTTTTATGGATCGGATACCTTAAAAAAATTTACAGATTTTGTCGGTTCTGGAAAAAGTTTTACCGGAGTCAGGCCAATTTTACCAGTCGGTCAGGAGATGGCCTGGCAAACAATCTTTTTTTTAAAGATGGCCTAGTAAGGAGGAATTTAAATTAAAAAAAAAAACAATTGGAAGTGTAAAATTTAACGTTTTTTATGGGACAGGAAAACCTCAGATTGAATAAAAAAAAATTTTAAGTGGAGAATGAGGTCGCCTTTAGTCAGTCGGTCGGATTGATTGATTGTATATTGTTTGGAGACGCCACCACTTGCCGGTGGAGAGCTGCAAATGTCCTAGCTCGGCACTCGGGGCCATTGAGCAGGGAGGAATCTTTTTCGTGCACGTGCCAGCACCTACTGCGACACGGGACCTCGTTTTATACGGTCTCATTCAAAGGACCGGTCTCCACATCCCACAGTGGGATTCGAACCTGCGAAGTGAGAATCAACTCCTTTCTTCGGAACGCTAACCACTGCGCCACTGCGGACGACCATTCGGTCCGAAGTAAATGAACACATAATTTTTTTTGTATCGTATAGAATTTTCAAAAATGAAACAGTACTTAGGAGAAAATCTTACATTTAACCTGTAAACTGCATTTTAGCATTTACCAAAAAATGAGGCAAACAATGACCCAGCAGTTGCATCCACGGAGTTAGAGCTCTATTCCTTGCGACCTAAAATTTTATAGAGAATGAATAATTTAATCGTGTTTTTGTCAGATCTAGGCTTTTAAAAATGTGAAAAATATCAACGATAAAAAGTCTCCTGGGCCACACTGGCCAAGCTTAGGTTTGGTCTTGGACCTGTAGGGAACACTAATTAAGTTAAGACGTCCCACAGACATGACAGATCAGCGTTGGAGGACTAAATTTTTTATCGGGGTGGGGGAAGTCTTAACCTTCAGTGAATTTATTGTCCCCTTATAAATACATTGAAAAATACCACATATGCATGCAGGCCCGACCACATCCATTACCTTTTTCTCTTGGAACATTTATTTTGATCTAGTTACTAAACACTGTCAATTTCTCTCACCTCTTTCGCTTGATTTTATATTGAGTGATAAATCTTCTGAGTGCGTTGTCCTCTGTCTAATTAGTATTAATAGTCCGTCACTCAGATATTAATTATCGCTAGATGATGTAACAGAACGAAATCATCATGAGGATTTTTCTTATAGTATCCACAAATGACGTCATGAGAAAACTGACAATGCGATAATCATTGTTAAATAACTGTGATAATTATAAGTGGGAGTGTACAACTGCATGTTAAAAGTACTTGTGGGACAGCGCAGTGCTTACATTCAACCCTTGATTCATTGTTTACATATGTAAAAATAAAAGCTTGCAAGTCACATCCGTGTCAAACTGAGGACCTTGTTAATTATTGCCATATATATGTGTGTGTGATTTTTTTCCGATAAGTCTGAAATCCACTCTCTGTCAGGAACATATTAAGCTACTGTTCACACGGAGGCAAATATCGATCTCCTTCGTCTTCTGTCATTCACGAGTAAAGAGAACAGAGGCTAAGCAAACCGTACAGGAGGAAGGGGGAGTATCCCCCCTAAGCAGGAGCTCAAGGTAAGGTAGGCTAGCTTTCTGTAAATCAAGATAACTACTAAACACACCAATATTCCATATATCATGCATGATGTACAAATTCCTATGAAGACATGAGTTATTTCATTATAATTTTTTGGCATCGTTTATTATTCAATCAACCTATTGTTTACAAAATTTCATGCATGCAGAAATGCTTTGTTATAGTTAAGAGCTATATACATGTATCGATTTTTTTTTTAGAATGACATACGATATATATATGGCCTAGTAAATTTTCGAATTTTTTTTCTTCAGTTGAATGATCAACGGCTACAAGCATGGTTAATTCACCCACCTAATGAATTTTGCTGAAATTAAATAAATATTTTTTGAATTTAATATCGTATAAGGTTTAAAAATTATGCTTGTACCGGGTCACCAGATATTCCACATATATAGATGCATCATGTAATGGAATTCAAAAATTAATATTTTCTGATGTCTTTAAGATTTATTTTTATCCTTTAGTAAGCTGTAGGTCTTTAGCTCGCTGGTCCTAAAAAAGATATGGATATATATTGTCAACTGAAGGTCTATTTTTTTTTCAAACAAGCGAGCTACAGATCTGCAGCTTTCTTCAATCTTTATCACGTTTATCCCTGATAATTACAATTTTACAAATGAATCTTTTATTTTACCCAAATGCGCATTCATGACAAAATTTTTGTAATGTTACGATTAAACATGGGCGTCGGAAGCAGAATGAAAGTTGGGTGGCTAATTTAAAGAGGGACTTAACCAACAAAATAGGTAAACCCCAATTTCCAAATCATATATTATGTCTATCTATAGCCCCCCCCCCCCCCATTTTTCATTTTGGACCTGACTGCTGACTTAGCAAAGATGTATTATAAATACATTCAATGACTCGCCGAGGATAGAATTTGTACTCATACCCACGTGCAATCAGATGTGTGGTATATACAAAATTAATGTATAATTTTATATAGATATATATGCATGCTTGGTTAGTTCTAAATCTTTAATAATTATTTATACTTAGCTACATAAAAAGGTCCGTACTTTTCTTAAGTGTTTCCTTGTGCACTTCCGAATCTCATATCAGTTTTAAATTACTGTTGAATAACTTAAATTAAGTGTATACATGTGTACTTTTGTAAACTATGTTGAATTTTAATACGAAACCAAAGACCTGAACGAATTATCGGGGGAAAAAAAAAGAAAGACGTGGGTTACTGAAAGAAATAAATTAAAAAGTCAACATTTAAAAATTTCAGACTAAGGCCTATTTTTGACTTGGTGAGATGTGAGGTAGCTTAATGATACTGTGATGGAGAACCAGTTCTCCCGAGATCGACACCAGTCTGTGGGGAAACGATACCAGAGCCTCACTATGGACAGTAGTAGGTAAGCTGAAAAAAAGATAGGGATGGGCAATTTAAATCATATTTGACCTGTGTCAATTTTCTGAACCCATTGAACGTGAGACGATTAAAGCTTGAGAAATTGTACATATATATTATATTTTTGCACTTGATATAGATAGTTATAGATACGTTTAAACTTTAGATTTAAACTTTCAATGTGACATATGTACCGTATATATAGCTAGTCCAGTATATGTCATTTCATCAACTGTTACACCCCCCACCCCCTCTCCCGAGTACTTACAGTGTAATGTACAATTTCTTTGATTTTCAAGTCAAGTTTATTAATAAAGTTTTTGTGTAATGTATACGCTTTTTAAGATACTTACGAAAGCATATTGAGCTCATTTTCGTAAGTGAAAAAAAAATTCGGGTGAAATGCGTCAGTAAGTTTCGCGTTATTTCGCGAAAAAAATTATTATTTTTAACCTAAGAAAATGAGTCGAATGGGCTTTGTAGATACTTAGCCTGCATTTAAAAAATAATTTACTTTACATAAAACTCGTACAACTGGTGCTTTTTTTTTGGGGGGGGGGGGGTCTGTTGGAAACTTTATTCGAGCCCTTATCTGGGATCCGGTGTCACAAACATTTTACACACCATAATAATCATTCTAGTATAAATTTAACTCCAGTATTTTTTCATTTGAATTTTGTCAAAGTATACTTTATTACACTTTTCTAATAAAAAAGAGAGTATTGTCTGATAAACTTACTAGTTAACATGATCAAGAAAGAGTTATTGCCCACAAGTTAGGGTTATTAACCTGTTCTTCGGAACACTTCTGTACTCACTCTACATAGTTCATCAAACGAAACTCATTCTTCATTGGTAAACAGCATGGCAGATTACTTAATAACTGGCGGCACGGGGTACGTCCCAGATGACGGACTAACGGGGGCCCAGTTATTTGCCAATGGGGACGGACTCACCTACAAGTAAGTTTGATAATTAATTCTCATAACAACGCATCATTCGGTTACACATAAGAGCCCCCCTCACAACAGCACGTGTAAACACGCAATATATACGCATAGTGTACACATATTACTGTACAATGGAAACGTTTAGCTACGGGTTACGGGTAGTATTGAATGACTCAGAAAATGGGAAGGGTAGTTAGATGTGGTTCCAAGTATATGAAAGGAGAATACCGACAGGAAACAATTCATTTATTGACCAGTTACATGAATTAAGGGCCCTCATGGGGCAAAAAGAAAGTTCATTGTTAAAATGTATATAATGATTATGATCATACACATGAAATACAATATATATATACATAAGAGGGAAAGAATTGCTTGATTGATAGAATAGACATACAACATGTATTCACTGTACAGTACCTTTCCCAACGACTACCCTGTTTTACAGAGGTGAAGGTTTATGTATAATGTTAGGCAATGTGATCTCTCCTGATACAGAGGCAGTATTTTAAATTTATATTGGGTGATTGGGCTGTGGGACCAGGAGAGAGAGAAAGAGAGAGAGGGGGTTATAGTTAGGATGGTGTAGAGATTAACATCTATTATGTACCCAAATTCACCCTACCCAAGTGTTTCCAGGTTGGAATTGAAAATGCAATATTTACTTAGATAACCTAACATACATAATCATACATAAACTATGCAGGCTTGACGTGGAGAAAAAAATGTAATCACCATGGTTAGGAGCTATACATCAATGTACATGTATAAGCCTAATGTGCATATATATCTCATATTATATAAGCCCACCTTAAAATTTAATAACCTGAATACACTTATGTATAGTTTGTTGGAATCATACAGGTTTAAATTTGTAAATTTTGTGGGAAAAATGATGAGAATGGTCGAAGGCTTTTCATTATAATATTCTATATTTTCCTGTTGAACTTTGCTCCAATATAACTTAAATTGGCAGTACACAGTACAGTACCTTAGACACTGTAGATCAATTAATTTTCGCGACACCTTATTTTCGCGAGATAGTCATTGACTCTTTATTAGCGAGACAAAATTTTCACGAATTATGGTCATTGCTCTATATAATCTTAAAAGTATACACGCTATAACTTGCGCCAGTTAAAATACGATTGAAAATTTATATAATTTGTTTATCAATAAAAGTTAGGAAAATACTGTAAATTACACCATTAAAATTAAACGCGTTACAAAGTTATCAAATTATAATTTTTTAATTATCCTGCAAGGAAAGAAAAATAGCTATTTTTAAATAAACCCATCACGTGACGCCGTCGCTACATTTAGATTGATAAACACATGTGGCGTAAAGAAAACAAGGTAGACCGTTTGAGATACTACTCACTTTTGACGTGGATGGCAAGCGTCTTACTTAATGGTACTTATCTTTTAAATGGTACTGACGCATATTCTTATATTAGGCCATTTTAAAAAATGTATTCAGTCCATCAACCATTGCACCTCTCTGTTAAGAATGATTTTCTTGTTTGATTATAATAAAGTGAAACCTAATATATATAATAATTGTTGTCTCCAAAAAAAAAAATGCCAACACCCACACCTAAAATGATGATTTCCCAAAAAAATTTTTTTTTAAGGATGGCCTTAATAACATGTGTTTCTGTATATACATGTGTTTCTATATATAGGTCTACTGTTTACGCACTTCCTTCATCAATATTCATGAAAAGACTGAGTTCTTAATTCATTGTTTTGTTATTACAACGATAACTATAGTACAATTTTGTGGAAAGTATTATTTTTCATTAAAGTTCGTGTGTTTTAAATCATTAATCATTTTGTTTCACACAAAATTCGGCGTTCATATAGCGTATATGACTTTAAGGAATACTATTAAATGCGAGAATGAAATTTTCGCGAGCATATTGTCTCGCGTAATTACGCGAAAATAAAGTTCTCACGAATAAATAGTGATTTACAGTAGTCAAAAGTGGCTCATTATGAATTTGGAAAAAGTTATCATTAATATTTGGACATGCTGGAAATGCAGCATTTTTGGTGTGGAAACTTAAACTGAATAAGATACATATACACATATGTTTCATGTATTCCAATCATAAAATAATAGGCTGAAAATAATTAGATAATAGTGGTATTTTCCAATCTCTAAGAACTAATTAGAGAAAGAAATATTGTTAAATTTCACCAACATATAATTGTCTTTTTTGCAGTGATTTTCTCATATTGCCAGGGTTCATTGACTTCCCAGCGGATGTGGTGGTAAGGAACTTTAAGATTTCATTAAAATAACAACATGAAAAATATTGAATGTATTGAAGCAGAGCATTTATGTAAAAATATGGAATTATTGTTGAAATGTTTTGATTAATGTTTTAAGAATGAGATAAGACTGTAGGGGGTGGAGAGATAGATTTAGTGGATTCTTTCAAAGTGTTAAGATTATATGCACTTGTTAAGTTCAGATTTAGGTACCATATAATGCATTTGTACATTAATCAAAATAAGTAACAATTCAACAAAAAAATCTTTTACTAAATTTTAACAGTGTGTCCATTTCAGGGTTAAAAATTGTCCACACTGCTATATATATAAAGGAGATCAGAAATGTTTAGAACCTTGACCTGTTTGACTTTGTTTTAGGATCTGACCTCCGCACTGACCAGAAAAATCACCCTCAAGTCTCCCCTAGTATCCTCCCCCATGGACACAGTCACAGAGTCCCAGATGGCCATAGGAATGGCAGTAAGTGTTTTATACATGTCCATTCATCAAACAACAGACTGAATGAAAATCCATATCATGTGACAGTCACTGGTGATTACAGAGTTAAAGGAAAAGAGTCCAGAAATTTGTAGGTCATAGCTGTTTATGTTAGGAATAGAAGAATTCTTAGTTGCTGAATCAATTAGGCTGATAGGTGTTTTGTTTCAGGGTTCATTCTTTAGTTTCTGATGATTGCTGTAAAGTGTAAACAAGCTGGCAAGCTTATAAGAATTCTACTCTTTGGCTTGTATAGAAATGGAGCTTGCTAGCTTAGAAGGATCCTATTCCATTGCTTGTGTAGAAATGAAAATTTATGAATTTTTGGACTTGTTAATGTAACAAACTTGGAGAACAAATTGTATACTAGTGACTCAGAATCTATCTTAGCTAGCCAAGAGTCCATGCAGGGTAAAAGAATCAGACACTTGACTAGCGAAGATGTTCTGAATCATGATCAGCTGATCATTCTTCATGTTTCTGATTGTGAACAAAAAGCAGACTAACACAGTGGGAGTTGTCCCTGTATCACTGTGTTATAGTATACTGTAAACCAACTATTATTTGCATCATCTTTTGTTCGTGATTTGTCAGTTTAAAATCAATCTGTGCCGATTACCGGTAGTTTTTGTGACGGAGAAATCTTTCTCTTCTTATACAAAGGAAAATAAGTGCTTTGCGGCGATAAATATTTTCAATTTAATGTTGGTCGCGAAACTTGGAAATATTTCTCGCACACAAATAAAAGTTGGTTTACAGTGTACTATCAGTTACAAGATTTAAAACTATAGGGACCTAAAGGTGAATTTGATTTGTATTTGTCAGTAAGCTTAGGAAAAAGAAGTTATAAACCTCTAATGAGTCTTCTGTATAGAAAGGTAAATTTGATAACTATTTGTCAATAAGTTCAAGAAAAAAGTAATAAAGTAAACCTATTGATTTTTCAATGTAGATAGGTAAATTTTATTTGTATTTGTCAGATATATCAGAAAAAAAAAATGTTATTGATTCCTCTACTGATTTTTCAGTGTAGAAACGTTAAGTTAATTGGATTTGTATATGTTAGTCAAGTTAGGAAACCAAAAAAGAATAGGTCTCATAGATAACAGTCTCATTAGCCTCCTGTGCTTAATAAACAACCTAACTAGGATTATGAACACGACAAGCCAAAAATCAATAGTCACAAAAGCTTGTGCAGTCATCTGTGTTTTCAAACATGTTTTGTCAGTTGATTATGCTTACTTTTTATGAGATTTTCTAGAAACTCTGGCTTGCTTTTTTTTTATTAGATTTTCCAATGCTAATCTCTTGATTGTAGCTCAGCATTATCAGTCTATACTTAAATTTATAAGAAATATAGCTGAGCTTAGTGGTTCTCAGGTAATGAGTTTTATATTGATCTATAAATCGACTGTCTTGTTCTTGATGGGGATTTCGGATCAGTGTTTTTAAGTGAGAGAAAGCAGAGACTATGATATCAATTAGCATGTCAGCTAGGTTGGAAGTGTCTTAATTTTCTATCAATCTAATCTGATGAGATTTGATTATTTTATTTGGGAAGTTGACTTGCTATAAACTCACTGGATACAGCTAATGTGACAGTTGTACAATTCACTGCAAAAGTGAAAAAAAAAAAAACTGTGTATAAAAAAATTGTTATGACAAAAACTGGAATTTTTTTAAAATACATTTATGACATTTTCTTAACACTGAACTTTGGCAGCTTTCCATTACCAAACACATTAGCAGAAATTAGCTTGTAAAACATAGCAGACATGGATTGGAAGAGGTTTCTTCACTAGATAATGGGTTTGACTAATGAAATGTGTGCCTGTTGATAATTGAGGAATGTCAATAAAACTTCAATCAACACTCATTGCAGCTTTGTGGAGGAGTTGGGATCATTCATCACAATTGTACTCCAGAATTCCAGGCCAATGAGGTCAGAAAGGTCAAGGTCAGTTGGTTTAATGTAATTTAGCTTGTCTCATCATTATGAGATACATGTGTATTTATATATAATTAATGCTGTGCACAAATGTAAAGATGCTTTTATGTTTGCAGTAGTTCATTGGATTTTTATCCTGCATTTATTATTGATTCATCCTTTGTAGAAATATGAACAAGGCTTCATCCTTGACCCAGTTGTAATGTCTCCCACTCACACAGTAAAACATGTAGTAGAGGCAAAAAAGCAGTTTGGTTTTTCTGGAATTCCAATCACAGACAATGGTCACATGGGGGAGAAGCTGGTGGGATTGGTCACACAGAGGGACATCGACTTCCTGACCAATGATCAGATGGACACACCCATATCTGAGGTGCATGTACTAGATATAAATAATTTAAATTATTGTTAGGGAAAAATGGGAAAATATCTTTGTCATCAACAACAAAGCCAGCAAAAATATATTTATTATCATATATGTGAGCACAATTGTACAGCTGAAACATATAATGTCTGAATGCTTACATGTATGTATAAGGGTAATGTGATCATATTGATAGGTCATGACAAAAGTTGAAGACCTGGTAGTGGCTCACAATGGAGTCACACTAAAGGAGGCTAATTCCATTCTACAGAAAAGCAAGAAAGGTAAGATTAATATGAAAGTTTGTATATGAATAACATAACCACCCCTTTTTTTACTTTCCATTATTTCTACTTGTTGAATATTTTGCCTTCAAAATGAAGATTCTATGATTTGTAGATCACTAGTTATCTTTACTATTTTGTCATATTCTTCAGTAAATGAACCAGTAATCATGTTTTTTATTGTCTCATTTTGTATTGGGCAGGAAAACTTCCAATTATAAATGATGAGGGTGAACTAGTGGCGTTGATAGCAAGGACGGATACAAAGAAAAACAGAGAATTTCCTTTGGCTTCCAAAGACGAAAAGTACATGGAATTCAAATTTATTTTTGCACCAAGTTCTACAATTTCGATCATTAAAAGTGTTTTGCAATTAAGATGTAATTTTCTTCTAATAGGAAGCAGTTGTTGGTGGGGGCTGCAGTAAGTACACACGACGAAGACAAAAAACGCCTTGAGCTTCTGGTCCAGGCAGGGGTGGACTTTGTTGTCTTGGTGAGCTTCAAGTTATACAATATTAATACAGTGAAACTTGTCTGATCACAGTGTTGTGTATTCAATGAAATGCAATGATATCTTCAGTTATACAATGTAAACTTTCTGTCCCTTAAATTTCAATAAATTCATTTGTTTAAATGTCTAATACAGCCAGTTTCTTTGGAACAGCTAGTGTATGTTTCAGGCTAATTTGTAGACACTATTTAATTTATACCCTTTGTAGTAATTTAGATTTAACATCTTACTAGCTCTTATATACATGTACTTATTGTTTGTTTTAATATTTGTTATATTTTCAGGACTCTTCACAAGGAAATTCTATTTATCAAATCAACATGATCAAATTTTTGAAGAAGTCATATCCAGATGTTCAGGTCATTGGTGGTAATGGTAAATATTGTATATGTTGCATGTAAACTCGTGTACGTCTGTAGCTTTAATTAAGCCATTTAAAAATAAGTAAGAAATTTAGAATAAAGATGAAATTTTCATTGTACTACCGTATAAGTGGAAATTTTAGTGAGATTCAAATTTAGCGATTTCTACCTAAAATATGGTATTTTATTTTTAGCGAGAAGTAATTTTAGCGATTTTAAAATGCTAACTTAAGAAGCTTTTACAAATAATACGCAATCAATTTTAGCGATTTTAGCACCCTTGCTAATAATGCCAAAATTAAATCCTTGCTAAAAATTCTACTTGTACGGTATATTAAGGGAATAACTATCTTCTAATTTGGTATTTGTGACCGTTAATGCTGATTTAACGGTCACAAACTGAGTTTTACCGGCGACGCGTAAGCGGAGCTGGTAAAACGGATGTTTGTGACCATTAAATCAGCATTAACGGTCGCAAATAGCAAATTAGAAGATCAGTTATTCCCATTCTAATGCAATCCATGCAATTTGTTTGTTGTTTACGTCTTATTTTGCTGAGTTTTGTTGTATAAAATACGTCATGGAGCATTGTGTTTTTGTGTCGCTCTATTTTGACGTCACAATGAAAAGCTTTCACTCGCGTTAATGCTCGTTTTACTGCTTCAAACATCAGTGCATTAGCCAATCAAAAGGTGTTTTGCAAAATAATTGCATTAGAATATATATTTAACACTAAGTCTTGTAGATGTTACATGTATGGCATTTTTTTTCATAAATGTAGATCAATGTATGTTATTTTATTTTTATCAGATTGTTGTTTCTTATTTAAAAGTAAAACAAAATTTTCGCAAATAATAGTTTGACAGTAGAATTATACACAAGAATTAAATTTTTACTAGCAGATGGTTGTGTGTAATTTACAGTGTCTGTAGAGATGACAAACTTTGTTTACCTTCTTTATTGAGATCATCATGAAATTGAATCATCAATCTTTTTGTTTTAGTTGTGACAGCAGCACAAGCAAAGAACCTGATTGATGCTGGAGCTGATGCTCTGCGAGTGGGAATGGGGAGTGGATCTATCTGTATTACACAGGAAGGTAGGTTTGTTATAGTGGGAATGGGGAGTAAATCTATCTGTATTAAACAGGAAGGTAGGTTTGTTTTAGTGGGAATGGGGAGTGGATCCATCTGTATCACACAGGAAGGTAGGTTTGTTATAGTGGGAATGGGGAGTGGATCTATCTGTATCACACAAGAAGGTAGGTTTGTTATAGTGGGAATGGGGAGTGGATCTATCTGTATCACACAGGAAGGTAGGTTTGTTATAGTGGGAATGGGGAGTGGATCTATCTGTATCACACAGGAAGGTAGGTTTGTTATAATGGGAATGGGGAGTGGATCTATCTATATCACACAGGAAGGTTTGTTATAGTGGGAATGGGCAGTGGATCTATCTGTATCACACAAGAAGGTAGGTTTGTTATATGCCTCCATCTCAATATTCCATTCAGAAGCAGCAACACAACTGCACATTTCCTAAACAAGTTCAATGGATATGACATTCATTGATATCTGAATATTGAAAATAAATTCTTAATCTGAGAGACTTTAGATCAGTGCATTTTTTTTTTGGTTAATTATTAAAAAAGTATTTGTTAGAGGAAACTGAATGAATCCAATACATGCATTTCAAGGATGAACCCTTGTTCATATCTTTCTATGCAATCTTAATGGGACACAGCTCTGAATTGTAAAGAGGACTTGATGATTTGTGACTTTTTTTCAGTGATGGCAGTGGGAAGGCCCCAGGGGACAGCGGTGTATAAAGTAGCAGAGTATGCCCGGAGGTTTGGTGTCCCTGTTATTGCAGATGGTGGGATATCCTCTGTAGGTCATGTGATCAAAGCTCTGTCTCTAGGAGCATCGACTGGTTAGTAAACTTTAAAACATTAAAAGTGCATGACAATGTATGATTGCTGTGCAATTTTTGAAATAATTTTTTCGCAAGAGGTCTGAGTTTTTAAAAGAGTTTAAACCATCTGACAGCAAAGTCTAGACAAAGCAAGTTTAAATTCCTATATTTTAATGAATCGGAAAAGAATTTTCAATCTGAAAAATTAACAGTTACCATGATTTCATAAGTTATTGATCAGTAGATTAAATCTGTACAGTTGATGTTGGAATCCGATAAAATTAATAAATAATTAGGATGCTTTCACTCAAGGGTATCTATTAGAGAGATATGTGTACATGTATATTGATCTTTTACAGTGATGATGGGTTCCCTCCTTGCTGGGACATCTGAGGCCCCTGGGGAATATTTTTTCGCTGATGGGGTCAGGTTAAAAAAATACAGAGGCATGGGATCTCTAGATGCCATGGAAAAACATCGTAGCAGTCAAAGTAGATACTTTAGGTATGTGTTCTAACTACATACCTTTCAAACCAGTCAAATTTTTAAATCAATTTTACTGTTCCTAAAGCTAATTTGTAAACTGTGTGTTAGATAATAAGCTGTTGACATGGAAAATAATAAATCTTATTAAAGTAAACTTTTGTTTTATATATTAAAAAATGCACACCAAACCATTACCTCTCATATTCTATAGCAATTTAGTTAAAATTAGATGTTCTAAATTCTCTAGTGATTTTCAAACATCTAATGACATCACACTGGGTTAAGTCGGAGCATACATGCCAACTTTGATCAAAGCTCTGTCTCTATCCCGCCTTCGACTGGAGAGAAAACTTTACCCAAACATTAAAAGTTCAGATTGACAGTTTCCCTACCGCCGAATATTGTCAATTGGGATAAGAAAATCAGAGTTGTTTATTCAATGCACACAGATAAGTCTCATCGTTTATTTAGCATGCAGAGTTAATTAGCCACAGGAAATCACTTCTCGCTTCAACGCACACGCTGCTGTCCAGGTACAGGTAGCTTATAGCCTGGAGCAGTTAAATTCTTTTTATTTTAATGAAACACATAGATTAAGGGCTTAATTATTAGTAATTGTATTAAAAGCAAAAATTGAAGTCAATAAAATGATAATCAAACAATAAAATTGGAATCCAAGAAGATCGGTTTTTTTGAAAACGAAAGTAGAAAATTTCAAAGCATATATAGCTGCTGATTTTGACTGGTAATGATAAAAACATTGTATAGTTTGTCAATTAAAAAAAATATTGAAAATAATTTAGATTAAATAATACTCTCATGTTAAGTACACTAAATTTCAATCCCCCCCATTCTCCCATAGATCATACTCATATTGTACATTGTATTTCTTTGTTAAATATATGTCAAGGAAATACCAAAGACCCATATGGCATTGCCAAGCCTGGAAAAATCATGTTCATGAGCAGTCACAATTTTAATTTTTCTTTGGGATGGGTATGTGTTCTGCAAATTGTTTTGTGTGTGAGATAAAAATAATCATGCACTGTCTATATATTTTAGGAAATAAAGTGACACTTGATTTTACTGTACATCCAAAACAAAATGTAAATTGATAAACTGTGTGACAACTATTAAGCAGATATTTAAATTTGGAAAAATAAAACTTTAATTTGTATTGAATTATTTGTGCTTTATATATATCAAAAAATTGCACAAAAAAAGTATTTCATAATCATTTATTTTAGACAAAATGTTGTGAATTTAAAGCTTTGAAAATTGTCTAGTGGTTTTCAAAATCCCCCATGGGAATTTTCAAAAGTTGGCATGTATGTCGGAGGTACCTCTTGACTTGCAGTCCAGTGATTTTCTTTTTCGTTGTCTGACCTAAATGCTGAAGGAGTTTGTAGTATTTTAAAAAACAAAACAGTGCATGGAAAAGGCCATGTTGTGTATGATGTGATGTGGAGGATAAATTGCACAGGTTTTAATTCTCATTTGCATTATTCAGGGAAGGTAAGGTTGGCTGGTGGATTGACTATATACATTAAATTTTCATCACAATCAATCTTAAATCATCATAAGAGACTTCTAAGCACCAGAAATAATAGGATGTAGGCATTGTACTAATTATAGTATTATATTATACAGAAGTTTAAATCTGATTTTCATATCATTTCATGATTGAAAGGTATAGTGCTGATATGACCCTGTATGGCATGTTACATGTTTGAGAAGAGGTACCTTAGAAGATTTGAAACATTTAATTTCACCTAGATTGATTCTATCGATGAGTTTACTCTTCTATACATGAATATTATCTTTAAGATTTATTTTGACTTTCAGTGAAAGTGATAAAATTAAGGTGGCTCAAGGTGTCTCAGGGTCTATTGTTGACAAAGGTTCCATCCACAAGTTTGTGCCATATCTGTATGCTGGAATCCAGCATGGCTGCCAAGACATAGGAGCAAGATGTCTCTCCAATCTCAGGTAGACTAAGTTATTCATAAATTACTGAGTAATGAATAAAATAGATTAAATTACAAAAAAGTAGTTATATTACTAGTCGGGCTAAATCAGGAAGAATCATATTTCTTTTCCTTATGTGAGCATATAAAAAAAACTTTTTGTTTGGTGTTTTTAAGTCAACAAAGTGACAATATAATATCTTAGCTTGTTTGTTTAGTGTTGTCAAAGGAACAAAGGGTTTTTGAAATTTTATTTCCCTTTAGATCTATGATGTACTCTGGAGAACTGAAATTTGAGCGTAGAACAGCATCAGCACAAGTAGAAGGAGGGGTCCATAATCTTCACAAGTGAGTCAGGTGTTCATGGTATTTTCATTAAATGGTGATATACATGCCTATATAAATGTCCTGGAGTTTGATTTATAAACAGGGTCACCCATTCATTTAATGCAGAAGGATAATAGTTATATAAAATTGACACCATACACAAAATATAAATGAAAATTATATATTGTGTATTATGATGTGTGAGTATGTATGATTGTATGTATTGTGTATTTATTATAAAATAACAATGAATATACTTAGATATTATATATCTCGCATTAACTTTAAGTCAAAAAATTAAATTTTGATTTAAAAATCGAAATGATAAAAATATTAAGTATTTATATAAACTTGAATTCCAGTACATAGTAATCTATATAATATGCTAGCTTATGATGCATGCAAATGTAAATTATGCAGGACATATTATAATGAAATGCTAATTCTTCCATATGTAAGATTATTCCTTATGAAACATTTTATGAAATAATACTTCTGTAGTACACATTTCAAAGGCTGCCATTTCTTTTAGTGATGCACATAAAGTTAAGATAAATTCATTTGCTTTGCTTGGTAGGATTCTTAGAATATAAGGTAAGATAAAAAGGTGCCAAATTCTATCTTGATTGCAGTGAATCATCAAAGGCAACTAAACTTAAAGCTTTTTTAAAAAGTATTTGATCAAAAAAAGTAAGAGTTAGAGACCCAACTGCATACAGTTTTGAAAGTGTCTATATAAAAATATTTACAATCCATGTAATTTTCTTTAGGAAATCCAATAGAAATCCATGACATTCAAATCTCTATAACACACGTGAAACATCACTGCGCGCTACAATACACAGTAGGAACTATATGCATTTTCAATGCTCAAGGAATACCAAAATATACAATTTTTGACTCAATTTAATGAAAAACTATAACCCTGTTAAATTAACGTAAAAATACAACAAATGTGCATTTAAAATTAATTTGTCATTTTTTTTTTCTCGCAATGTTCGTTTGCATTATTTAACTTTGCAATGTCACCAATGGCTCTTACGTCTAATAAGCACACCAGTTTTGAAGGGCACTAAATTCACAGTAAAGATTTGCGAAATAAACAATTATGAAGAGGGAAAGTTACAGAAATGAATGTAAATGAAAGCATTGAATTCATATTTTTGGATGTCTTTGGTCCTTTGGTCTTTGAAACATATGGCTAAAATAGGACTTTTCAAGGAAGCAGAAAACTATTATAAAAATATCAGTGTCTGGGTATTATAAATAGCTAAAAAAATAATAAAAATTAAAATAAAAATAACCTTTTAAACTGCAGAGCTTTAAAAGATTTACAAAATTTTGAAGAAAAAAAATGAATCCTGTGATAATAAGTTTGCTTTTACATACAATGAATCCCTTTTAATTACAACCTCTACATGTAAATGAGAACATGCAGGCTTTGCTAAAAAACAAAAAAGAAAGCCTGTTGAGTTCAAGTATCTTGTAGTCATACCTATATAAAAGACATGTACAGCTGGAATGGCCTGCATGAAAGGAAAAAAAAACATTGCAAAAAGCAGTGAGGATAGAATTTAGCAGAAGTTTTTGATTGCCAGATCTCTGGGTGCTGCATTTATAATCTACAGTGTTAATATGTTCTGTGACCAACCACTTTCAAAATTCCCCTGCATACCCAGAAAATCATTTAAATCAATTTTACACCATCATTATTGTCATTATAAAATAAAATTCAAACTTGACTAGCATTTGTGTTCAAAAATCATCTAATAACTCGTACATATTTTATTCTCTCCAGACTAATTATGCAAAAGGCTTGGAGTAGTGCTTTGACAGAATATCATTGTGTACTGGTGTTAACAGTCATCCGTCATTTATTTATGTTTATTTTTTTTAATGAGACCTATATACAAAAAATGGTTTGCATAGTGTTTCACAAACACATCTTGTTTTAATGAGAAATGGTTTGCTTTTCTTAAATTTGAGAATTTCATAGATGCTTTATATGACAACAAATTCTGTGCAACATATCTCTTGTTTTACATTTTTAAAAGACAAAAAGGAAAGGATATTGTATAGTCATAAATATACTGACACGCAAAAGAAACGCAACAAGTACTAATCTACAAATGTCTGATTTTTTTGTCTTATGATTTTCAAAAAATGAATACAGTAAGGCTAAACTCACATTTCAGAACATCAGAGATTTGCTAAAAGTGTTAAATGTTTATCTTTTTACTTTACTAAGTACCACATGACTGTTAAAACACCCCCCTCCCAGCCATTCAAGTAAAACGTGCAAGACTGCCCTAAACAGCAATTGCAGCTTAATTTCTACGATACAGTAAGTTCATCAATATCGAGATCTGAGCGAAGGAATTATTCTTTGCCATTTTTAAATGCCCGTTTTTCAGATGATTAGGTCGAATTTTCTCTAACTTAGAGCAGTGTAGCCACCCCTGGACTTCCGGTACAAGGACTGTCCTTAATGAATATGTTACGTAAGCCTTTTGAGGTGTATTGTTGTGAATTTTTGCATCAGCAACTTTTCATCACCTTTACATTGAAATTTTCCAGCTAGAGCAATGGAAATGCGTACTTAAGCCATTTTCAAGAAGCCTTAGCATCGTTATGGGAAACGAAAGGAGAGTTTATTATTTGAAATATTGCTGCATTACTTATGATTAACAGTTAAAACCCTTAAAGTTCCATAATATTGCCAAATGTTTTGTTAAACATGCAATTTTTGATTTTTGTTAAGCAGACTCAAACTTGACTTCCGGTTATGGTATGAAAATCGTTCAACAGTTAAATTACCGGTGTTAACCAAAGTGAAGATATCCATAATTTTTAGATACAATTTTTTTTACTTTACATAATTATTTCCCCCTAAAGTAGGATGTTGCGTTTCTTTTGCGTGTCAGTATAAATGTGACTGTAAGTTTACAATGTTTTTTTGTTTTGTATAAAATGCATAAAGTAGGTTAAACATGTGCTAGTGTAAATAAGTGAAATCTGTTTAATATTTTCTGTAAAAAAACGAAATCTCTAGGTAAGGACACTTGTTTGAATACATTACTGGAATGCAGCCCAGAAAAGTCCCTGTAGTGTTTGCATATGCATTTTTCCTCACTAGGAGTAAACATTATTCATGCACTCTTGATTTACATGAAAGATGAAAAATAGAGAGGCCACATGGATGAAATGAACATAGTTTGATACAATAGCTGATGAAGGAAAATGTGACTTTTAAGACTGCTGAAGTCAAATATGATCACTACATTATTATGTATAAACTAGAAATTTAAATTATTTCTGCTTAAAGAGTTACATTGTACTTTAATTAATATAAAATTGTGTTCTTTTCAGCTATGAAAAGCGGTTGTACTGAGGAAATATGAATACAGAGCTGTACCATCCAGTGTGTTCCTTACATTGATCTGTCATGACAGCCATTTGACAATAAAAAAATAGGTCCCACGGGTCAAAGTGCATAATAAATTCCAGTTCAGAGGTCTTTTGAAAAAAAAAGGTGCAATGTTTTCATTTTTATTTTTCAGATATTCTTTTTTTTTTTTTGAGATAAATATCCTCTGTACATTTTTTTTTACCTATGAATGTTGATGGTGCAGTATAAATTGTACATCATTTTTGCAATTTATACATACAGTGTACATTTGTTTTGGTTTTGTATGATTTTTTTTAATTTTAAGGTAGGACAAGGGAGTTTTTCTTGCACAAGAAAATGCAATTCTTTGCACTTTGTATGACAATGTCTTGCCAAACAATGTACATGTGAATTAATTTACAAATTTATGTTTTGATTTTGCATATCATAACATGATCATACAAACACAGAGCTTCTACCTGTACATTTATGTTTCAAACAAACAGGTAGAATGGATATATAAAATGGTTCAAAGGAATAAAATGTTTTATTCTAAATGTATAAGATATTACCTCCCTTGTTTTTTGTCAGCTATACTTTACAAACATTGTAGAAAATGAAGTACACCATTTTGTTATTTATTACAAAAGTTTGATTGATTTTACATGAAAATATTCAAAAGAATGGATCTGAGAAAACGTTGACACTCCTCTTACTCCCATACAATACATCTTCCCTAGCCAAGGGTTTATGGGGAGTACAGTGGACTTAAAACTCTTGGCTGGTGAAGTTGCTTACAATACTGATGAGGAATCTATTTGTTTTATGTCCTTAAATTTTGCTTTTTTGACAAATACTCAGTTGTTGTGATGTTTTTGTGTAGATTTGTATCAATTTATAGCAGATTTGATGATCCTGAAAAAAAAAAATCAGTGAGTAGTCATATATGTGATCAAATTGTAGTATATGATACACTTGGCCTTAATTTGTTGTTGTGAAAAGAAAAATATAATCATTTATGAAAAAAGGTAAGTGAAAGATTTGGGCATTGAACAGAGTAGTTTTTGTATGGAATTCTGAAATTGATTTTGTTTGACAGTTTTTCCAAAGAAAAAAAAAGAGGGTGCACAAGGCCTAGGACAACCCCCCACTCTTAGATAATATATTTCTCAATACTTAGTAGTATTTGAAATTCACTGAAAAGTTATATTTTACTAATATTGTGTTCTCACCAATTTCATCTTCAAAACATTTTATTGCTTTATTTACTGAACGACTTTATTAAAAAAAAATTTTCAAAGTTGACATTTAAGCATATTTATTGGAAATTGGGTCTACTGGAGCTTTGAAAAATGAATTTTGATCAAGTCTTCATTTTTTGTCAATGCCTAAATGATAGAAACATATATGTAAAATCTATTTCATGTTTCAAAAATGGAATCTGAAATCAGTCCATTTTACATGAAAATTGAACATTTCTGACAAAAAATTGTATGCTTCCACAAACTTGTTTATTCAACTCGTTCTAAAAGACTTTGATAATTTGTACATGTTGACTCTATTGCACAGTGGTGGTTATTGGTTCGGTTTTGTGCTAAAGCCTGTGCTATATACGAAGAGAGATTGAATCATACGTGAAGACTTTTTGTGTGTGTGTTTTTTTTTTTCAAATATCTTAAAACATATGTGAAAAATATATATTATTTATTAATTAAAAAATTATTTAATTAAAATACTGAATTAAACATGCAAAAGATGATATTAACAATACAATTTTTGAACAATATAACTTTTCCTGAATTTTTAAAATTGAGAAATGTCCTTTCTCAGAGTGGGGGATTGGCCTCGCAATGTACTCCTAAATTCTTTATATGGATCAACTAATGTAAATGTGAAAATATATTTTACTATTGATGTGTAGGTAATAAAAAAAATTGCTTAAAAACCGAATTGTACATAGAATGGAGGCGTACAAGGGAGGACAATCCCCCGCTCTGAGAAAAGACATTTTGCAATTCTTAAAGTTCACGAAAAGTTGTATTTTTCAAAATTATATGGTTAATATTTTTTTTTACGCATTTAATTCTGTATTTTATTGTTTAAATATTTTATATATAATTCTTCATTCAGGTTTTTAAGGTATGTGAAAAGGAAAAAGAAAAAGCTTCAAGTATGATTCGAACTCTCTCCATTACACAGGGTTTGGCGCAAGACCGAATGCGTTAACCATTATGCTATGAAGTAGATGTGTTATCAAAGTCTGTCGGTGTGTTTTAAATGAACGGGTTCAGATTCCATTTTTTGGACAAATGAAATAGATTTCAAATTTATGTTTCCATCATTTAAGCGTTAACAAAGAATGGAGACTTGACCCATTCATGTTCAAAATTTATTTTTTATGGCTCTAGTAAACCTATTTTCCACTAAATATGCTTAACTGTCAACTTTGAATAAAAGATTGTCAAATAATAAGTCGTTCAGTAAAATAAAATATTTTGAAGATGACATTACTGAGAACATGTTTTCAGAAAAATATAACTTTTTCGTAAATTTTGAAAATTGAGAAACATTTTATTTCAGAGCAGGGGGTTGTCTACGTCTTGTATGCCCTCTTTCTTTAAAGACAAATTATATCAATCAGCAAAACTGGTTCAATGGTGTAAAGCTATTTTTTTTTTCAGCCAAATAATAATAATGTTAATGGCACATTTAAGCTATAACCAAATTTAAAAAAAAAATGCCAACTTTTGAATACTTTTATTATCAAATTTGATATTGGAAAATGTGTGCTTTGCTGTTAAATGAATTTCATCATGTTCATGGGAAGAGAGAATATAAGATGTTATGATCTGTTATGTTTACTAAATGTTAAGAAGAATTGGATAAATGTTACAATATTATACTGAATTATTATGTCAAGATGTTAAAAGATGCCTAGTACTGTAATACTTTTTTGTATGAAATTTACAATGTAAAACAATAAATTGTTTCAATGTTATGAAAATATGCTTTTCTCACTACCAGCATTGATGGGATTTCAACATTGTCTTTTCAAAATTTTTACTTAGTCTTAATGTACATTTATTGTTGAGAATGTTTTATGTATCGTATAAAATACGGTATTGCAATGAGTAAAAATTCGTTTTTTCCTTGACCTTAAAATTAATAGTCGTTGCAACAGAACCAATCGAATTGAAGTACATTATCTAATCTAAAATAAATCGCTAGATAAAATTATTTTGATAAAGAATTTGTTTGTACCAGAAACATTTCTATCTAAATTGCATAGGACGTGTAACACATTCTAGCTAAGCTATGACCGCCACTTAACATATCGATTTTTAAAACGACAATGAAGCACCACACTTACACATTTGTTAGAATTTTTAAGGGGAAAATATTCATTCTTTATCTTTCTTGGTCTTTTTAAAAAGATTTACCAATGTTTTTTTCAGTTTGATTTAAAATACACACAAAAAAAAAACCGTTTCAAAATCATGGAGAGATGACCCGAAGATAGCATATTTTTAGAAAAACCTTTTTTAAAATGTAATATTTTGTACCAAATGACTCATCTAGTCAACTGTCAAGTTCATTTTTGGCAAATCAAAAATTACAATATAGGAAAACACTTCCCTTTCCCTTTTCACAGAAACCCGATATATCGAAAGAATGCTAAAATTTCAAATGACAGACCAATGAAATTTTCACTTTTCATTCCTACCGAATGCCAATCAAAGGCACCCTTGTTCTTGCACTGCAAAACTTCGAAGGCTTCTTGAGGTATCGTAAAGAAAGTGTTAATTAAAACACAGTATTTATGAATTTGACCTTTTGACCTCAAAATCAATAGGGGTCTTCTGTAAGCCAGAGGAAGCTATGTAAAATTTCAGTTCAAAAGCTCAGAGGCTTTTCGCGTGGGAATGGAAGTGTAACAGACAGACAAATACTGAGCCAGACGGACAGAAAGACAAACCCAAGTTAATATCTCCCCATTTTGAGTCCGTGAAAGCGGATGACAAAAATGTAGCCCAACAGTTACGTGAAAACACGATTAAACACAAGGTCATAATTAGCTAGCTAGAACTTGAAAACTTAATTGTATTGTATTTTCATCAATTAGGTGAATAATGCAGAAAGGTAAAGAACATCATAGAAGGTTTAGAAATTCTTAATATTTTGGGAATTTAAGGCACTGAACAGAAATATATCAATGCATGATTGATTGTATATTGAACTTTTTAAACGAAAATGCGTGATTGCCGGTATATGCGTGATTTTGCGTTAGAAATAGGAAATGGTATATGCGTTAAAATGCGTGACTGCGGGGAAGGGGGTTAACGTCCCTCTCGAGATTTCACTCATGGAGACGCCACCAATTGCCGATGGAGAGTTGCAAATTTTATCTTATACTCGTCACTCAGGGCTATTGAGGAGGGAAGGATCTTTTTCGTGCCAGTACCTACTGCGACACGGTACCTCGGTTTATACGGTCTCGTCCGAAGGACCGGTCTCCGCGTCCTTAACTCCTTACTACGCGACTCTAGAGCAGAAGCTCTAACCACTGCGCCACCTCAATGCATGATGTTTAAAAGTTGAGAAATAACGAGTTTAAAAAATCAATGCTGTTGATACTGGAATTTATAATTCATAGATAAGAAGAGTTCACTAGAATACCGATAATTCGAGTCGTCTTATAAAAAAAAAATACCTATTGTCAATTGATAAAGCGTCCATATAACTGAGCGTGGAGTTTAAAAGCAACGGCATTTTTTTTAGCTCACCTGAGACAAAAGTTTGTCAGCTTATTTGATGTTCGATGTCCATCTGTCTCTCTTCCATCCAACCAATTGTCTGCAAACTTTTCATATTTTTGACTTAATTCCAGTTTTGAACCACTTGTTTAATTTTAGATGTTGTCACAAAGCATCATAATATTAAACAGTATGAGAGTTTATTCAAATTAAGTGTCACTCCCTCCTCCGAGAAGAGATATGAAATTTATGAAAAATTTCAAAAATCCTCTCGAGAACTAGGGGATTAGGAAAGAAATTTATATGAAACCCTAACTTACAATGCGTAGATTCAATTTTGTTGATGCTTCCGTATGAATATGCCAAATTTCTTCGAATATGGCCAAATCATAGCTTTCCCGTTCTTGAGAAGAACATTTTGAAAGAATTTTTTTTCATATTTCTTTCTAGATAAAACTTTGACCTTTAATTGTGGATCCATCCTATCCCCGAAGGTCATGGTTTTACTGTACCTGAGAATATGTCTACATCAACTTTCCTAATAAAAAGTGGCGCATGTTTCAACTTTTCTGGCCCAGTGATTTTTGATAAGAAGATGTTTGAAAAAATGCCACCGTATTTAATTGAATTCTATTATCTCTCCTCGAACGTTTGCACTCAATCATCTTTTACATTGATGTTTTGTGACAGTTTTGGTTGTATGGGTTCTGTGGTTCAGGAGAAAAAGTCGAAAACGTGATGATTTTACGAACAGATGGATGAAAAGTCGGTCTTCGGAGGAAATTGAGCCGAAGTGCTCTTTTGAGCTTTCAAGGAATACAAAGACTGAATTAGTCATATGAAATATTCTCAGACCCACTCGGGTAGGGGAATGGGGATCCAAGTTGAACATATAAAAAATAGAAAAAAAAGACTTTTTTCAATTTTTTCAAGAACAACAAATCCGTGATATAAGTCATAGCAAAATGGAAGCATCCTGTGCTAGTGCAGATTTCTGTTTATTCATATATCCCGATTGATTGTATGTTGTTTAACGCCCCTCTCGAGAATTTTTCACTCATATAGGGGCACCAACACTTGCCAGTGGAGAGCTGCAAATTTTATCCTATACTCAGCACTTAAGGCCATTGAGCAATGAATGTGTTTTTTTCATACCAGCACCTACTGCGACAAGGGACCTCGGTTTATATGGTCTCCGACGAAAGACCGGTCTCCACGTCCCACAATGGGATTCGAACCCGCGACGTAAGGATCAACTCCTTGCTACACGACCCTAGAGCAGACGTTCTAACCAGTGCGCCACGCGGGCGACCATATGTCCCTAAAGGATAGGATATGGGTACAGCAAGGGATAAACTTTGGTTTCCTATTTTTGCCCCACCCTATTCTAACAGACAATTATATAACAAAATATTAATGTACGCTAACCGAGGATGCTTCCATATCCATATGCCAAAATCATAGCTTTTTTTGCTATTGTGAAGATTTTGAAAGAATTAATTTCTTTCATATTTCTTCCCAGATAAAATGAGATTTAACTCTTGTTCTTTCAAAACTCTAAAGTAAGAGTAAAAAAACAAATGCTTGATTTTAGTTACAACAGCAAAGAATTAGTTTAAAAGAGATACAAATTAATGTAATTTGAATTAATGAATATTGAATTTCGGGAAGTGAAAATATGACAGGACTGAAACGTGCAACAAAGAAAGGTATAACTGTTTGCATTTTGAAAACTTGAACCAAAATAATTGGCTAAATAATTCAAAATTACATGAATGTTTGTAGGTTATATTTTATATTCAGTTCATTATTCCACACATGCTTCCTTGGAACCTTTCATGTAACTGACATTATTTTATCAACAATATCCTTGCTTTCATTATGGATCCTATTGCCATTTGTTTTATATTTGTATCGTTCACTGCATTGAATTTTACTTTAGCTTGTATGTGTGCTCCCTGATTAATTCATTTCTGGAGGTGGTGGTGGGGGAGGTGGTGTGATTGCCTGTGTTGTTGGTGATGGTGGTGGTGGTGGGGGAGGTGGTGTGATTGCCTGTGTTGTTGGCGGTGCTGGTGGTGGGGGCGGGGGTGATGGTGCTGGAGGTGGTATTGGTGTTGTCGTTGTTGGTGGTGGAGGGGCAGGCGGGGGAAAGTTTTCATTTGTATGAATCAAAGGTTCATTAGGGTTCATTGTTGTCTTGTCGTCACTTAAATCAATTAAAGGTCCAACAGATGCCTCGGATTCTTTCATTTTATCCACTGATTTCAAAACAAGTTTTTCATCTGCGTCTTCTTTCTGTGCAACTGTTCCTGTACTTATACCGATATGATTTTCCTCAGGATTGGCAGGATCTTTATTTGGCGTGGTATTTTCACTATTGGGATGTCCTCCAGCATTTGTTGATTCTGTTGTTTTCACAGTTCCTTCATCCACGTTTTTGATTACTGCAGCGTCAGGAAGTACTTCCGGATTAGAAGTATAGCGATCAGAGGTGACCAGTCCGTCTTTTATCATTTGTAACATACTTAGACGCTGTTTGTTTTCTTCTACACGGGAAAATGTCTCCAGCCTTAAGTTATCCTGTGCTGGATCATCACCTAACGATGCAATGCTTGGCCTGAAAATGTCCTCTTGTTTTATTACCGGCTCTCGTGTCTGAAAAAGATTTCAAACCTTAAAAAATATCTATTTTCTCTTTCACAATACAATCTGCTTTATTTGTTATTACTCCTTCTGAATAGATGGGAATCAATGACCCTTTCTTCAGAAAAAGAGTTGAGTTATATTATTCAATGCGAAATAGAGACTTGCCATGTATGGACCGCCCACAACATCAATTTCAAACTGTTCATATGGAGTTCTTAATCTTTTCCTGCTGTAAAATATCATACGTTGAATTATATCTATTACAATGCCCAAGGAAAATTGAAACTGATATATATTTGTTTGCATATATGTAGAGATATGAAAATAACTCACCGTTTTCTTATACAAAGCACTATTATAAGAAGCAAGAAGATGCATAGAGCGGATCCCAGAGCAATCACAGCTATCAAAAGAGTTCTTTTCTCTTGATCAAGATCTTAAAAAAATATAACATTAGTAATAAGGTTCTTGTTTGTAGAAAGTATTTCAAAACATCCATTGCTTATACACAAGACAAGTTAGACGCGATGAAATAATTTGTTCTTTAAACAATTCAACAAATGTCACACAGGCGTTACTAGGTAGTGGGTACCTGTAATCTGGGATTTCAGTTCGTTTATTTGTCCCTCTAAAGAATTAATTGTCGATGCTTCCATGGATTTCGATGTGGTGGAATCTACTGAAACATAGAGAATTTACAGTTAACTAAAGCATTAATGGGGTTCCTGGTAGTTATTCCTTTACATGCCTACCCTATCTACAAAATGTATTGAATGCTTTAATTATCAAACCATAGGCTAAAATCTTTTATTGTTAAATTTTAGAACTTTTCCCTACAAACACTTACCTTTTGACGAACGAACAGTGGTTGTTGGGACTTTAGTGGTTACTACTATCTTAGTGCCATGTGAGGAAGATGTACTTGCTGATGATGAAGTACTAGTAGTTGCTAATGACCAAGAGCATGCGCATGCAGATATAATTACAAACTATGAATCAATGTAAAATGAATGAAGGATGTAATTGATGATGTATACAGATCTTGTGATTTCTGAAGGTAAAGATAAACTGTGCCATTCATGTTAGATTTCATCTTCGAGAATTGTATTAGTATAAAGGGTCTATGTACGAGTACTTAATAAAGATAAATATATGAAATTGATAAAGAGAGAAAGGTTCATAAATTACCTTGAAAAGTGGATGCTGGGGGATTTCTTTTCGTTGTTGATATCAAGCTACGACTTGTTAATTCTTTAGTAGGAATAGAAGGAGGAGTTGTCTGCTTTGTACTGGTACTGAGGTTCTCAGAGGGAACATCAGGCTTTGTTGTTTGGATGCTTGTCACTGTAGTTATGTTACTGCTTGTTTCAGATATTGTAGATGGTATAGTTTTTGTGCTAATTGAAGATAAAAAGTCTGTGATGGCTTCTGACACAGGACTTTTTGTGGAGGATGTTGTTAAATCAGGTTCAGTAGACTCTGCTCCTGTAGTTGTTGTTAACGTCTCCAATGTAGTGTAAGAAGATTCATCTGTCTCTGAACTCATCGTAAAACCAGTTGTAGGCTCTGAAGATGTCGAAGCCATTAATGTACTTACCAAAGACATGCTCACGTATGTTATCAGGAATCCGGCCATTATTACACTCTCTAAAGCCTATGTGAAAAAAAAACACAATATAATATAATCTGTTTAAAATGAGCACATTCAAGGATCAAGTTAAAAAAATATTTTAAGATTAAACATGTATACTTAATGTATGGACTGTATATTAAAGAAACCATTTCAGTGTTTTTCTCAAGGTTAAAAGATTTATTTGATGACGCAAAAAATTGCATATACATGTATATATAAAAATATAACATTTTGTATGAAAATTTCTTCCTCATTTATAATGTCTTAAAGGAATTGTTTATAAATTTGATATAATTGCATGTAAAGTGCAAAAATACGTAATATCATTTAAAAAACCTTGCTAATCATAAATGGTTTCTTTTTATTTCCCTGTATTGTAAAGTGGTTTCCTTTTTTTATTTTGTACAGTCTCTTTCCATTTATGATGATATTTATCTTTTATTATACTTGATAAATTCTTAAGGTTTGGGTTTGTGCAAATCATTCATCTATTACAAAATTTATAATATTTCTCGGTGTTTTTAACATGTGCTATATATTTTCTTCCGCAATTTGGAATTCAGGAATGATTAAAAAGGCCTTGCGATAAGTCATTTAAAGATAATAGGAGTTAATACTGAATACCAATAACAGAGAAACGTCAACACAAATCAAACGTCTCCGAGGAAATTATTCCAGCAAATAAAAAAGCTTACTGTTGTATTCAATTACTATATTTGTTATCAAAAATATTGCTTCACGGAAAACGTTTCTGAAGAATTCAAATACTGTACACGAATTTTATAATTAATGATCAGAAAATAAAATGTTAAATAACAGAAAAAACTGAAGTTAAAAAAAAAATCAATTACATTAGAAAGACAGAGATGAAACTTGTCTAAGAACATGTCTCCTTCGATATCGACTTGGTATAAACATGTATGTGGTTCTGTGAATCTGAGTAGATTACAACTCCAAAATGATAATAATCATCACGTATCACAAAATTTCATAATGTTATTACACAATTGTTTTTTTTTCTGGACAAACGCAAAAATCTATAGACACTTCAGTGTGTAAATACCGGCCTAATATACGTATCTCATCAAATGGTAGACATTATGATTAACTTCACATGCAGGTGATATGGGCATATTACTACATATATAAGTAAGAGGAGTTGATGATAGAAAAATTAATGTCATTACATTTTCCATTAAGTTTTTGCAAGGTTACCATTACAATTTCAAGGAAATATTCATAGATTGAAAAAAAATTTAAATAACATAATATTAATAATAATAGTAATAATAATAAAAAAAAACAGCTTCGAGGAAATAATAAAGCCAAGAATACTGTTATATAAGAAACTTTCCTCTTTATAGGACTGATTTCCCTCTGTACTATCAGAGACATATAAGATGTCTCTGGTTCTATAAACAATTTTAATGCAGGAAATACACGCACATATCTACATTATGCAGGCATCGTCGAAAAACAAAGTTCGGGTTTTTTAAAAGATGGAATTTACCTCTAAATTTCTTTTTTTTATATTTAAAAAAGACGATTTACACAATTTATACTCTATAAATTATGAGGAGCATGGGAGGAATAAAAGAACATCAGCTCTGTACAACATGAGGTTGAATAAAAATTAAGAAACTTATTGTTTAGCATAATCCTTGGCAATGTAAGAGTCAAGAAGTGTACTACATGATGATACAATGAACATTTGAATAAGTAATGGGAATTATATTTTCTAGAAGAAATATATTAAAAATAGCAAATTAAAAGAAAATATATATGTTTAAAAATGTTTGTAATTCTGAACTAACTTTCACTTCTACATAAACATGTCTTTTTATAACAAATTAACTGAAGCATCGTCTCTGAAGCAAATATTTAAATTCAGAAGATGAAGTACTGAGTAGAAAGAGATCTACTTACCACTGTCCTACAACCTGCTGAATTATTTCCTCATGTCCTGGTCTCTCTTCTTCCTGATGGGTGTACATACATACATTACACTTACTACATTAGGGACTCCTCGTATCCTTTACACCTGTGTACATCGGTTCCCTTTGTGAGTTGTTGAAAAGGAAGTGATTTGGGATTTGTTCTTTATATATATATTAAAACCCCGGCTTTCAGCAGTTTTATTTTTTAAGAGCAAGTGATATTATTTATTTCCTTAAATGTGTGAAAATGTTTGGTGTTAATCATGCACTATAGCTTACTTATATTGCTTTGTTATGTCATTAAGTTTTCTTTTACGGTTTTACATATAAGAGTGCGTGTTTCATAAGTGTGTTTTTGTCCAAGGGAGGATGTCTATTTTCAATGACTAAACAAGCTGAAAATAGAAATCCTTCCTTCTAGATCATTTTTCTTTTTATTTTTAAAAACAGGTTTACGAGGATAAGCCTAGGGACTGAGACAGGAGTCAATAAAAAAGAAACTTTAATATTTATTCGAGAATTTTACTTTCAAATTTACTTTTTAGGTAAAGAAATAGGAAATTCAGAAATAATGTATCCGTTTGATTTGAGATCTTAGCATCTTTTTTCTCTTGCTTGTTCAAAATCTTAAGTGATTTCATCCTTCCTCATCAATAGCTTGCTTTGGTGAGAAAATCTAATCTAATGATACATGTACTGTGTTAGACTCAGTCATATTTCAAATTTTTATCATAACCCACTCCCTCTGATTTTAAACCAAAAAGATTTAATTGTATACATAGACATCTATGTCTTCTTTTTATTGAATGCATGGAGAAAGTGAAAAAATAATAATTAAAGCACATGTAATATGTGTGTATCGAACCAAGTATTGAAGAAAAAGAATGTAATGCAAAAAATTAAATTAAGTTTTAGATAAAAGCTATTGAGCTCTTTTAACAAGTTGATTATTTTTCTTACTAAATTTGCATTAAAAATAAAGCAGAAATTTTGAGTAAAACATCATCACACTTAAGTGAAAATGACTTTTTCTGTAAAGGCTGTGATATTTAGCTATATATAAATTTGCTCAAAAAAAGGAAGCGAAATAACATAAGGAGATAAAAGGATAGCTCTTCAATTATCGTTGTCATTATCTAATTTCACACGCAGTACTACATGTACATCAAGATTTTGATAATCTCAAGGATCTGATTTGTAACATAGTTGCTCCACCAACAGGAGTGCTGAAGATGGTTGAGTAGTTATACAAACTGGCGGGGCTATCTTTTCAAAAAGGATTTAGTGTTGAATTGGATGGGAAGCATCAATTTTGTAACAGGGATGACTACACCAAACGATTTATGACATGGACCCATTAAGAGTAGTTTACTTGATACTTTAAACATGAACTGTAAAGAAGTATTTCATGTTAACCAATAATTTCCGCTTAAGCCATAAAACTCGGTACAAAAAACCAGAAAAAATAGTATTAATAATAATTCAGGTGGTCGAATCTTAAAGAAATAAATAATAATCATTTCATAATTTGAATATATAATACAAATTTAATTAACGAAAGTCTCAACATCAAAATATCACAGTTTTCGACGATGAATACCGATGATACATGCAAATTCGACAATCATATACATGTAACTTAAATCAGCTCCAAACTCTTCGCACACAGAACAAATGATCCACACTTTAGATCAACATGCATGGGACATATGATCTACATAAATGTGTTCATGAATAACGAAAAAGACACAATGGCAAACAACCTTCACATTTTAAGTTGTTTGATAAAGCCTTTTAAAGTCTGCTGCCGTTTTGATCATTGATCAATGATCACATAAGAATCATACGTCCACATTATTATCCCTAGCAACAATATCTTGATTATGTGTAAATGATGAGCCAAAACTGCCATCATTGAGGAGTATTTCTTCCATGACTATCCCTTGTGATGAAGCATTGAGTCCCGCTTCTGTGTGTCCTTGAGGTTTGAAAGTTGCAGAGAAGGAAGCGGGGGTGTCCTCACCTCCCAGAGAGGCCGTGCTGGCTCTGTAAGGATTGTGTGCAATGTTGAAGTATGGCCTTCTAGTCTATAAATCCATAAAAAAAAAATTATGTTAAAGTTTAATGTTGCCAATTTCTTAATAAACTATGCTCTGTTACAAATTATAAAATACTGAATATTATACGTACCCTTGATGTTTTTTTTTAATTAAATATTTCAAATTCTACACATTTTTTTCTGACCTTATCTCATTCAGTAATAAAAATTATGTATTAGAAATTAATTAATAACTATGATTTAAACAGTTAAACTTTTTATAATTCCCATTAAGATGCCAACTCACCACCTCATCTTTCGATCGTTCAACATCAACTTTATCACCATGCATTTCTTCAAATGGAGATTTTACAGGTCGCATTCTTAAATGAGCAAATAAAAAATTCCAGGTAAATGGAATTCTAAAAACATTTTACATATTAAACTAACAGTGCAATATCCTCTTAGTTAACTAATAAATACTTGTATATTTGATATGATATTTCACTATAGCATATATATATATTTATTGGCGCAATTTTTAAAAAAATAAAGTCTTGTTCACAAATCTAATATAATTGAAATAAGAAAACAATTACTGTACTTTTTTAAAATTTATCTTATTGAATAAATCAGGAAAATTAAAAACTTTTTTTTAATATCTATAATATTATTCATCGAAAGATCTACCGACCTTTGTCTTACGAAATAAAGAATACAGCCGACCACAACCATTGCTAAAAGCACACTCAACACAGCAACTGCTACTCTCAGTGTTGTGATTCTGTCATTCAGTTCTGGTATTGAAACAGCAATTAAAAATATTCTGAGAAATTTCTATAGTCACAAATGCAACTCATTAACATTACCAGTGATAGAAATATTTTTTCTCATTTTTAGGTCACCTGAATAAACTCAGGTGACCTATTGCTATCCGTTTTCGTCCGTCGTCGTGCGTCGTGCGTCGTGTGTCGTGTGTTTTAAACATTTGAACATTTTCAGCTTCTTCTCTGAAACCACCGAACCAATTTCAACCAATTTTGGCATACAGCATTTATGGGTGAAGGGAAACAAAAATTGTGAATTCCATTGTCCCTGCCCCCCTGGGGCCTTAAGGGTGGGGCCAAAACCACTAAAATTAATGCAATCTTTAAAAAAATCTTCTTCTTTACTCCTGGACATCAAGCAATCAAACTGTTGGTATGATTGTAATCAACATTGAGTCCTCAACCAAAATTGTGAAATTCATGGCCCCGGGGGTTCAGTCAGGGGTTTTTGTGCTAGGGTGGGACTCTATTGATCATATAGTGAAAATGCATAAATTCTTTGAAAATCTTCCTCTCTGCTCCTGGGTATCAAATAAACTAACTAAGCACATAGTTATGATGAGCAAGAGTGCCTCTCTCAGATTTGTGAATTTTATGGCCCCAGGAGCAAGGATTCTGGTGTTAGGGCGGGGCTCTATTGATTATATACTGAAAATGCATTAATTCTTTGAAATTTTTCTTTTCTGCTCCTGGGTATTGAATAAACTAACAACGTACATTGTTATGATGAGCAAGAGTGTCTCTTTCAAAATTGTGAAATTCCTGGCCCCGGGGGCAGGGGTTCTGATGTTAGATTGGGGCTCTATTGGTTATATAGTAAAAATGCATTAATTCTTTGAAAATCTTCTTCTCTGTTCCTGTGTATTAAATAAACTAACTAAGTACATGTACATTGTTATAATGAGCAAGAGTGCCTCTTTCAAAATTGTTAATTTTAAGGCCCCAGGGTCAGGGGTTCAGTTCTGGTGTTGGCGGGTCTATTGATTACATACATGTAGTAAAAATGCATTAATTCTTCGAAAATCTTCCCTTTTCCGGAGTATTAAAAAAACTAACTAAGTACATTAATTGGTATGATGACCAAGAGTGCCTCTTTCAAAATTTTGAATTTTGTGGACCCAGGGTCTGGGGTTCTGGTGTTAAGGCTAAATCTGCTTCTCTGCTTTTGGGTATTAAATAAACAAAGTACATATTTATGATGAGGAAGAATTGCACCTCAACCAAATTTGTGGGTTTTTTTATGTCCCCTGTATCAGGGGTTCTGCCATTTGCATTAGGTAGTGGCGGGGGCTCTTTTGATCATATAGTGAAAATACATGAATTCTTTAAAAATCTTTTCCTTTGCTCCAAGGTATTAAATTATGCCAATTATATAAGTTTATATATATCTATGATGAAAAAAGGTGCATCTAGCAATACGGTGAATTTTATGCCCCCCGGGTCAGGGGTAGGGGGTTACTTAGACTGAAAATAAATTGATGCTTTGAAATCTTCTTTTTAGCATTAATCAACCATTTACATGATTTATAATGAAATAAATTTATGATGAAATTTCCAAAATTTTGAAATAAATGGCCCCAAGGTTAGTGGTTCCTTTGGAGTGAGGTGCATAACTGGTTATAAAGTGGAAGTGCATTTTCTCTTTGTTACTCTGATCTACTTCTGTATCAAGTAAATAGAGTAATCATGGTAAGTGTATAATTATGATAAGCAATACTGCCTCTTTCAAAATTATGAATTCCATGGCCTCTGGTTTGAAACATTAAATAAATTCAATTGTCAAAAGTTGTTACATGATCCTCAAGTGACATATAAGCCCGTGGGCCTCTTGTTATTTACATGATGCATATTGCATTTGGAAATTTGTAATTTATTAGCGATTAAAATACATATTGGGGACATATAATAATTCAACCCTCACCTGAAATATTCGAATTAAGGCTATCAATTTCATTAATAAAACTGTTGGTCGTCATAGCTGTTGCCTCCTCTTTTGAGGTTGATAGTGGTGTGGATGTTGGAAGTGTTGAATGTTTTGTTGATGCTTTTGTTAATATTGTAGTTGTATGTGATTCTGATGTTTTTAAAGTTGTTGATGATTCTGTAGTCACAACTGATGAGGACTGTGTCAGTTTCATACTTGTCGATTCTGTTGATATCTTACTTGACATTGATTCACTTGATGTTATGGTTGGCGAGGATGATTTGGAAATTGATTTCGTTGAGGTCAAAGCTGTAGTTTCTGCTGACGTCACATTTGACAATCTATGCGTAGAGATACTTTCAGATGTTGTTGACATTACTGTCGGTACATTGGTAGCTGATGTTGACATTACTGTCGGTACATGTACAGTGGTAGCTGATGCTGTTGACATTGTTGTCGGTACACTGGTTACTGATGTTGTTGTCCTAGCTTGTGTTGTTGATGCTGCTGTCGAAGTTGGCAATGTACTTGATGATGTGTCCGAAATTAAAGATGTACTTGACATTGATGTAACTTCCAGATTTGCTGTGTTGTTCTTCATATCAATGTTTGTGCTCACTATGATTTTTTCTGTTGTTTTTTCTTGGGTTGTAATTGGTTCTTTTGTAACAGTTTTTGATGTTTGTAATGCAGTAATAGCATTTGTCTCTGAGCTAGTTTGGTCTTTGTCAATTGTAGATACCTCTGTTATTGGTATATTGGTTGATGAAGCAATTAAATCACTTTTAACTGATGACGTGAATTCGAAAGAAGATGACTCATACTCTGCAGTGGAAGTAAAAGAGCTTTGATCTTCCGAAGTTGTTAATAATAAACAGGAGGATGGAATGAATGTTACTGAAACAACACGAATGAACATTTAAAATGGCCAAAATGAAATAAATTAATAGAGTACATTTTACTGCTTAAATATTTAAGAATGTACACGATGGATCTTTGCTTTTCATTTTACTGAATGATCACTGAAAAGTGGGGGAAGTTGATGTAATTACAGAATTAATTCTGCGACTCAGTTCACCATTCATTTAACATTCTCTCTCTTTTCTGTTTACTGAATGGTAGAGATGTCATATTGTTTATATTTTATTTTAGTGATGTTTATTTTTATTGGTTAAACCCGCTAATTGTTTTCATGCAAGGGAATGAGAGTGAAGATTTACCTAAAAGTATCAGCTGTAATGTTTCAGGGAGTCCACCCATCGTAGTAAGATAACTGTTGTTCTCGTTCTGCTCTGTAAGAACAGAAAAATAAAATTTAGAAATAAATACAAATAAGTCTTTTAGCATGGTTCACTTTATATAAATTTTAAAACATGTATATAAATAGCATTGGGAGATTTAAATCATTTTATCTAAATTGCATTGGAGGAATTAAATGTTTAACCTATAGTATAATAATAACACAAAGTATCTACAGTAACTCCGAATCACACTCAGTACCCCTCCTCAGAAACGCACCCATATACACTTTTCAGATTAAATGCACTGGCAAAGTTTTAATTACCATATTGTCTTCTACCTCTACACAACCATATATACTACACAATTTTAACCATCACCTCTCAGAACTATACCCCTTTCCCCCTTACATGACGTAAAAATTCTGATGTGTGCATAAATCAACAGGAAAAAGGTCACAATGAAATCATATATGCAGTAGTAACCTCAACAGAATGTCATATAACACCTTCCGTATCTTAAGTAATTAATAAATACATATGGTGATTTGTACGAGTATAATCTCCTTTACAGGATATGTTGTTTTGTATAGTATATAGAAATGAGATTCTGAATCATTAGAACGATTAGAATTTATAAGGATTATGACCTACGTATGACTGGCTAAATATTGAAGATGATGATAATTACATTGACTGAAAGCAAAATTTAAAAGAAAATCATTGTTTATACTAAATATATAATTATTGTTAAGGTTCGATGTCTGAAAAATAATAAAGACAGAACTTAACTAAAAGAAAAGGCTGAGAAAAATACCATGTAATTATATACATTTAGAATACAGACAGCTTCTCCTTAAAAGCTTTGAATATTCTTTAAATTTTATTATGACTATACATGTAAAATCGAATAAAATATAAATATTCTATTGACAGTAAAAAATATTGAACTTACGTGTATGTCATTCGGTTTATTGTGCGACAAACATGTATTGTGTAAAATAGTTAAACTACATGATTTTCTCTAATTGCTTACAAACCAATAGAAGCAGAGGACGTGTCCTTTATTTTTTCTAATAAGTACTTTTCAAAAGAAAATTAAAGCTGTTAATTAATAATTATATAGCTGTATCCTATAAAAATCACCTGAAATAGCAAAATCTTTGACGGCTGTGTCCCAATTAAAACCCTTTCTCTATTTTTACCTGAACTAGACCTATTTTAAGTTTACAAGAAATCAAACCTTTGTAGAGGTAGCATCATTTTACTTGAACACACAGACTTTAAATAATTTATGAGATAACAGTTTGTTTAAGCGGTTGATCCCTAAACGTTCACTGCTGTGCAGTAAAACTAAGTCACATTCCAGTTGATCTCCATTTTTCCTCAACAATTTCAAGGTGAAACGACATGCTTATTAAATTTTGTTAAAGACAGAAGGCTGCAATTATAAATTTTATTATGCAGAGGGAGAGAGAGAGAGAGAGAGAGAGAGAGAGAGAGAGAGAGAGAGAGAGAGAGAGAGAGTTAAGATAAATTCCCTCTAAAATGTAAATTCAATTATAATAAATGCATGGCTTTTGATAATAAAGAATCGCAATCAAATGATTTAAAATTCCCTTACCTTAATTTTTATAATCCTGACTACTGACATTTATACCCAGTGAAATCCATTCATCTTCCGGGATGTCTGAGACACTAAGTATGCTCAGCTTTTTTTTTTGTCGTAATCTGATGCTAATTCTACATGGAAAAAAACTTTTAAATTCCGCTGTCAAAAGAAGGAAGTTTATTTCCTTTCTACTTTTTTTCACTAACAGATAGCGACCCGGTTAGAAACTGATATCCCCGAAATCGAAAGACATCAATTTGAGGGATTTAAATTTAACAGAGCGTAAATTCCTCACGAAGAATCTCCCGATACACATGTATAAGGACATACATCTAGATTGATTTTAGTGTATTATTCATGGGTGGTTATGTACGTTCGTAATATAAAACGTGACATAACACACATTCAGATTTATCAGTACCTTATCGCTTCTTCGTCATCCTCCTATTGTTTTGTTTATATATATATATATATATATATATATATATATATATATATATATATATATATATATATATATATATATATATATATATATATATATATATATATATATATATATATATATAAGATCGAGTGTTCAACCCCGGGCTGGGGCGGAAGTGGGTATCCATATTAAAGTGAATTTCTTCGTGCTTTCTATATCAATATTTCTTCACTTCGGGCACTTATGTTAGTTTAAAGGTTGTTGTAAAATGTGCTTTACAATAATTAATTTCATTACAACATGTATTGGTAACAATCTTCTGTTAAAACTAATGTCCAAATAAATGTATCTCACTTCTATTCTCAATGACCGTGTAGTGCAGGACAGCGCCGCGAGAATTCCATCGGCATCGAAAGCAAGTTTTATAACTTGCCTAGATAGCCGAGCGGTCTAGCGAACTGTTCCTGCACTGCTAGGAGACAGATTCCGTAGGTCGAGAGTTCAACCCCGGGCTGGGGCGGAAGTGGGTATCCATGTTAAAGTGAATTTCTTTGTGCTTTCTATATATATATATATATATATATATATATATATATATATATATATATATATATATGCAGAATATTATGAATTAGACACTAAGCTAGATACGTTCACTTCTTGCGATAAAAACGACTCGAAAAGTGTTGACAAATTTGTAATGATATATGTAATACTAGTAAAGTACAAAGAAGCTGAATTCTACTCCCTCAGAAATAGGAAATTCCTCGATCAATATATGAAAGTATTGTTATGAGTAATGAATAAGACAATTGGCGTACAAACGTATATCATTCAGACATTGGTGTAAATTGGACTATAGTCTTTAGTCCTGTTCATTCCCTGTTTGTGTATGTATAGCCCTCGGCTAAGCTCTGCATAGGCGTAGAGATTCAGAAGTCTTCACCGAGAAGGGTCAAGAGAAGAAAAGGTAAATATTACATCGACAATTGTAAGAGAAGTTAAAAAGGCTAGGGTTGAAGAAGCACTAGTGAAAGGTATACCAGGGAATGGAGAGATACGAGGTGCACACTCGGCACACCTCGGCCGATTACATCAAATCTTGTATATCAGTTTCATCAGCACCATCATTTGATTCATTCCTCACACTCGCAGCTTTGAATTTACAATAGGAAATATGGTCCAGTGCTGTCGGAGTGGACAAATCATGGTTTAAGATGGAGGCAGTTTTCGAAAAACTGGGTTCTAAAGTTGAGATTGTGGTATCATTGGCTGGTTCAACAAATAATTTTTGTCGTGATCTTTTTGCACCACCACCATTCAAATTTAACTGCTTCATTTTCTCCACAGAACTTTGAATTTGTTCAGCAACTGACTGCTTCAAGGAAGAAGGTGGAGTTTTTGATAACCGCTTCTGTCTTTTATGTAATTTTTCAAAGTCACGAATGTTATCAACACACGCCTCTTTGAAATTAACAGACATCTGGCACTTACTTGCACACGTTTCGCACACATACATTTTGTCCAACAAGGCCTTTTCAAGTACGAGTCCGGTAAAATCTTCTATTGCCCTAACATAATTTTCTTTTGTTGATTTGAACTTTGTTAAACAGTGTAAACGTTTAGATGGAGACTTTTTACACAACAAACAAGCTGGATTAGTTGATGGAATGTACAATGGTTTTACCGGTGTTATGGGCGCCGCCATTTTTGATGTTGCTTAACAGACGTAAACAAAAGTAGTTCCAATGGCGCGATTGGTGATACAGCCGAGGTTTGATGTAGGGTACAGTAGTCAGCCGAGGTGAGCCGAATGACGAGGTGCAGTAATCATGAATATTGAATATGGGTGAGACATCGAGTGAAATTGCATCGTATCATACAGTGTACGTTAACATTTGAACATTTTCACTTCTTCTTTAAAACCGCTGTACCAATTTTGGCATAGAATATTAACGGGTAAATTAAGGGGAACAAAATTATGGATTTCATAATCCATGTCACTTTGCGGCCTTAAGGTTGGGACTAAATGCATACAAAATTAGTGATATCTTTAAAAATAATTTTCTTTACTCTGGGACATGAAGCAGTGAAAACTATTGATATACCAGGTGTATTGTAAACAGCAAAGTGCCTTCTATCGAATTTATGAAGCCCGTGACCCCAAAGTCGGGGGTTCAAGTATGTACTTTTCCCCGATTTTTTTTCTCCCTCTGCATTTATATTTTCAAAAGATAAACTAGGTGCATGTCTATTGGATAAAGGTGCACCTTGCGATATTTGTGGCACCAGGTTGAGAGGTTTTGGGGTATTGCATGAGGGGACTGCTTTTATGATGAAAATGTAATAATTCCTTGGAAATCTTTTTCTCTGATTCTCTCTGTTTTCCTTCATTCATATTTATGTTTGCAAAAGGCAAAATTTTTGAAATTGTTTCAGCGTTACCTGAAAAAAAGCTGAACGTTCTCAAATGGCACAAGTCCCATGAGGAATGGCAACGGTGAAGAAGAAAGAACAAATTATTGCCTTGATAACTCTTTTTTCATAACATGATATAGGAAATAGGTCTGAAATATAAAATCACATACACACTTTTGTGCATTTCTATTTGACTTGGAGCAAACTAATTTTTAGTCGAGATCACTTAAGTATTTCTCTCACTTTTTCTATTCGAAATTAATGATAAGTTACGTGTTTTACTTCAAATCAAACATGTACATCTATCTTACTACAGAACATATCTACTTACGTTCTAATCAATCTTTAGAAAAATACTATATAGTTTAAAAAATATGGACCTATAAATGATTTTTATATTACGAAATGTCAATCGTCAGGGCTGCATTCTTTATCGGACGTACAGAATTCGAATGACCACAGAGTGATACAGACAATATCAGATATTAGAAATGTTTTAAACATGATATGCAATTACAATGAACAAGCCTTCAATATGCAACATATATTTGTCATAAACAGGATATCACAACGTATTTATTTCCAGGACATAAAAGGTGCGTTAGATTTAAGGGACCGACTTAAAATTGCCTTGACCCTCAGAATTTACCCGTCATAAATAAGTACATGTACAGTTATGTATAACAATTTTTTGACATCAATTTAATTCATTAAAAATATCGTTAACAAGGTAAGATAGTTCATGCTGTTTAAATAAAGTCTTCAACGTTTCAACAGCTATTCCAGATTCTATCAATAACTCTGGACGTTTGTTAACTTTTTCGTTGTTTCGAAACTCGTTGTAGTACATTTTTGGGTATCCTTTTAATAGCATGCCGATAATCACTGGCTTTCTGGTTGACTTTGCAATTTGCAATAAAGGCGATCCTGAAGCACCATGGGCAGTACTTTTTGAACAATGAAAGAGGATATGATTTGGTGAAAGTTTGCATTCCTTATACTCTTTTTCAACTTGTGATTTTGTCTTACCATGGGAGGTAAACAATGTAATGGCTTCATCCTTGGTCTCCTTGAGTTTTTCTTGATCACTTATTATGCTGCATGATGGATCAAAAATTAATTCACCACCATTTGGGTGTCCAAGAACATGTAAACGATCCATGGGTAAATTAAAATTAACAAAATTAAGTTTGGCTGGGTACGGCTGACCAGTTTTGTTGGTGAGTTCAAGGATTGCAACATCATGTTGTTTAGAAATAAAAAGTGCATCATAACTGAAAGTAAAAGTATCTCCTCTTTTCTCTCCAACACACCCAAAAGTGATTCGACAGCTGTGTGTCACCATGTCAATCCCAACAGCTTTCAGTTTCTCTAAAACAAAAAGATATAAATGATGTGATTGCATTTTCTCCATAAATCTTTAAAATAAACTGCATCACAAAGTATATATCTGTATACTTTTTTGTTATACATGTTTATAACAAAAAAGTCACAACACCGAAATAAATTCTACCGGTTTCATTTTCTATTCTTCATGAGTTAACCAGTATATATATAAAGTTGTAAACGCAAGTAAGTATTTTATCTAAGACGTAGATATACTTTGTGTGTCAGGATCTAGGGACATCAAAATCTCTGTCAGGCTCCATTTCCCATCCTTCGGCATACATCCCTGGCTTTCTAATATTTCAGAAAGTTTTTTGCATTCGTTATTTCCATTTTTCAATCTTTTATGTACCTCTTTCCAAAATTTTTCTAAAACATATTCATGCATTATTATTATTTACATCTGTATTTCAATAACAAAATATATGCATTTAATGAATAAAATCCAATGTCTATCTTTGGAAAATAAATACACATCAACAACACACACTCACACACACCTTCACCCTCAAACACACACACTCACATAAATCATACAGAGACATAGAAATGCACATGAAACTAAGTCAGAAATTATATAAAGCAGGTACATATCTTACCGAATACATCCTGTACAACGTGGTACGCGGTCATGACATATTTTTCTCCAACCCTAAATCCAGTACCATTTCCTTTTCTTCCTGCCTGTGGCTCTACTGTTATGCAACCAATGCTCTCCTCTATGTTATGCCCATGGATGATATCAATTTCACTGTATGGAAGACTATCAACGATAGGTTTATGCAGATTTTCTCCACCATCCCCTCCATCAACTTTAAAAGTTGCAAATATACTTTAAAATTTGCAACAAAATTAAATTTGTCATAAAGTAAAATAAAACATTTTCTAAAAAAAAAACATTTCTAAGACAACTTTAATGTTTAGAAGGAACTGTACTAATATTGTATTTTATTAATTTTCATTCTAAATTTGAAAATGATCACATGACAAATAAAAAATTGTCAGGTTATCATTTAAATCATCTTCAGATTGAAAATCAATTAAGGACAATATTTTTAATATTCAATGAGGATTCAGGGTTAATGCTTCTCGGTATTTTAAACTGTTTTAAAATACGAAGCATATTTTACTTCACCGCTTCAACCAAAAACCATTGTCAATTCATAAAAGTGAAATATGAAAAAGATATCCAGGGAATAAGACGTAAACATGTGAAATAAATATCCATTACGATATAAAAGTTACATGTACACACCTTCCAAAGATCTAAATGGAATGTCACTTGAGTTGCAATTCGAGTCAAATCTTGAATTTTTATTATCTAAAATATTAAGACCAAAATAAATGAGAGTGTTTTTACGGTTACAAATAATCAATTAAATAAATAGGACCAATTGTTTTTGTCAAATATCCTTAAATCACAGTGATAAATGTTTTGCAATACATGCATGCGTTTGACTTTAGAAGGAAATTTAAAAAATACTCACATTTTCTTCTCCAAAAACAATAAACTGAAAGAAGAAATGTAAAGAAAAGTGATCGGTTAAGACTAAAAAAAATTACAAAGTTTTGTATAACAATATTTCTCAATCGAACTCAATTCTCATATATTAGATATTAATTCCATCATTCAATTATGTTCAAGGTCTAATGTCCGTTTAATAAGAGGGGTATCTTCCAAAGAAATGAAATCCCAACATAGACCAAAACTCATTTCAACAGTGTTTAATTGTCTATAAAATTTGATTCACTTTATTTAAAGGTTTTTTGTCATTATGACATCCGTATTTAAAAATGTCTAAGTGGTTCTTGAAAATTCGAAAATATGAAATATTTACAGAGGGACAGACAGAAGAATGCCTGAAAAGCGATCAGAAAAACTCACCAGAGCTTTCAGCCCAGGTGAGCTTAATTAAGTTAATAACTTAAAATTGCTGAAACCGTTCACGGTAGCTCAGTCGGTATAGCGCTCGCTTCGTGATCGGGAGGTCCTGAGTTCGTATCTCGGCCGCGACAGACCTAGTCGTTAAAATGGGTAGCAACTGTTCCTTCGCCATGCGCTCGGCACTTTGAAGTGAAAGTTGCGGGTCCTTCGGATGAGACCTTAAAAACCGAGGCCCCGTGTCAGCGGCAGGCGTTGGCACGATAAAGATCCCTCACTGCTCAATGGCCCTGAGTGCCGAGTAAAGGTCAAAATTTGAAGCCCTTCTCCGGCATACGATGACGTCTCCATATGAGTGAAAAATTCTCGAGAGGGACGTTAAACAATATACAATCAATCAATAAAATTGCTGAAGATCATTTAGTACGAAATGTTACAGTTCAAACATGCTTTTCTTAACATTTGCTTTCTCTCTCTCTCTCTCGAGTTCTCTCTCTAGGTCATCTCATAGTCGTTATATACATTATAAAACGTTTTTGTGTGAATTTTAATTTAAAACAAAGAGATAACATTTTGTAAAATTGCAGAGAGAAAACCAGATTTCGTTTGAAACCAGAAGTCTCTATCGAGACTGTGGTTCTACTGGTTTATACTTATAACAAAGGAAGCGAAATTAGTAGCAGTTGGGACTTGAAACTTTAAAACAACATTAAATAAAATAATGATCCTTGATTAAGTCAATTTTTGTTGCAATATTGCAGTAAGACTACAACTCTAGGAGTAGCTTTTCATAAAATTTTAAAGAATTTTTAATTTTAGTTACCATGACAACATCATTCATCAAAATAAAAAAAAACAATACACAGAATCATGTATCTTAGTGTAGTCTACCTGTGTGCCAAGTTATATTGAAATCTGACGAAAACTATAGAAAGAGTAGCATTTTGAAAGTATTTCAAAGAAATTTCTATTTTTAGTAACCATGGCAACACCGTTAATTGAAATCAGAAATAGAATAGATATATAGAATTATGTATCTTAATGTAGTCTACCTGTGTGTCAAGTTATATCGAAATCAGAATAAAACTGTACAAGGAGAAGCATTTTGAATGCATTTCACGGAAATTTCTATTTATAGTAACTACTGCAACACTCTTCATCGAAATAAGAAACCGATGCAAGAATTATATATCTTAGTAAAGTCTAGCTGTGTGCCAAGGTATATTGAAACCAGACCAAAACTGTAGGAGAAGTAGCATTTTGAAAGCATTTCACAGAAATTTCTATTTTTAGTAACCATGGCAACATCGTTCATCGAAATCGAAAACCGATGCAGAATTATGTATCTTAGGATAGTCTTCTTGTATGCCAAGTAATATTGAAATCAGACTAAAACTGTGGGAGGAGTAGCATTTAGAAAAATTGTTTACAGATAGGCAGACGGACGGACGACGGACGCATTACTATCGCACAAGCTCTTCTGGTCTCTGACCAGTAGAGCTAAAAAATCCAGAAAAGTCCCAATTGTGCGAATTGCGATTCTTTTTGTCGTTCTAAAATCAGTAACGACGATAGAGCGACAATGCGTCCAGGAAGCGCACTGGTTGGTAAGGTTTTACAATCAATTCAAAAGATAATGTATTATGATAATAATCAGCAGTCTTCAATTGCAAATGAATTGAGTTATGTGCATGCATTTGTTTTCTATTGAAAATAAATTCGTAGTGAAGCAAGTAATAATTTTCCAATAACATACCCTACTTTTTTTTATTCATTTTTATTACAATAAATCAACATGACTTTAACAGTTTAAGCAATTTAAACATAAGTTTGAAACTCTCGGCTCGCTATGATAAATATTTTGTGCAATGTTAACTAAGGAAAACAATTATTTCCAATGTAGAGATGGTAAATAAACACTTACGTCCCAAGAATATAAAAATCATTAATGCAATGGTGGTGGTAACAGCAATAGCTACAATTGAAGCTGTCTTGTCATCACCCTCTTGATCTGAAAATGAAAACGTGTTATACGTAAAAAATACCGTTTTTAGTTTATGAGAGCTTGCTGAATTTCGCCGATGAAGCGTTACTTTGCAGGTCATTATTTAGCCAAGAATTACCTATCATTGCGGGTTCCTCAATCTTTTTATCGATGGTCAAAATCTGTCTCGGTGATTCTGTAGTTGAACTTCTAAATAAAAGAACGTGTTTAAAAATGAATTCATATTTTTTACAATTGATTTAGGGAAGTCATTTTTTAAAACTTTGCCAATGTTACTTACGGAATTGATCGCCCTGGCACGCAGTTAAAGTCATAATGTGATCTATAGTACCCAGATGGACAAACGGGTACACACTGATAAACTACAAAAAAATCAACCAAATATAACTTACATTATTGTTATATTGCCTAACTCATTTCACAAACCCTATGGAGCACCAGCATAATTATCAACACTAATAATATCATAATGATATTAATAATTTTTATTATCGTTAAAGTGATTTAATATCTTAGTTTATAAATTAGAAACAGAACGCTACATTTACTATAATCTGATTAATTAGTTTTTTTTTCGCATTTTGATCACTTTATCATAAGTCTTTTACATTTTTTTTTCATTTTAATGAAAATTAAGCAGACACATATAATAAAATTAATCAAAGAAACTTAATCTATAATTATATTTTAGTTGTTCATCCTTGCCTTTGTTGAGTTCTTTTCCCTTTCCACATGGGATCATAACACATCCTCTTTCATTAGATGTTGGCAGGTAGCATGACTTCTGGTGCGGGTTGTTTAGTAAATATTCAAGAGCCCCGTACCCTTTCCTAAAATCGCACCGACACATTCGGTCACTGACGTCACTTCCGTCATCACACGCCTCCTCGCCGTCATCATTACATTCATCTTTTTCGTACATACACGTCACTGATTTGAATTGATTTGACATTAGTTCATTTGGCTGGTAGAGTGTGGGTGGACATCGCCTTTCTATTATTTCTGTTTCTCCTATCAGAAAAACTGGATAATGACCTGAAACGGTATCATGTCATCAAATCATAATGTATCGTGTAGATCTCTTTTATTTACATATAAGATTAATATGGTTTTATGAAAGATATTTCCCTGTAAAATGACAAAGACTCTACCACTTCTGATGGATTTTGGTTTAACACATTTTTCTTTAATTTCTCCTGCTTGGGTTTCCAGACAGTGGTACCACGATGGGTCTTCACAGAGAAATTGAGCACGAGCATCCCAAAGCTGAATATGTGGACAAGGTTCTTTGGTCCATACAAAAGCAAGTGTCTGTAAGAGCAAGAAGACAATTTTCTGAGGGATAAATTTTGAACTGGATCTGTCTTAACAGGAGTAATACTCTCTACAAAAAAGAACGCCACCAAAAGTGAATACTTATCTATTTATAAAGAATTAAGAAATATTTAAAACCTAAACAAACACCTACAGGTATAAACTTTTCCACTAAAATGCGCAGTCCTTTCTAATACCCCATTCATACGACGAAAGGACAAGATAGGGTAAGACCAGTAATTGGTCCCTGTAGTAGTAGTAGTAGTATTTATTTGGCATCATGTCATCATACATAAAACAAATACACAAAGTTAAACATGATCTTATAAAAGACGAAAGTTGATAATCAAGATTTTATAAATAAATAATTAAAGTAATAATATTTTTAGAAATAAAATTCAAGATGACTTGATGGATACCAGGATAACCCATTAAAGCTCGAGAGCTTATTTCCAATGGGGTCCTGATTTTGGGTGTCTTTCAGAATGATCCAACAGTTTATCCATAAAAACCTGTTGTCATCCCTGCCACAAAATGAGTATTGGTTCTAAGACTTAGAATATACAGAGATCACAGAGAGGTCCGAAAATAGGTCAATTTTCGATTTTTCTCATTTCGATACAAATTTTCATCGATTTTACAGCACATTTCCTTTCAACATAGAGCACAAGCTTGCCTATCTATCTAATTTATATATTTTATACACTAGTATCAGATGCAGTTTATGTGTAAAAATCTCAGATAGGCAAGCTTGTGCTCTATGTTTTCCGAAGAGAACAGTATCTCAAATATGATGAAATTCCACCAGAATTGAGGAAATTCTGGAAAATGTCCTACTTCCGTGCCCTCTAGTGGCTTCCATGCAAGCTTTGAATCTAAATTAGTGCTTGTTTTAAAGTAAGCATCATTTTAATTTCTCAACTACAAAGTATCACAATTTTACCGATGTTCTGATTTTTACATCAAACAAGGGGCCAGATTCGTCCGTTACCCCATCTTGTCCTTTGCTTATGTGTGCAAATACACATATGAGTAAATCTACACACGTAAGTAAAAGTTAATTTGCTATGCGTTCAGACGAGATCTATGTACTGTTAGTAAATCCTCATATCATTATATAAAATAAGGAGATGGACAGATTCAGCATTGTGAACTTTTATTTTAAAAGGGGGGTAATTTCTTCTGATTTTGGTATAAGACTAACTTTTGAATGTTCCTCAAAGAAACAAGGGCAAAAATCCGATCCACTGATTTATTGGTACAAAAAACGAACTTATTGAATTTTAGGACAAAGAGTGGTATAAGAATTTTCACATGAAGAGGGAAAATTTATTAAAGCATTGTTTAAAGTTGAAAATATTTTGGTCCTGGTGCTAAAGACTGTAGAAGAGCCGTTGAATGTAAAGAAAAAGGTGGCTGTTGCCATCTAGTGGTTGGCGTCATCAGCAGAAATAAGACGATTGGAATCTTTTTGGTGTTGGGAAATCTACAGTACATCACGTCTAAGAGTCCATAATGAAAACTTTGTTTGAATATTTTTGTATTTTCCAGGAGAAAGAAAAAGGGTGAAGAAACTGATCAATTTCAAAAATCTTGAAACAATACAAATAAGTGAATAGGATAAACACAAACCCCTGGATATTCATGGTGGGATTTCTAACGAGCACCAACAGGTGCCAATAAGGATACTTACGAATGTTTATTTTAAACGAGGTTGTTGAAATTCCTGTAACATCAACTTATATGTCAGTAGCTTGCCTTGGTTGAAAAAAAGAGAAAGATGGAAGGAAGTCATATAAAGATTATCTGTAATTTTGTCAGTGCGATTGATGGAATGTGCATGTATATTCCTATTGAATAGGAAGTGGAGTACTAATTGATCCTACAGGACACATGTTTGCGACCACATTTATATCTATAGAAACAAATATGGAATGCCAGAGAGGGTGCAAGATGCCCACATTTTTGAAAATTTATCTCAGAAGAGAAAATGGCTTCTTGTTTTCAAAGTTGAAAATGCCATTTGTAGAAAGTGCAATGCTTGTACAATCCAGCGAATTCTTTAACAACTTGACTTTTGTAGCCATGCACCAACAGATCTACCATTAAAAAATTCATTTTACTTTCAAATATCCTAGAGGTAGAGCAAGGATAACCAAAAAATCCGCTTTAATGCCCTCGTAAGTTTCGGGGGTATATAGTTTTTTGTCGTTTCCATCCGTCCGTCCGTCTGTCTGTCTAGCTGTCTGTCTGTCTGTTTGTCCGCAAAAATTAAACCTTGCAAGTAACTTTTGATGTAGTGGAGCTATGACTTTCATATTTCACACGTGTATTCCTTGTGACAAGACCTTTCTTTGGGTACCATCAAATTTGACCTTTTGACCTTGACCTTGGAGTTTTACCCACTTTTACACAAAAATTCCAAACTTTTACTTTGGCCATATCTTTTGAACAGTAGATGCCAGGACTTTTATACTTCATATATGTATTCTGTGTGGAAAAAACCTTTCACTGAGTACCAACAACTTTGACCTTTTGATTTTGGCCTTGGAGATTTCTTAGACCTTGGAGATTTCTGTACTTGTGAAAAAACAGTTAAGGGAAATGATGAATAAGAAGCTGGTATCCATTTTATTTATTAAGTAAATGGAAAAAAGACATTGACCTCTAACAAATACAAAGAATACATTAGGAAAAAAATACAATTTACATATAGTTTCATAAACATTGACAATAAGTTACCGTTTATTCAGCATATATATTTAAGGAATAAAAATGTTCTGTAGCAAAATGAACTTTGAACTTACAGACAAAATATAAGAATTTACTCAGACAACTTTAACTGCAAAAATACGATAAAGTATAAACTTCGCAATTAAAATAATATGTTATACCCCAGTCTTTAAAAGTAAAGTAACAAATATTTAAATATGAAAGTTACATACCACAAGATGCATCGGATATCAGCTGGATATAATTTCTTCTTTAAAATGTAATACTGCCCAATTTTGATTAGTTTGAACGGTTACTTATACCCAAGGTAAATTAAAACTATTACTTTAAATGAAACGAAAAATAGAATGATCCCAAAACGAATAAACACATAAGAGATAAATTATTATTATAAAGAGTTATAAAGAGCTAAAGTCACAATGTGCCAAAATATGCCCTGTCACCAACATAAATGAAATTTTATTCTGTGATAGTTTAGACTTTGTGGGTTATAACACAATTTATTTTTAATGATATCTTTTCCAGTTTTTTTTTCATAGTAGTTTGAAATCTAGTGAAATCTACATGTACAACGTCATGACTTTTGACGTTATTATATATACGCCTGTATATTGTAACGGTATGACGTTAACATTATTCAAATGAAGGTACTATATTTACATTATGGGGGGGGGGTGCGCTAAAATAAACTCTACCTAAGAATTTATTAATTAATTATTAAATGAATCTAAATGTCTTTAGTTGCATTGCAAAGAGCAGATTGAGAGCTTTCCATTGGTATATTATATTATATATATAGTACCTGCATCTTTGAAAAAAAACAACAAAATAGAGTCTCAAATTCATGATTTTTTAAGCATTATGCTGTTGCACTTGATTTTTTATAAAAAAAAAAATGGTTAATAAAAATTATTTTGAATAAAACATTCCAAAACAGGTATAGTTTGTTGTACAGAAATCATTCTGGTTAAGTTTATTTTTTACAGAAATAAAAAAGGATAAAAATTGTGGAAATTATAACTAAATTTGTGCAGATATACCTTTGTTATAGAATTTAAGATTTATCAATGTTTGAATAAATTCATAATTTCTAGCAGGAAAGAGCAAATATAATGCGTTTAAAAATTTATTTTACTTAAGAAAAAAGTACTTTTAGAAAAATATAGTGGTATTATGGTAAATTGTGTGCACCTTTTGTAATTTCGTTTCCATATTGATGTAAAATTTTGTATAGTCTGTAGCCCCATATTTCATTATATATTGTTTTCAACAGAAGAATGTATAATTTAAAATGCTCTTGTTTAATATTTGCACAGTCACTAGTAAAGAATAAAAACAGTAATGAATAGCTTTTACAACAACACCAAAAGAAGTTATAGAAGAATGATTGTTGTCCGCAGCCCTGTATAGTCCGTAGCCCCAATACTACAACTATCAGAAAAAGTCATATACATTATTGATACAATAACTACAATATAATAATATGTTTATTCAAAAAAATACAATGTTTTTAAATACATAATCGACTGTATTTAAAAATGTAATGTTTGAATACTGTAAATCACTTTTTATTCGCGAGAACTTTATTTTCGCGTAATTACGCGAGACAGTGTGCTCGCGAAAATTTAATTCTCGCATATAATAGTATTCCTCAGGATTATATAGAGCAATAACCAAAATTCGTGAAAATTTTGTCTCGCTAATCAAAAGTCAATGACTATCTCGCGAAAATAAGATGTCGCGAAAATTTAGTGATCTACAGTATTAACATTTTTTTAACTAAAGGCTTGCTTCTGTAGTCTGTCCTGTTCTGTTTGTGGTCACAACATATTTCTAAATATATATGATAAAGTTTTCCTTCTTATGCTACGTACTATCACTCCATTTAGAATAATTAGCATTTGAACTTTTTAAAAAGAATATTTGACTACACAAATCCTACTTACAAAAGGGCTCTAAACTCTTCAAATAAATTTAGAAAATTTACAGACCAAATAACCGTACTTCTTTATCAGAACGAGGTTTTTTTCTGGCTGCATCACTGCAAAATGTGGTTCAATGGTTTATTAGTTTTCACCAACCAGTGGGATTTGATCCCATAACATAAGGATCAACTCGTTACTTTGCGATTTAGTACAAAGTGAGACCTTCACACTAAGTAATTGCACCACTCAATCTACTTGTCACTGAATAGTTAATTTGAAATAAAAAAGCATTGATTCTTTATGGATAAATATTGTAATATTATGGTTTTTTACCTCAAATGGTCAATCTTGTTTTGTAATTTTTTTTTTATATAAATTATACTCTATGGTCATGATCATAAATTCTATACTGAAACACCTTTTGAATGACCATCTTGAGCTATATGCATAACATTTACAATAAAATAAAAAAAAAGTATGAAGCAATATAGTCCGTAACCCCCTCCCTCCAAAAAAATCAAGCCTTGACTTAATTAGGGCTCATGTTGCTTTCTTATGTATAGTTTGTACACCAATAATACTTTAATTATTAGTTGAACTGGAATTTCATTTGGCATTGATCAAGGAAGTAAACAGTACATTAGACAATTTATCTTTAACCATGACATCTTAAATACTCAGTCAAAGTGCTGTGAACTGTTGTAGAAAACCAAAATAATAATAAAAAATTGCCCAAGAATTAATTATACTATTGTATTTTCTTTAAGATGATTTTCCACAATAGAGCTGTTTAACGGTGTAGTCCGTAGCCCCAATGCTCTCATGAAATTCATCCTTCGTAGATGCTAAATTAAAGTTCATTCTTGGTCTTTAGATGGTTTTAGACATTTTGTTATCAAAACACCTATTACATGTAGTTGTGACATGTATTATTTTTTCTGACAATTCATATTTTACTCGTATTGGGAATTTATATTAAGTTTTAGTTTATTTTGTTAAATTTCACAGGATTTTTGTATAAATTGATTTTTAATTATTCAAGTGATAGGATCTTTGAAACACATGCTAACTCCAAGATGATAATTTTAAAAAATATTTACCGAAACAAGCAACTATTTTTTCTATGGTCACTCTTAAAATGAAAAATACGCTATGTATAGTCCGTAGTCCCGGGTCTCAAAATAGTCAATAAAAAATCCCTGACAAAGTTTTTCTTTGAGTTTTATCAAATAAGTTTGAAAGTCTCATTCCCATATAAAATTTCTTTAGAAAAAAATGAAAGTTATTCAATTTATTTTTTCTTCAATGTCCAAATATTAAATGTAGAAAGACTCTCAAAGATTAACAGATTAACCCGTGTCCTTTACATACTGTAACTTTTTTAATGGCACTGACTTACTATAGTGTGTGATTTTTTTTTTGCTCAGACAATATTTTTTGAAGAGTTTGTATTTGAATCATAAATTTTTGTTCAGTTGAATGTGATAAAAACAAATATCATGCTTGAATATGTATAGTCCGTAGGCCATTTGGGTCTCTGTTATAGTAAGAGTGAAATCTTTTAAACCGCTTGACAGAAATTTCAGACAATCTGCGAAAGGGATGTAGTGTTACATAGAACATACTTGAAATAATATTCGTTTGACTTATTTTTTTGGTTAATCTGCAACCTACATGGGCACCTGATCTCGAACAAGCCGAGGACTGTTAAGAAGTTTTGAATCATGAGATAAATAGCTAGCTAGTTTATGCTTTGATTAAAAAGTGTCTAAATACTGTAATATACACTACCACACTTGGCCATAACTTTTGAAAGGTAAGGGCTAAGGCTTTCATACTTCACATATTTAATCCCTGTGCTTCATTGGATTCCAAGAACTTTGACCCTTTGATCTTAACCTTGGAATTAGACCTACTTTTCAAATACAACCTTGAACATAATTTTGGAAGGGTTAGAACAAGGGCTTTCATACTTCTTAACTCTTGTGACAATACCTTTCATTTGATATCAAGAACCTTGACCCTTTGACCTTGACCTTGGTTTTGACCCATTTTCAAACTTTTACGTAACTTTTAATCGGTAGATACTAGGAATTTCTTATTTCAAATATCAATTCTTTGTGGCAAGACCTTTCATTTGAAACCAACAATTTTGACTTTTTGACCTTGGACATTTCCGTACTTTCGAAAAAACTTTAACTTTGGCTATAACTTTTGAACGGTAAGGGCTAGGGTTTTCATACCTCACATACGTAATCTTTGTGAGAAGACCTTTCATTGGATATCACAACTTTGACCCTTTGACCTTGGATTTTGACTGACTCTTTACAAACTTTAACCTTGACCATAACCTTTTTAACATTAAGGGTTAGAGCTTTCATACTTCACATATGTAATCCTTGTGACAAGACCTTTCATTGGATATCAACAACTTTGACCCTTTGACCTTGGAGTTTGACCTACTTTTTACAAACTTTAAACTTGGCCATAACCTTCGAACAATAAGGGCAAGCACTTTCATCCTTCCCACATATAATCTTTGAGACAGGCCTTTCTTTAGAAGCAACAACCTTGACCCTTAGTTTGTCCTCCCTTCAAAAACGTTAACCTTGGTCATAACATTTGAACAGGTGGTGCTAGGGTTTTATATTTCACATCTGTATTTCTTATGAAAAGGCTTTACTTAAGGTACCAACATAATTTGATCTGCATTTGAGATAGCTTAACCTTCGCTATGTTGCCATACGGGGGCATCAGTGTTTCACAAACACATCTTGTTGAGCTTTGATTTCTAGCCACCATATTTACTGACTTGCATACACAACCGACACAAGCCTTAAAATGGAGATTTATGCAATAAACAGAACAAAATACACACATAAGTAAATATGCTGTGTGTTCATACGACAATTGCACATGTTAGTATATTTACATATGTGTAAAATATACTGAGGTGTGTAAATCATGTCGTATGAATGGGGTATTATAAGATTAATACTCCATGTTTATATTTTCTAAGGATTTTTGTTTTCCACCTTTGACAGAACAGTCTATAGGTAAGTCATATTGAAAACAGCCCAAAATAGTTATATAAGACTTCCTTTTCAAAATTGTAGTTGAAACAATCAAGTAAAATAATGAGCAGATTAACAGAAGAGCATGCTTGACAAAGAGACGGTTACCATTACACACCTTAAAACATTTGACAGTTCGTCCACAATAATTTGATCACAGCACAAAATCCCAATTTCAATTATTTACAGAAAAGAGGTTTTTTGCATGTTACTTAACAGTCGTTTATGAGAGTTCAAAATATGTCACGATATTGTGAAACTTTCAAATTGATTTTATGCGATGAATGAAAAACCTATAAGTTATACTCCAGAGGAAAGTTTTAGAAATAACTTACCGTAATAAGGAATATAACCTGGATAGAATCAAATATTTTTTCACCCATTTTCAATTTGATCCATGGTTGTCCTTTCCTATAAAATTACGTCATTTCAAAGCACCCAAAAATAGATGTAGAAAGCCTATCTAATAATTTAAAAATAACAAACACTTTAGTGACTTTATAGAAATTAAAAATATACAATGATTTTGAAATGAATTATATATCATTATGAAAACAACCATACTATATCAGCTGATCATTGAAACGAAAATAGTCACAATAAGTCGGAAAATCCAAATGTACGCTTCATAAATTAAAGTTTCGTAAACATTACCGATATCAATTACAGGTCATCTACCATTATATTTAGACAGTGACAAACCTAGATTACCCTTTATAGCTAGATTTAAATACACGTACCTACTGAAAACACTTGAAAGAAAAAATTAAAGGAAACCAAAGTTAAAAACCCTTTAAATGGATTTATTAATACACTTTTCATTCGACTGTATTTCGTCAACCTAGTAAAGCCGAAGGCTGTCTGTCTGTCCGTCTGTCTGTAAACTTTCTGTCTGTACACCAACATTTTCTGGTGTTAAAAACTTTAAAAGCAATAAAATCATTTGAAAGTAATATTAATTTTCTGAATTTAAACAGAGTGGTTAAAATTATATTATTTATTCGTCAAGTAAAAAGTGGGTTGTGATATAAATTTTTGGATATTACTGAAATAGTGCTAATTTTAAACTTAAATTTGGCTATTTTTTAGCTCACCTGAACTCAAATTCTAATCAGTGAAACCAGAATAAAAATCTTAATAACATGTCAAATTTTCATATAAACAACATTAAAAACAGACGACTGGTATCATGATTTTCAAAGTGTTGTCGGAATCGAGTTTGAGGAAAATGACGTCGTCGAACCCGTACCCGGCGCACGAAAGTGTAATAAATTGTTTTTTTTTTAATGGTTTACATACATCAGAGACGGGAAAGAAGAGTAAAAAAGTGGCATTACACATTAGATTCAAACTGTTAAGATTCATAGCTTGAATTAGATTCAAGCTGTTTTTAGATGCTATGAGATTCAATGAAAGTTTATACTCTGTATCAAAAATAGTTACCGCATATAAAAAATAGAGGATTGTTTGTTAAAAAAAGACATTGGGGAACGTTCTAGCCCACGAACGACTCAAACAATGGGTATTCTCTGCTGCCTACAAATCTAAGGTGAACTGTATGCTAAATTACGACTGAAATTTGTATCTGCTGAAAAAAACCGGACAGTAGTGAATTTAAATGTCACTTAATTATCACTTGTTTTTCACTTTAAAAAATATTGAATGTAAACAGACGTTTGTGAAGCAGAAAAAAGATCACGACGTTAGAAGAGACGTAAATAACGCTTGCTTTCGTGCGCCGATGTACACATACACGCTTTCTTTATTTCTTCATAATTTTCTCATTAAATGTGATATCATTATGAAAATTGAAATGCATGATCATACAATGTTATTTTTTGTTATGACATGAAAAGAAATTTATTTTAGCAAAGAGAAACTAAACTGTTTCCCCTGTCTACGACTTTTTGGGACAACCCTCGTATTTTTACAGATGTAGTTTAAAACCAAACTAAGTCGAGAAATTTTATTTCTATTCACATTTCACTGAAGGATATGTTTCAAGAATGAAGTGACTATAAATTTGATCATCTATTCAGTGTGATAAATTTTTTCTACAAATAATATACAGAGTCGTGAATAAATATTTCAAAAGTAAAACAAAGTATTATACAATGAAATAAATAATCAAAGCATAGAATTAAAGATACAAATCTTTTACATGTATTAAGGAATCTAAAAAATGGACTCAGTCCAGAATTGAATTATACATGTAATATTGCAGTAGTATGCATGCGCATCTCTTGATGCATTATTAATGCAATCTCGGTCTACATTGAAATTATAGTTACTTGGATATGAATCTGTCTTAAAAAAATGAAACCGGTCATTCATTCAGAAATTACAGATTAAAATTAAAATTAGAGTTGGGTATTGCAAGTGAAAACTATATTGCGATATATTGCAATATTTTACGTTGAATATTGCAATATATTGCGATATATTGTAGATAAAATTATCATTAATAAATATGTGCAGAAAGTTTAAAATGCTGTCAAGTTCAAAGACTATTTTGAATTTTTCTATAAATTTTAAAGGGGGTGGGGAATAAGACATTAATAATTATAATAACTTTTAATCAAATACCAGGTAAAATATTAAAACAAAATGTACTTATCTGATGTATTTTCAAATTGAAAAAAAAAGTTTATGCATAGTATATTCTTTATGTTTTTTTTTTTGGGGGGGGGGTGGTGGTGGGGGGTGGTGGTTGTTTTATTGAAATAGCTTTAAATGTAACTTAATGATTAAAACAATACATGCTATATAGAAATTTTATGTGGTCACAGAATAAAATTAAAGCCAGAAAGAAATTGTGACCTATTTTCGGGCGTTTGGTGTTTTAGTCTGACCCGACCTAATTTCACATTATGACATACGATCATGCAGGAAATGCATTGGCCTATTTCTATTATTTTAATATACATGCTCCTGGTATAGCAAGAAGGTGTTTAAAATGGCATGAAACTTGTTAAAAAAAATAATAAAAAGCAACACTGTATCAAGAGAAAACATGGATGGCCATCTATTTGTAATATGTATCTTGAACTTAACATTTATCGTCGATCGTGTAGATTCCATGAGATTTTGAGAACCACAGTACACATGTTATACACCCTGTAAAATGTTTTATATATTTTCTTTCTTAATAATTTTATTTAAAAGTCTTTTTATTAATTATTAATTTTATTTTAAAGTAAGATATTTAAAATTGCGACAGTGAATGAAAAGCTTTTTCTCTCTCTCTTTTCTCTCTATCTGCCTCTGAAAGCTGACAAAGTAGTTTTTTTACTAGATTAAAAAGGCTGGGGAAGTTGCAAGTATTATTTCAGCAGTTTCTACAATAAAGGAGGTTTTTATATATTTTTATAAATATCGTGAAATACCGGTATCTGATTTTCATATCGCGATATATTATCGTGGTGGATAATACCGCAATATACCGATATACCGGTAATATTGCACAGCCCTAATTAAAATACAGAACAATTTCGTTGAAAGGCATTTTTTGATGCATCTTTACAAAGTATGGTCCAGGTAGGCTAGCACATAGAACTGCTCTGAAAGCTGAACTCGGACAATCAATTTGAAAGCTCACTTCAAATGCGTAATCAGAAGCAAGTCTGGTAGCATACGTGCATCCCTAGGTGAATTACCAATTGAAAATGTCTTCTATAAAGGTTAAAATAAAACTTGAAAGAACCTGGTTTAAGTCAGATATTGTAGAAAATTACAGCATCCGAAGCATCCCTAGATGCAAAATCCATGCAAGCTTGATATTCAAGGCATTGTAGTTACAGTGGAATGGACCGTCAAAAACTTTAACCTGGTCACTCACTTTTAAAATCTTGCATCTGAAGCAAATTTGTGTACCGTTCCTCTAGATGCTGTATGTTTAGTCAATAAAGGGCTCTTACATGTATCTTCGAAAAGCAACCCCCCCCCCCCCCGCTCGCTTACAATAAATCTAGCATCCGAAGCATATTAAAGGATGTGTACCTCTAAAGGTACATGAATATTGTGTATCACTGGGAGTCATAAAGTTTATAGTTACTTAAGAAAAAATCTGCTCCAAAACTGTTAACTGAGTCACTTATCTAGAAAAATGTAAATCAGTTACAAAGTTCAAAACTAGTCTGTTTAGTATTATTCCTTAATGTGATCAATACAGGACTTATGAGACTTGCTCTCAAAATATTAACATGGTTTTTCTTGGGTTGAAAATGTAGCATCTAATACATTGACTGTTTCTATAAACATTGTCAATACTGTTCATCTCTGTTTGATAAAAGGCATAGAGAATAGAAATAGAAATCTGCTCCAAAAAATTAACCTTGGACACCAAGAGTACAGCACAAGCTCTTTTAATTTCGTTGAGGTGAGCTAATAAAAAGAATTAAAGACAGAAGTCCCCTCCACTGTTCATGGTAACGAGCTTTCTATCACCATTGTATTATTATCTCCTACAATCACATGTCCAGCTTTTTGAATAATCACTTTCCCAATGAATGTATCTACACCAAAGAAAAGAAAGTAGTGTTTGATATAAATAGTAAATGTAACATATGTATTTAACGAACACTATTCAAGATCAAAAGTCCATAAAACAATACGAAAATAGGAGCAGAGCAAACACGGACCTCCAAAACATCAGAGGTGGGATCAGGTGCAATGTAGGAGTGAGTATCCCCAGTCGACCGGTCACACCCGTTGTGTGCTCCTCGTCATGATCGGAAAAATCTGTCGCCAATACAGTGTATAAATAATGGCCTAACAATTAGTATGAAAAACGTAAGTCTGCATATGTCTCAATGACTAGGTCATTGCATCGACAATAGAACTTACAAATGATGACTTTAAAGGAAACTGCTGATATTCTTGTTTCATCAACTTGTTTGTCAATAATTTACCTCGTTTAAAAATTTTTTTTAATACATAGCATGCTCTTGCGTATCAAATCAACTGGGATATATAAACCCTGAGTGTTGAAAGTATACTGCTGCATAAGTTTTAAAAACAAACCTGCATGTACAATGTTTGGTTTGTCTTCTTTGGATTGGTGCTCATTAGAGGAAATCTTTGCCACTATAACATTATTGATTAAAATATTAAAACAAGAAATCCATATATGCTTCATAAATACATAAATTTACCATATTGTTATATATGGTGAGGAATTCTTATCTAGATACAAATTAACACGTAATCAATAGGTTTTGACTACTTATTAAAAGAGAAAAACACCTTTTAACTGATTAGAAGCTTTCAAAAGCTAAGAAGATTATAGTTTGTTAAGAAGATCAATTTTCTTTAAATAATTTAAACCTCTGGATCATATCTGATAATTTTAGTCACAAGAAAATTTACAGAATCTTTGTTACATAGTGCAATTGTGCACCTCCTATTTTACATTTTGATCCGACTCATATTTTGGGTTTCCATTCAGTTAATCGGGTTATGGAGTCTGCCTTTTAGATTTTTTGAACACAATGTTACAGTTTTTATTTTTAAACCATATTTATTTCATGTCTTTTTTGGAATTTGAATTTTTACGAAATTAGGAAAACATATACTTTTATCCACTAAAATTGAGGGAAAATACGGACCCCATACCTATCAACATTTAATGAAGACTGTCAGCATGTTATATAATTATATATATAAGTGAGTTTGATACCTTTTTTAAAAATAAAATTCAAATACAGTTGTGTGGATGGGATTCATGCAAGTTCCAACATCAAGAATTTAACTGTTTTACAAAATGTATCATTTTTCAAAACAATAAGTGATATATAGGTTTTAATAAATGTAATGTTTACAATAATTTCTCTTTCAGTTGACTGCTAAATAATACAATTAATGAAAAAAAAAGACGAATACAAGTCGTTTAGAAAAATGAATCTTACTCTGTGTTGCTTGGACTGTATTTCCGCTGCCATGTAAATCTGAACACCAGCCTTCTGTACATAATTTATAGATAAGAGAATTTTTACTGTTATATTCATTTAGTGTAATAATAAAAAATAATTGCGATTAAAATTACATTGTGCTATCAAGCTAAAGAGTGAATTTTGTTATTAATTAATTAAATTCATTTCTTATATGCTATATGGTTTGTTAAATTAAGAATCTTAAAATAATTTTATATCTTAGTATTTTTTTAATATAAGTACAAATAAATCCCTAAAAACTTTTAAAAATGCATGCAACTTACTTTTCCTACTTTGGAAAATCACTGAAATTACAATAATAAATACCTTACTAAATGAACCTAGTTACTTTTATCATATATTATTATCATTACAGACAAAGATATATTTTCATTCGTTCCCATCTTACTTTAGGATCGTTTAACTGTTTTAATTCTTCTTTTTGACACTTGTATGTTTTCGTAGTTTTTCACAAAATTTTCTGTCAGTTAATAATGAGTTATTCAACTTCCAGTAACCACTACCTCGTAAATTTTCAGAATATTTTTAATAGAGTTACATAAACACATAAATTAATTAACAGAAGAAATAGACGATGCTGTACAATATTTTTTATAATTTTTTATATAGACATTTAAATAATTTACCTATTTCTGTTTATTAGAACTTCAGAAATGAAAAGAGTGTTCCCTATAAAACCTTGCAATTATTGGTGCCTTATTATTTTACCTTTCCATGCCTTTTAACTATTTGTATTAGAAGAGGATGTCTATATACAGTTCTAAAATAATCAGATAACATATTCCTTGTTTGTGCAATCATTACATTTTAATACATTCATTCAAACTTTTTAGCATGCATGATACATGTACATGAAACAATGTCAGAAATTTATTGATATGAATAAAGAAAACAGAAAATGTTATAAGACTTATTTCGGTAGTTAACTCTCTAAGTTTTATCATTTATCAGATGTTAGGATAAGATACTTTTTTATAGCAGAATAAATGAAATAAATATCAATGCAATCTGACATCCCTTTATTCCACAAAACCAAAAGAAATTGTTTGTAAACAAACAAACAGTATTTACCATACCAGGACTAAGCCATCTTACACATTTTATCCTTTCAATTCCATTCTAAGCTCTGAAGTGAAACCCTTATAACAAAACTAAAACAAAAATATGTTACAATTCTTGTACACTGTCGCAAAAAATTATGACATGTCTCTTTCTTTCCATTAAAATGATGCTCTTTTCTTTATTTACACTGTATTTAAGCCGAACTTTCCCACTACATTGAATGGTTTTGATACCTGTGTCTGACAACACAATACATATGGAAACAAAGATTAGACAATTTTTCTGCACTATAGATCATTGTTAGAAAAATTGTATTTTGTTTATCATTTTTAAAATTCTTTAGTTCTTAAAAAATATATTTAAAAAAATAGTAATAATAATAAAAGAAAACTTTAAGAAAAAAGAATTAACCAACTAAACTATTTCATTTATGCTGATCCTATAGTTCAAAATTGAACCTACTTTAAACTTTATTGTACATGTTGTATCTTCATCACTAAAGATCACTTTATATTTTGACTCAGACAGACATATATGTTTATAAAAAGGCTATTATAGAAGAAATAAACACGAACTTTTAATTAGTATCAGTACTCACTAGTCTGAACTACGTTTTTGAATCATATAAATATTCAAACTACATATATCTCAATATCTTATCTTACATTTACATGCAAGTATTAATATTCAAATATATTAACATATGGAATGCTTAATTATAATGAGCAAATTATACCTTACCAAATATAACAGCCATAACGAAAATTACTGTAAGAACGGGTGAACCAATTGCAGCTGCGATTAAGAATCTGTTTTCATTTGCTGAAGAGGAAAATTGAGATTTATTGTGACATGTTAATTGAAAATTTACCTTGAACTAAATGAATGATTTTCATGACTTTCTTACCATTTCTTTTGGATGTAAGAACTAATATATCTACAAATCAAAATATTAACTCTCCATGCAAAAAATTAAAATAATATATAAAATTAGGTAATAAATTGATAAATATCTTCACATGATTTACTGACTATAATAGATTGTAAATTGTATCAGTATATACAAATGCCACACATACTAAATAGTGTACTATGAGGATGTTCCTCTTAGCTATTTATTTTTATTTGGTTTAGGATACTTATTATTTCTGAAACATACAAGTCACTATTAGATCATCAGCAATATCATTGGACTTGGGTTTTGGAGTGAGGTCTTTGGCAGGTTCAGATGACAGTGTAATATACTTGACCGTTGATGACCTATGTGTAGAGAAATACTAGTAGTAACCAAAAATAAGGTAAAATTAATATTGATTTAGATATTTAATTTGAGACAGAAAGAAATCAAAGCTAAATTAAATTTTTTTCTGGTCGAAAATTTTCCATCTTGCAACGTGTACCATTACATAGTGATGACTTTGACAGACTTGCAGTAGACATTGAGACCAAACATTAAAACAATTGAGAAAAAATGTAGCCTTAACTTTACCCTTAAATGAACACAAATCTTAAAATTCCCTACATTTTATCAGGATGGTCTTTATTTTATCACATAAAATTAATATTTCAAAGTGACAACAAGACCCCAAAATGATAGTTTTAATAGAACTTTTAGGAAATATAACTTCAGTCTCATCATCAAAGAATAATTCTGGTTTTCCTCTGTAAAAGTCAATTTGTTATAGAAAGCATATTATAATCTCAGTGTAGTGAGCTAAAGTTGATAATCCACTTTAAGATGCCATAACTCCGGTGGCTATAACCTTTATAAATAGATAATATTCGGTATTAAATTGAATTATAAAGATATTGACTTGGAATAATTACTAAGTTCTTACTGTATGGAAATGTTTTTCACACAGTTAAATTCATGTTTCTTGCGGTAGTAGCCATATGAACATTTCTTCACACAGTAATAGGCTGAAATAGAAAAAAGTAAATATTTCCAAATATTATACATGCATGTAGTTAAAAAGTATAGTTGCATACAGTCTGGATGAACTCTTATTTCCATGAATGTCTTTTGCTGTTTTGTACTTAAAGTTAATGTTGCCTCCTCCTTAAAAAATACACACTGTTGTTGCTGTATGATGTCCAACTATAAATTGAAAAATTAATATATACATTATTATAACAGTAGCTTGATCCGAAGGGTTATATCACGTCGAGTTGACAGGCGCGGATCATCAGATCAAACGAGACACAAAGCATCGAGTTTGATCTGATGATCTGCGCCTGTCAACGAGACGTGATATGACCTGATGATCTGCGCCTGTCAACGAGACGTTATATGGCTCTTCGGATCTAGTTACTGATATAATGATAAATTCATATTAAAATAAACCTTTAAAGATAAATTGTATAATATTAATCCATTAAACAAAGCATAATAACAAGGGAATTTTTAATGTGCAAGAAAAATAATGTCATATTTCTGCGTACTACGTCATCAGTTTCAGAAAGTGGTGATATGGATTCAGAAAACCACAGTGTGGTGATCCGGAAAGTCGGATCATGACGTCATAAAATCAACAGTAAAAAATTGAGTGATACACATTATATATATAATAAATCCATATAACTCTAATTAAAATTAATATATCCATATAACTCTAATTATACAAATCCTAAGTGTAATGTCATAAGATGTCTTACCTGGATTTAGTTCCTGTCCCTCTGGACAAACAAACATGACACACCCCTCCTCTTCTGACTTGGATTCATAACATGACTTATTTTGTGGGTTTGAAAGTAAATAAGCTTTAGATCTGTATCCTTTTGTGTAGTCACATCGACACAGTCGGTCCTCAACATTGCTTCCCTCATCACATTTTTGTTCACCATCATCGTCACATAATGACTTGGGGTAGGTACATGTGACTTTTTTATAGTTGTTAGACATTTCTCCTTTAGGTTGATAGTGTGTTGATGGACATTTTACAGGCTTGATGAAGTCCAAGTCCAAAGACAAGACGGGATAATACCCTGCAAAAAAGTGAGCAGACAATATAAATTGTATATTTTTTTTTTATTAAACATTTAAAAAAAAAACATTGCTTACTTGATAATGAATTTTCAAATGAAAATATAGTCATGCTAATCTTTTTCTTTAAAAAATCTAATTTTAAAATCTAAATTGTACTAGTTTACTACATTACTGAAGCATATGAATGTCACAGATCATGTGTTTGATTTCCTGTATCTAACAATATTCTAATTTTTTTAATTTTCCCCCCAAAATATGTATTTTAACTTACAAGTACTAGTACAGTGTATTAAGTTGTACATGTTGTAATTTTGAAATTGTAGATCCATGATCATTAAACTTGTAAAATGTTATCTTTTTCTAAATGACAAGAAAGTAATGTTATCAAAGAAAAAGTACATTGTTTGACCCATTTAATTTGTCTCTGATTTTTTAAGGACAACCTTTGAATAAATGCAATACCCCTTTCAATTTGCACAGGTTGCAGACAAGCCTCTCTCAGATCTCCTGCTTGGTTTTCTAGACAATGATACCAACTTGGTTTTCCCTCACAGAACAACTTAGAACGGGCCTCCCAGAATGATAGATAAGGACACATTATCATGCCAGTAACAGCTACTGCCTGTAACATATAATTCTATGAGGTTGAAAAAAATGCTCATTTGAATTTTTGCCATCAATTTTAAATATAGCATTATCATCATGATCATATTATATTTTTTAAGTTTTAACAATAGTTTCCAAATTGAATATAAAATATACTTGTAAATAAAGTTCATTATGCATGGTAACATCACGATTTCTGATTCTTTATAAGTTTATACATCTGACGTGAATATAAAGAATTGAAAATAATAAATGCATAAATTTGTAGCTATTTATAATTCATTATTGTAAAAGGAGAAAAAATAGTAGTAATGTTCAACATGTTTAGATAAATAAGGCATATTTCAACCACAGGTACTTGGGTCTTGGTTTATAGCATATGTATGTACCTTATTGATATGTAAAAAAAAAAGTAGCAAACAATAAGTAATCAATGTTCCGAGACGTCCGGTGCAGAAATTTCGGTAGGTGCAGCGTTTTTAAAAAGAACAAGCCATGTAAACAAGCGATTTGAGCAGACGTCATTATAACGGAACCCTCAATACCTTTACTTTATTTCATATCAATAAGGTACATACACATTTATAAAACAAAGCCCAAGTACCTGTGATTTCAACAGTAATTTTCATCCTCCATAAAAATTTATTCAATTTAAACTTTTTAGTCGATTTTGCTTATAGGTCGACAAACATGTTCAAAGTGGCTCTTTATGTCCTTTTACTTTTGCCTAGGCCTACTTCTACACCATAAAATACACACAACTTGTATTAAAATAAAAAAAAAGACAAAATGTAGCTTGTGGCTGTATACGTGTTCTTTCAACTTTATCATGTTTACCTTTAACAAGAAAAATAAAAATACACAGGTGTCCATTTTTGCTATATTCCATCATAAAAGGTGAATATTGCTATCACTTGTAGAGAAATAAATGTCAAATGAAAATTAAGTCTCTGGCCATTTTCATTTTTTACCAAGTAACCAACCGCCTGAGCCAGCAAACTAACAGTGAACGAAACGAAAGTAAAAAAATATTATTTCCGTTGGTATTTAACGCAGTTTGAACCCGATTGTAAATTAATGTTTATTCTTTGAAGTGAAAAATTAAAAGATGAATTATGCCCGTTTAATAGATGAGGGGTGGGTGGGGTTATACAGTTTATGTCCTGTCCGTCCGTCCGTCTGTTCGTTTGTTTAGTTGTCCATACCTTTTGAGTGGGTGGGGCTATGGCATTCATATTCTTGTACCCACACCATTTTTTGGTACCACCAAATCTGAACCGGTGACCCAGATAGCAAGCTGACGTTGGGCCGATGTTGGCATATGGTTGGTAGATCGGCTACATATCGCGGTTGGTAGAACGATATTGGGCCAACATCGGTCCGACATTGTCATTACAACAGTCGGTGTACTGACATTGTTCTAACATCGGCCCGACATTGTAATTACAACAGTTGGTGCATTGACATTGTACCAACATCGGTCCGACATTGTCATTACAACAGTTGGTGCACTGACATTGTTCTAACGTCAGGCCAACATCAGGCACGTAGCATCGTTTTTGAAAGTGGGGGGGGGGGGGGGCAACCACAGAATTTTTTTTTACTTTAATACCTGAAAAAGTTGACAAGCAGATTTTCCTTGATATTACTATACTGTGGTAAAAAGTGGGGGGGGGGGCATTTCAATGGACATTTTCTGTACTAAAGGTAATGTTGGGGGGAAAAGTGGGGGTGGGGGGTCAGCCTCCCACTGTTGCTACGTGCCTGAACATTGTTATTTTTAATGTTGAAGTATGGACATCTTTGTAATGTTGGCCCGACATTGTTGAACCACTGTTGCTATGTAAACTTATGTTGAAACCTTTAAAAAATTATCTATTTATTTTATTTTTTTATTCATTTGTTTATTTATTCATTTTTAATTATTTAACCCTTACGTAGATTTTCAAAACTATGGAATATAACTTAGATTTTTCTCTACAATTACATCGGGATCGAAGTCGGGCTCGATAAGCAATTTTGAAATTTAAACAACACACCGCGCCGAAATTTAAATTTTTGGGTGTTCCACGCAGCCATGCTGATGTTGTACAGAAGTAGAAAAGTAGAATCATGACTAACTTTGGGTGGAATTTCTGTTTTGACAGAAGATGAAGACATTTTACGACCCGTACTCAGGCGTACTGCGGTAGGTACAATGTACAAAATAATTTAACATGTGTCCTTGAATGAATAATTGCTTCTGCTACTGTTCCTTAGTCAGGACACTACACATAAAATGCCTGACAGTGAAATCGTTTGAGCAAGCGTTATTTCAGTTTTGTTTTAATAATTTAACACTTCTAAACATCTAATAAAGATGGATTTCAACCCGAATTTCCTCGTTTGGGATCGATTCAGGAATTTTAGTGTTCCTCTCTTCAACATTTACAGAGTATGATGTAAAATGTAATAAAATGATATTTATTTTTAAATGCATGTTCAAGATCATTTTCAGCACTTATTTTGATTATTTTATAGTTGCATGCAGTGGACTGTGCCCGAGACGATTCCCACAGGGCCGGCGAATAGTTAGCTTGTATAAATGGTAAGAACCAGCTAAAATTTTCATTTATAACACAAATAACCTAATATTGTTTTTATTAACTTGTATCTTTTAGCATAGAACTATAAAAATATTGCAGACTTCTATGTACCAAGTAAACAAGAGGTTTATATTCTAAATTCAGGGACGTAGTATCCGGGGGGGCCAGGGGGGGCCTGGCCCCCCCACTTTTTTCCCCAACATTACCTTTACTATAGTAAATGTTCATTGATAGGATGGTTGGCCCCCCCACTTATAACCATAGTAAATGTTCATTGATAGGATGGTTGCCCCCCCCCCCACTTATAACCATAGTACAGTGATAGCAAGGATTGTAAGGAAAAATTGGAAGCGAAAGGAACTTGGCTTTGAAAAAGTTGGCCACTACCCCCCCCCCCCCCCCCCCCTACGAAATAGGATTTTCGAGTTTGGGCAACTTTAAAGTTTGGTTTTTTTTTTTTTTTTTTTTTTTTTTTTGCTTGTCAACTTTTTCAGGTAAGTAAAAAAAAATTTCTCAGGTTGGCCCCCCCACTTGCAAAAACGATGCTACGTGCCTGAAATTTCCTTATCCTAAAAATACATAACAATGGATTCTGACAGGTAATCTAAACATGCTATAAATTAGCACAGCTATGCATATTAATTATTTTATATCAAATACTTATGCATAAATTATCAAGAATAGCTATCATTTTGACATATTCTATGATGCACAATTATACATGCATTATTTACAGGAATCTGAATGCTCACAAGAAGGACAAATGCAGTATGGAAATGAACACAAAGTTATTCTAAGATTTTTTAAATTTTCTGATTTGATCTATAAAATCACATGAATTGAAATACATATATCTTATATCTTAGTCAATGTAAGTCAGGCATAGAGCTTTAGCTCTAGCCTTAACCTTTTCCTTTCAATAGCTCACTTGAGCCATTCTAAGTTCAAAGTTAAACAAAGCGAGTTTTCTCATCAGTGTCTAGCTAAGTATTCGTCTGTCATCTGTAAACTTTTTAAATATTTACATTTATCGAAATTAATCCTAATTTGAACCAAAAGAAAGATACTGCAAGATGGTGAATTTCTATTTTTCAATACATGTATACTGAACTGTCAGGTTAAAGTAACCAATTGTCTTAACAGTCTTGTACTCTTGTAGAGCCTTACTTTATTATTTATCATATATTTATATGTTAATAATATATAAATGCGATAGATAATCGATGAGTATACATCCTGATGGTCATTTTTTCTTTCAGAAATTGTGCCAGAAAAGTAAGTGTCTACGGGAACGATCAACATCGAACTTTCTGAGCCTTCATACTTAAACTAAAGTGAATTCATTTGTGAATTTCATGGGATATCAGTGAGGAAGTGATTCAAGCAGACACTTGAGAAATTTTGGATCTAACTCATAAATTAGGATCTTTGGCATATATTCGGGGGAAATAGCGTGACTGTGTTGATTTTATGGGATCTTTTTATTAATATAGTTGTAGTGGATATTTTGTCTTAATACATGTGTTTGTCACTCTAGTCTAGTCATTAACTTTGTACGGTAAATGTTCATTGGCAACTGGAAGTTCATTGTAACTGTATACCCCATTGAGGTTTCAATGACCTCTCCCAATGTTATTAAGTCAAATGTCATATTTTAAAAAAAGAAATAGTTTGTTTTATTACAAAGAAATGTTGATCAGTGAGAATACTTAGAAAAAAATATGCTTACATTGTACATCTATAAGTGTATATGTAATATTTGTTTGAAAACACATTGTGAAAGAAACAATTTTTTTTTTATTTTGAAAATATAGATATGATAAATTGAACATTGAATTGAATTGAATTCAGTTTTCATTGTATCTTCCTGGAATTTTGTAGATTTCAATGGAATTCCATAGATTTCTAAATATCTTTGTGCACAGATATGTTGGGCCAACATAAGAATTATCATTGTTTGAAACTGGGCCAACGTAAGGCCTACATGAAGATGCACAAATACGTTGGGCCTACATTGGGCCAACATCAGAATTATCATTGTATAACATTGGGACAACGTAGCGCCAACATGTCAGTGCAATATTGCAACGATGAGCAAAATTACATTGGCCCAATATACATTTTCCGACGTTGGTCCAATGTCGGAAAATAATATTGGGCCAATGTAATTTTGCTCATCGGCGCAACGTTGCGCCGACATGTTGGCTCAACGTTGGCCCAATGTCATAGAACGATAATTTTGACGTTGGTCCAACGTTGGGCCAACATAATTGACAACAGTGGCCCAACGTTGGACCAACGTCAGAATTATCGTTCTATGACATTGGGCCAACGTTGCGCCAACATGTCGGCGCAACGTTGCGCCGATGAGCAAAATTACATTGGCCCAATATCATTTTCCGACATTGGACCAACGTAACTTACAACGGTGGCCCAACATTGGGCCAACGTAAGCTTGCTATCTGGGGACCTCGACCTCGGAGTATGACCCACTGTTACCAATATATTTCTGAACTTTAACCATAGCCATGCATTATAACTTTTGAAAAGTTGGTGCTAGGATTTTCATACAAGTTTCAGATGTGTATTCACTGTAACAATTAAGATCTTTCATTGGGTATTAAAATACGTTGACCGTATATAACGTTTTAGTGAATCATTAGTACTAGGACTTTCATATTTAATTCACATGATTGTGTATTCCATGTGGCAGGAACTTTCTTTGGTTTACCAACAATTTTGACCTTTTGACCTTGACCTTAGAGTTTTTCCACTTAAAACAGATTTAACCCTGGCCCTAACTTTTAAACTGTTATTCCCAGGGCTTTCATATTTCACAGCTAGTGAATTCGTTGTAAGAAAACCTTCGATTCCATTGAGTACCAACAATTTTGATATTTTGAAGTGATCTTAAAGTTTAACTTGCAGTTTTGAAATTTCGACCCTCGCCATAAGCTGTCATACGGGGCCCTACGGGGGCATCAGTGTTTTACAAACACATCTTATTTTCTTATGAAATACATTCCTTAGAGATACTACAATAATAGCCCTCTCTTTAAAGATGTATTAATTACATATTTTAAATTATTTTTACGATTTTGTAACTTTGATTTGCTCAAATAGTAGGGACCTACAGGACTGTGTTTTGTAACTGTATAGGCGGTTGGTTCTAAGTATGGTGTTTTTGTGTGTTATGCGTTTTCGTAGATGTGCGTTAATACACTCATAAAAAATTAAAATCGCAGAAAATAGCACGTTTAAATTTTTCATGTATGTACAGTAATTAATATTACGGTCTGGCATAACATGGAATTTAGAGTAGAAAGTCCTAACAAAATACCTATTTTACTCTTTAGATATTAAGGTTAAAAATTAATTTTAATAACTATAATTATGTCAATATAACTCAAAAGTCGTTTAAAATGCTCTGGACAATGAGAAAGTGTTAAACGGAGAATTCTTTTAATATTAAATAATTTTTGTATGTATACAGTAGATCATATACATATATTTGTTCATATGTTGGCAACTGTGCAGAATTAATATGTTGGGAAGGAGAAGATTTATTTATCTATGCAGGTTTCAGAAGTTTTAGTTTATAAAATATGTACGATGCAATTAATCGCCCCTTCATTATTAAGATCAATCTCCGAAGTACGAATATGACACACTAATTTTCAATATGGAAGGCTTAATCTAGTGCGAGAACCTGTAGGCCTTCTTTATCAAAAACTTAATTGTTATGTTTCAGTTAACAAAGAAAGCCTAATCTTAAATGACAACACTAGTTTCTTTATCAAAATCCGTAAAGGAAACACGAGTCTTTAATTGCCTTTTGCGTTTCAAGACACAACTTTAAAGCCTATTTAGTAAGTGGCGTGTATATTGTCCTAAAAAGGACACCAGACGACGATCCGCGATCAAGTGGATTCTTTTTAAATTCTTAAATAATTCCCAAATGCATTCAAAATGGATCACGGTAGATTTTTTATTATCTCAAAGAAAAGTTTAAATTCCTCATTCACAAAGCTAATTTTCATTTCGTCACAAATGAGGACAATATAGAAGTGATAGAAGTGTCATTGTTTGGGAAGATTAACTCCTTTAGGTCATGTTTGTGAGTTTAAGGTCTTAAGTTGATCATAACTTAATTCACAGTAGTCCTTGAACAAATATCTTATCTGTAATATATTAGCCGAACTGGACAACAGAAAGGCTAAACACTCTCAGGGCGGAATGGAGACAATTCTACGTGTTTGGGTCAGTTTAGATGTACATGTATCTTAACGTGTTTATGCAAAACAACTTCGAATCTGTCCTGTGAGGGAAGAAAGAAAATTAACAAGGTAAAAATATGTTTTATTATTTAAATGCCTTTTAATTTATATTTCAAGAAAATTAAAACCTTCTAGCAGGAAGTGCATTTCAGTTCCAAGATTTGATTTCATACTTGATATTGTTTCATATTTAAAGCAAATCCAGTTGTATGGCATATATTTATCATCGACTGAGACATTTTTCTGCTGTTGAGTTTGCTTCATTACATTACATACATTACAGTATTTTTGTGTATTTTCAGCTATTATCATGGCGGGTAGACGTCAAACTCGCACACAGAGCGAAGGTGACGTCATTGGAATGAGCGAAGAAGCGTTACTAAGCACAAGCATTAAAAATGAGCTGGAGAAATGGAAACTCATGAACGAAATGCACGCACTTGTGTGTGGCGAAAAACAGTGCTCGATGGAAAACAGCAGAAAGCTGAGAAAGCTTAAAGAGGATATAACAAAAATGCTTGCTGAAGGGTGTGTATATAAGCTTCATGGATTTAAAAAATATGATCCATTCTTAGTCAATTTCAAAACAAAAGAAAACATAGAAGAAGGACCGAAGCCAAATACACTCACCAAATCTTTGTCTACAGGGACTTTCCCATCAATTAGCGAGACAGGAAACTATGTGAAAACAAATTTAAAGTCGTATGAAAGGAAAGAAGTTGAAAAGAAAGATATTTTACCTGCGACAATTCAAAATACCTTTAGTAATGTCGAATTACCCGATATTCCATCGCAGTCTGAAGAAAGCCACGATGAAAATGAAGAAAATGAACACTGCACAAATTTGTTATCCTCTCTATCGAATAGCTTTCATGGTATGATCATGTGGCGACAGAAGATACGTGACAGAATAATAGAAAAAGAAAAGGCAAAACCAGATCCCCCTGTCCGATACCACCCGAAAGTTGAAACGACCCCGAAAAACATAAGTCGATACAAGGACATGTTTGCGGGAAACTGCAGGACATATTATGCGATGAAGAAATTCGTTGATAAAGAGGCTGACATAATGATTAATAAAGTGGATTCGCCTCTCTATTACAAGAAAATCTCGGAACTAGAAAAACTTAAACAAAAATGTAAAATTCCAGAAATTATCAGAAGAGACAAATCAACCTCAGCCATATTTAGAGATTTTGAGAATTATAAAGCCCAGAAGGTACAAGAAAAGAGAAGGAAAGTATCAGAATGGCAAACTCCTCAGTAACAATATGTACTGGACATATTATTGAGTATATTTGAATGTTCTTCGACAATCCTCAACATATCAACAAACATTTTCTAACCATTAAGTGCAATATTTTATTACAGTATTTTCCTGCTAAAATGCTGTAGTATTAGTCAATTTTTCGTCCTTAAATTATTTTTATCAATATATCTTTAATGTATAATGACTTAAGAAAGTAATAGCTACATGTATATCTATATTATATGCCTAACCTAAAACATAACAATTCTTATATGCATGTACTAATTATAAGCAATATTCCAAATAGATCTAGAATGTAGCATTGAGACATTAAGCAAACCGTCAAGATCTTTTCCACACGGACCATGTTATTTACCACTAACCTTTTTATAGTCATATTTTTAGTAGAAATACTCTTGTTTAAGGACAATCAGTAAAGGCTGATTATTTATCATAATTGATGTTTTATATCTGTTTAAATGACGATGTTACTGCAAAAAATATTTCAAAACATACATGAACAAATAAATCATACAAAGCATTTATGATTATATGAGATGAATTTCTCATTTCTCATTCAAACTTGTGATATTTTTGAAAAGTGAAAAATCAGTCAAATGAAATATATGGAGATAACGATTAGTTATCAAGCTCAGAAATCTTTTGAATGATACACATTTGGAGAAGAGCAATCACGGATCTCCAAAATATCAAAGATGGGATCATGTGCCAGGGAGAATAGAGTATCCCCTGCCGATCGGTCACACCCGCCGTGTGCCCCTTGTCATGATCGGAAAATAACGTAAAAATCCGTCGGCAATTCAGTGTGTAAATAATGGGTTAACAATTGATATGAAAAAGTCAGTCAGCACTTGAATTAATGGTGAATTGTGTTTGCTGACAAGGTCATTGTAGCGTCCATATAACTTACGAAATGATGACTTTAAACGAGACTGCTGATATTCTTGTTTCAACAACTTGTTTGTAAATAACTTGCCTTGTTTAAGAAATTCTTCATCATTATGTAGAACTTGCTCTTGCGCATCAAATTAACTGAGAGATCATATAAACCTCTTATGCAGGCGACGAAAGTAAATCGCTGCATAGGTAAGGGAAGTTAACAATTGAAAAAGTTAGTCATCACGTTTATCATAGAGCTTAATTGGTTGTTAGATTACATTTAACGTCTTTTGTCAAATAAAATAGTATCCAATCAAGATACAGATGTGTCAGAATCTGAGGCATCTTGTTTAGTGCTTATGTAAATTAGTATTTTATGTTGAGCTTTAGTCATGTTAGTGAAGAGTTATTAGTAAATAATTATTTTTTTTCAATATAACTTTTTACCATAGCCCCTTTTGGACCCATAAATCAAAATGAAGATTTTTTTCATTAAGGAAGTCTGTAAACTGCACACTAAAGAGTTCTAGACTATTTATTGGGTAGTTTTATGCAATCAGTGTGATCTGCCCTTAGAATTAAGATAAAAAATGGTTATTTATAGTTTTAAAATCACACGATTTCTAATAAATTAAAATATGCTTAGTGTTATATGAGACTACATGTAAGAATAAGAAAATGAATTCATTTTTTTAACCAGTTATTTTCCCTAGTTAAGAAAACAACAATGATTTCTGCTCACAAATAGTTTATTGTCTTTGAACAATTTTCCTGCTGAAATAAGGCAGCTACCATATGTAAAAAAAAAAAAAAAAAACATTAACTAAATAGTCCCAATATGCACACCTTTATATGATATATTTTTCTCCAAGTCTAAAAAGCACTTTTTATCAGTATTTATAGCTTCCTTAAGGTATTTGTTATTTTGAAAGAATCTGTCTTCTCAACCCTCTGTTTCTTAAAGATTTTTAATAATTGGACACGTGTATACAAATGTGATATCGACAACATTTGTTGGAGTTTAAATATGTTTACACATTTACTTACCACTACATTTTCAGTATTTTGATTCATGTTTATCCCAATGAATTAAAAAAAAAACGACAAGGAGGGAATCTGATTCTTTTGTTTCAGACATAGTTTTCTATAGAAAATATTGGATCAATTAAGATATAAACACAAAAAAAAATACAAACTTTATTATTATTCTCTTATTAATGTAGCAATATGATACCATTAAAATATACATATGATATTTATGTGTAACAGTTGATTCAATTTGCAAGAGCCTGTTTTTGGCACGAACAACATATAACATTGTAGTAGGGAAAAATGAATTAATACGTGAGCTGGTCTATAAAAAGTCCAAGAGTACTAAAATGATCCATGATTCATTTTTAATATTTCGGTTAAAAAAGCTAGTTTGCCGATAAAATTCGGGAAACAGTTATGAAATTTAAATTTGCAGACGATTTTTCTTAAAGCTTCAAGGCACTTTGGGCATTTTAAAACTGTACCTCAAAATGTATCGAACGCCCACTTCAGGATACAGGTATTTGGATGGGGCAATGCAAGAAGATTACATGTATATTAAGAGTACCTCTAAGGGGCCTGATATGTGTCCAAATTCTGAGAAACAGCATCATATGAGAAAAAAAAACAAAGAGGAAAAATTAAATATTTTTAGTAAAAGCATGGTTTCTACCTTTACAATTTCAATTTCCAGGGTTCCTATTTTAAGCCCTGTTCACAGATTTGTAGTGTTTGTAAATTTTTTGAGGTCTACCCCTTTTTATTCCTTTGGTAAGAATGATTTCTACAACTGGACTACATTTAATTACATGACGCAGCCGTGTAAGGAATAAGACAGTAACTTTCATTTTTTTTTATTCAATTGGAATAACTCAAAAAGAAGCTTGGGGTTTATTTTTTGTGACAGGGATCTTACCAACCTTCGTGCCATTGAAACCTAAATTTTATATACCACACATATGGAGAAGATACCATATACCGGTATTGTAGAGTAAGTTTTCCCCTAAAAATCTTTCCCCTCGGAAATAGGATCCTCCCCCGGAAAGAGGCTCTAGAATAGGATTTTCCTACGAAAACCCCCCACTCAGCTCAATTTTCTGTACCTTTCAAGCAGTGAGAATGATCTGTTTTTGTTCTTGGTAAAGAGAGACCATCTGTAATCCAACCAAGCATTCTTAGTATCTTTGTCCATTCACTGAATAAATTAACAATAATGTACGATTTTTAAAACGAGGTTAATTATTGACAAACAAGTTGATGAAACAAGAATTTCAGCAGTCTCATTTAAAGTCATCATTTCGTAAGTTCTATGGACGATATAAAGACCTTGTCAGCAAATACATTTTATCACTGAGTCAAATGCTGACTGACGTTTTTCATACCAATGGTTAGTCTATTATTTACTCGCTGAATTGACGATAGATTTTTTTCTGTTATTCCGATCCCGATCATGAACAATACTTCGTCTCTTCATGCATAATATACTGCATCATTGATGTTCACCTTTAACCACTTGATGACACAATTTGCACGCAAACAACATTTAAAGGCATCAATATGATAAACTCTTTCGAGCCATAAAGCCCTGTACCGGAAATTCGTGGTTCGTGCTCATTAAATCTTAGTCCGGATGATTCTAGAAATAGCATTTAAAAAGATATTGACTGGTAAAAATCTGTTTAATTTTCCCAGAGATCATACTAAGGCTACGTTTGACATACCAATAATCCATGATTCCTTTTTTTTTAAAATAAATAAATATACCTCATTTATTTTAACATTTTGTTGTACAAGTATTGAAAGTTCGAAATCAAAGAGAAGTAGGGTTTTTTTGTTCTACCGTATTCCTCTGGATCCTCCCATATAACGCAACATCTCGTATTTGTAACCAATGAAATTTGGCTATGACATTTCGAAATAAAAATGAGAGTGTCAAGTCAAAAATATGTGTATAAAATCTAGGATCTGAAATTTAAAGAAATAGGCCACCGATACAAACGTTCTGTAAGGATGGTATTTAGTTTCTTTCATTACGTTTCCTGGATGCTGTTTTCCTTAATCATTACTGCTTTTACAGAAGCATCCTTATCAACTTCGAAAGAACACGAGTTTTTCAATTACGAAGGGGAGGTTTCGTATGACAATCATACACACACAATTTCAACATTTATGCTGTCGTACACCATGACAAAAATCCGCTGCGCCGGGCATTGTCTCAGTGATTTACAGTGTAATGCTATAGAACTATGTTCTACACCTTACGGCGAGGAGTGTAGAATGAGCAGAGAGTGGAGAGATACTGGTGGTATTCCCGAACCAACATGTAGTCGATTTCAAATGGTACGTAATCATATTACAAATGGAAAATCGCAAATAAAAAGTTCATCTCTTCTGAGTAATTGTACATAAACTGTAAATGAAGAAATGTGTTTTATGATAGTAAATTAAGGTTCCTGGAATGTGCAGTCACCTTTAGTTAGATTGATTGATTGATTGTATATTGTTTAACGTCCTTCTCGAGAATTTTTGTCCCCCGCTTGAAAAGTGGGGGATATTAATTTGGGTTTGTCCGTCCGTCCGTCCGTCTTTCTGTCTGTCTGTAACGCTTTCGTTTCCACACGATATCTCGAGAACCCTTTGAGCTTTTGCAGTGAAATTTAGCATAGCTACTCCCTATGGACTAAAGAAGACCCCTATTGATTTTGAGGTCAAAAGGTCAAAGTTCAAGGTCATAAATAAGCAAATTCTGTCTGTTAAAACACTTTCGTTTCCACACGATATCTCTAGAACCATTTGAGCTATTGCAATGAAATTTTATACAACAACTCCCTGTGGCCTAATGAAGACCCCTATTGATTTTGAGGTCAAAAGGTCAAAGTTCAAGGTCGTAAATTTATACATTCTGTCTGTGTATAATACTATTATTTCCGGGCGATATTTCAAGAAGATTTTGAGCTTATGCAATGTAATTTTATATCAAAACTCCCTAGGACGTCTCTCGCCCCTCTCAAAGTGCCCCGCCCCGTTTGTTTTATTAGGCGTATTATAGTATTACATGTCGCTATTTTTAGCGCAGGGGCATGAGGTGAGTTATTGCGTAGAAAACAGGTTCTCGGTGGACTTTATGTTCTTATTACGTCTATTAGAACTGTTTATTAAAGGCTAAATAAATCAAACAGAATGGATTGTGTAACATTTTGAGAATACTGAACATGAAAACATGAATATATACATGTGTGTGACTTCACTTCTGCATATACTTCGCACTATGTAAAGCGATTCCATAGTCTTGTGGTTATGTCTCTCGCTTCAAATGTGAGGGGTCCCGGGATCGAATCTCAGGCGACCCATTCTTTTTTTTTTTTTAATTACTTTTTTTTTTACTAAATGATAGTATTCAGCATGTGAAATAAAAATTTCATGAGGTTATAAAATCAACATTACAGTGTGATAAAAATTCCATATTAAAAATCTTCTATACACATAACAAAGAATAAACAATCAAATCTTTATATGCATATTGACGTACATGTATTTTATTTGCTTCAGTATACATGTATACATTTAATAATTCTACAAATTCAGTCAGGGGGAGCCGACTTTTTCCCTAAGCGGGGGACACGAATTCTCTGAATTAGCTTGTTTTCACTCATATGGAGACGCCACCACTTGCCGGTGAAGAGCTGCAAATTTTGTCCTATATTCGGCACTAGGGGCCATTGTGCAGGGAGGGATATTTTTCGTGCCAACACCTTCTGCGATCGGGACCTCGGTTTAAACGGTCTCATCAGAAGGACAGGTCTTCACGTGTCACAGTGGGATTCGAACCCGCAACGTAAGAATCAACTCCCTACTCCGCGACTCTAGAGAAGACGCTCTACCACTGCCCCATGCGGACGACACCCTTGGTTAGAAGAAAAGAAACTGTGCAATGAAATATATTGAGATCGATAACGAACAGTAACCAAACTCAAAAGTCAATTTAATTACGATTTGTTTATTTAATAATGGTATTTTTTTCTCTCAAAAATGTACTGATAATTGTTGTCAATTACTGTCAATTAAAAGATATTTACATGTAAAGATGTTTCAAAAGATACTGGAAGGTACATTTGTATGTTTCGTAAGATTTATAATTTATATGAAAATAATGAACAATATTTCATCTCAAAATCCATTTAACAAATCATTAAAAGGGGATCAGGTGCCATAGAGGAGTGGGCATCCCCAGCCGACTCTTTAACCTCGATCGCTTTTGCTCTTTATCATAATCGGGGAATAACGAACAGATTCGTAGATATTCAATTTATATACTAGTATAACGACCTTTAAATCAATATTGCAAATATCTAATTTAAGCAAAAGATAGATTTAATTGTCTAATAGCGGCATTGTTTCGCCTATAGAACTTTCGAAATGATGACTTTAAACGAAACTGTTGATAGTCTTGTTTTTGTCAACAAGAATTGTGTTTGTAAGTTATTTACCTCGTTTCAGACATTGTTCGTAAGTAGAGCTTACGTATCGATCAACTGAAAGATAAAACCTCATTTGCAGGTGATGATTGTGTATTGCTACATATTTAGGGGAATCCAACGATTAAAATGTTTATAATTATGTTACCGTTAACGTCTTTTTCTAGTAAAATATCCAAGAGTGAAACAGGCCGTTGTGTCAGTTTATTTCATATTCACTGGAATACCGATATATCGTGTCGAGACAGGAAAGGAATAAAAAATTGTTAATTAATAAGTTGTCAATTGATACATAATACTACATCTAAAATTGAGTTCAGGGCGACAGCAAGTGTTTATGATGGAAATTTATACCTTATTGCCTTTAAGGAAAGCGGGGTTCTATCCTGAAAGAAAAAAAAAAGACTGATATACAGGAGAATAAACTAATGTTTCAGTAGCTCTCTATATCATAACTGTATTACATATGTATGTATATATTTATTACTGTCTCTTTGATCCAATAAAATGTTTATTTTAAAAGGACGACGAATGTGAAGGATCCGGTTATGTTGACAGAAAAACTGGTGTCTGCATTTATGGTAATATGATTTTTCTTCTTTTATTTAAAATTTTTCATAAAAAGGCCCAGTCTCTTATCATAATGTGTTATTTATATTCAAAATTAAAAAAAAAGTTAGAAAAAATTGTCTAGATCACATTTTTATTTTTCCCTTTTTATTCTTATTTGTTTGGACTATGTGAAATGCTTTTCTGGAGCCCTACTAACAATTCACTTATCTATTTAATATAAACTTTCCCAAATAATATCTCTTTTACAATGTTCCGATAATGTTTTCAGAAGAATGTAATGATTGCGACTGTGTATCGACGCATACCCAGAAGTCCGGAATTTATGGTGTTGTGTTGGCTGGTGAACAGAAACAAGTTTACTGCTCTTTCGAAACCCTTTATTCTTGGACTGTAAGAACTTCTTTTAGAGTAACATTGAATTTCATTAAAACCTTAATAAAAAGAGGAATGTTTGAATGGACTATTAAAAATTCAAATTCATTTCTTATGTTGATTTTTCTCCAGGTTTTACAAAGACGGTTAGACGGATCAGAGGACTTTTACAGGAATTGGACTGATTATGAAGTCGGGTTTGGGAACCTTGAGTCAGAATTTTGGTTAGGTAATTTACAAGTTTATACATGCGTATTAATATCGCATATCCTGATTTTTTAAATATGTTTTTTATTTAGAAATAATATTGATATGATATTTAAATATATGAAAATTGTCGTATTGTATTTTAAAACGGATACATTGTATTCCGTACATAGATTTTGAAAAAAAGAATATAAAATTAGCGAAAAAACGAAGTTCATCGACATGTTAAAGCATGCAAGTTGTTTGAAAGTCACCTATGTGAGACGAAGAATTAGAACATTTGCTTTGGAGTAAGGCGTTGATCCCTATCCCACACTACTCCCTTAATCGCATTTCCAAATTCGACCAACGCCAAACGGTATTTTAGGCAAAATGAAATTCTTCGGCGACAGTCAGAATTTACTGTATACGCAAGTAGTTTGTTAGATTGTTGTCCTTTTATCGTCAGCCGACTAGTCTTTTTAATTGTCGAACCGAGTTATATATTTTTGTTGCGTCGATGGTCGATTTCGTCAAATGAAGCTGTCATTGAATAGTCTACGGTCGACTAACTCTTTGTTGAGCAGATCGTCGGTCGATCGACATTTAAATCGAAATTTGATTTTCACCATCGGCAAACTTTTATTTAAAAAACGATCTTTTAAATAAAAGTTTGCCGATGGTGAAAATCAAATTGTCGCTCAGCTCTCTATGATCACTCAACGATTGTACACTGTAAGACTTTTAAATATTAAAACTTTTAAAGTTTTCTGCATTTCTAGGATTACTGTGACTAGTCTGCTCCGTGATTTCCAATACTAATGTCGGACAATCATTTTTTTTTTCAGCCAAAAATACGAAATTAATTTATTCGCCAAACCGATTTTTTTAGATCGCCAAAAATATTGCCGAATTCTATTGAGAAATGTTTTACAAAGATATTTTAAATCTTGTACAATTCCCCAACTCTACATGTATTAAATTCACCCACCCATATTTTCTACATACTTAATCTAATGTTTATTTACATGTTAAATTTTCAAAAATATTTGAGTAATTGATCTGTCGTTCGCTTTCTGGATCTTGAACTGTTCACAAATTTCTCATTTTATAACGTGACAATAAAGGAAACAAGTTTATCCATCAACTGACGGCAGATGGACATACCATTTTGCGAATTGAGTTGGAGGACCATGATGGTAATACTAGGTACGCTGAATACAACAGCTTAACTGTGGAAGATGCGAGTGACAACTACAGGATTCATGTGACAGGATATTCCGGAAATGCCGGTAAGATACAAATCAGTCCTTTCCACATGTAAAAAAGGACATAAACCACGGATCCCTCAAAATCCCAGCGGTGGAATCAGTGACTAGAAGGGAGAAAACATCCCCTAGTAACCGGTCACGCCCTGTAGACAAAACTTTCTGTTATCAAGTTCATTATTAAAATATAAGGGTTACACTTGGTACGAATCAAGTCCGCCAAAATAAGACCATGTAAAAAATCATGTGTTTAACTAGGTCATTATAGGACCATACAATTAACGAAATATCGACTTTGAACGAAGTTGTTGAAATCTATGTGACATGAATTTATCAGCAGTAGCATGCCTCGCTTTATATATTGATATAAAAGAGCAAGCTCTCCTCGAGTAGCTAAAATTAATGTATATGTACTTGTCCTTTGAGCATTGTTGTTTGCGTCATTGCCGCTAAAATTTAGACTATTATGTATCAAAGAAAGAAATTCACGCTGTTGATCTATATAGATAAACCCGATTTAGATGCAGACGCTGAAATTCGTTTCGAAATTGCGCATATGAACAGTTGCAAATATATTGTAGTACTTGTGTGTTTTGACATTTTTTTTATTCATCCATGTAGGTGACAGTTTTGCAGGGACATGTAGCATTTGTAACAACGGGATGCCTTTCAGCACCTACGACCGTGATAATGATAACCATCTGACTCTGAATTGTGCAGTATGGGGAAAGGGAGGGTGGTGGCACAACGCATGCCATAAATCGAATCTGAATGGACTGTATAGTGACAACAGATATGGACAAGGAGTGAACTGGGAAAACTGGAAAACTCTAAATTATTCACTCAAATCATCCATCATGAAAGTCAGGAAATATTAAGCGTTAGAATATAAAAATGATAGTCATCTGACTTTGAATTTGTGCATTTTGGGGGAAAAGGAGGCTTGGGGCATTATGCATTCGACAGAGCCATTATTTACACTCTGTATTGTCTTCTGATTTTTTAGTTTGCCTACTTTGACAAGGAGAACACGGCAGGTGTGACTCGTTTACCGAGGACGTTTTACCCCTCCATGGCACCTGGTCCAACCTCTAATACATTAGAGGTGTGTGTTTTCTTTGCTCTTGATTTGTACATTTCAATGAACTTTTGAGTTGAAATATTCTTCGTTTTCTCCATATTTCATTATGTTATTAAATATTGTTATGAAAACTTGTCTTATTCTGATATGTTTTGAATCATCAAAGAATTCTTTTGGCAAAGCTTTTGTCCTCAGCAATTGATTTTCTGACCTGTTGTGATCAAAATATTCGTACAATTGTCTAGAACTTGTCACACTGTATATCAAAGACATTACTTTTATAGTAGATACATTTAAAATATGTAATTATTTTGGTTACGATTGCTGTGAGTAATATAATTATAATTTTTCATTTCTGTTTATACTGATTAAACAAAAATTAAAGTATGTTATTATGTTCCCCAAACGAAGTTGGGGAACATATTGTTTTTACTCTGTTTCTTATTATTATGTTCCCCAAACGAAGTTGGGGAACATATTGTTTTTACTCTGTTTCTTCTTATTATTATTATTATTTTTCTTCTTCCTGGGAAAATTTTGTCCACGAGTGATCTTGTCAACTACACATCAGACTAAGGTAAAATGTTTTTAGGGTCAGTAGACATGTTATGTAGATTTGCCGAACAAAGGTCATTTTGCGCGCACGTGCTTGCAAGAGCGCGCACGTGCAACACGTGAAATGACCGATTTAATTGATTTTGGCGTAACTTTTTACATTTTTGATGAAATGCTTTGAAACTCGTAATATAAGGATATATTTGTGGCATAAACAATATGACATGGTCAAAATAGCAAGATCTCACGCGCATGCACGTGCGCTGCGCTCTGATTGGCTGAAACTAAAGTGTCTATATCTTTCTTGTTTTTCGACGAAATCCTATGAAATTTTGAACATAGACATGCATTAAGATATCCTACAACATGATATATTGCAATTATCATGAAAACACGTGCATGCACGTGCGCTGCAATCTGATTGGCTTAAACTTTAAATAGCTATAACTCCCTTGGTTTTCAACCAAACAGGATAAGATTTGGAACATAGATAGATATAATGAACTTCTACAAGAAGGTATGGTCACCATGAACATGCATACACGTGCATGGACGTGTGCTGTAATCTGATTGGCTGAAACTTTAAACAGCTATAACTCCCTTGGTTTTCAACCAATCGGGGTGGGATTTGGAACATAGATAGATATAATGGACTTCTACAAGAAGGTATGGTCACCATGCTCATGTATGCACGTGCATGCATGTAAAATGATTAAAATCAAAAATACACTTGAATGAGCATATTTCTTAATACTTTTGGATTAAATACTTTAACATTTAGTATATAAAAAAATATATAGACTGTGTACACAAGATTATATGATCATTACGCACATGCATTCAGATGCGCACGCGTGCAATGCTAAAATTTGAATGAACTTGGCATTGTCAAAGTTTCAAATGCATAGATTTTGTCCTATTCAATGAAGCTTACAGGGAATATGGCACCAAAAGGGAGTTGGGGAGCGTTTGGGGAACATCTGTAACGGTCCCCGTTACAATTAGCACTAGTTATTATTATTTTTCTTCTTCTTCTTCTTCTTCTTCCTGGGTACTTTTTTGTCCCGGAGTGATCTTGTAAACTACACATCCGACCTAGGTAAAACCTTTTTAGGGTCAGAAGGCATGTTATCTAGATTTGCGGAACGAAGGTCATTTTGCCCTCACGTGCTTGCAAGAGCGTGCACGTGCAACACGTGAAATGACCGATTTAATTGATATAGGCGTAACATTTTACATTTTTAATGAAATGCTTTGAAACTCATAATATAAGGATATATTAGTAGCATAGACAATATGACATGGTCAAAATAGCAAGATTTCACGCGCATGCACGTGCGCTTCGCTCTGATTGGCTGAAACTAAAGTCTCAATATCTTTCTTGTTTTTTGACGAAATCCTTTGAAATTTTGAACATAGCCATGCATTAGGATATCCTACAATATGATATATAGCAATTATCATGAAAACACGTGCATGCACGTGCGCTGCAATCTGATTGGCTTAAACTTTAAATAGCTATAACTCCCTTGGTTTTCAACCAAACAGGATGGAATTTGGAACATAGATAGATATAATAGATTTCTACAAGTAGGTATGGTCATCATGCACATGCATGCACGTGCGTGTACGTGCGCTGCAATCTGATTGGCTGAAACTTTAAAAATCTTTAACTCCCTTGGTTTTCAACCAAACGGGGTGGGATTTAGAACATAGATAGATGTAATGGCAGTAATGGACTTTTTCAAGAAGGTATGGTCACCATACTCATGTATGCACGTGCGTGCACGTGAAATGAGTAGAATCAAAAATACACTTGAATAAGCGTATTTTTAAATACTTTTAGATTAAATACTTTAATATTTAGTATTTAAAAATATATAGATTGTGTAGACAAGATGATATGGTCATTACGCACATGCATTCACATGCGCACGCGTGCAATGCTAAAATATGAATGAACTTGGTACACTTCTGGGTAAACGTTGTTTAAGTCTCAAATGCATTGAGTTTGTCTTATTTAATGAAGCTTACAGGGAATATGGCACCAAAAGGGAGTTGGGGAGCGTTTGGGGAACATCTGTAACGGTTCCCGTTACAATTAGCACTAGTTACTATATACAAATAAGACATGAAAATCATTGGCATAAGATTATACATCAAACATAGAATAATGATTGGAGAAATACAAATCGAAAACAAGTTAAAGTTATAGGGCGAATTTGCCTAAATTATATTAGGTTCTTTGTTTCTTGTCTATATGGTATTTCTTATTTAAAGTCGAAACATGCATTTAAGTACAAAATAACACAAAAATGTTTCTTACAGAACTAATATAAAACTGGGCATCTCTCCTTGTTTGGCCAAACAATATAATTTTGTGAGAAGTAAAAAATGACTTTATAAATCTGTATTAATTCATGAAATTTTTTGAGAAAGGTTTGCTTTTTTGTTCGAATAATGTTTCTTGGAAAACTTATTTTTCTATTTTACACAATAGCAATTCTCAAATTAGATTTCCTTTGAAAGAATTATTGAAATTAAATATGGACAAGTTACTACAAGAATCCTTTTTATTATACCCCCCGCAAACGAAGTTGGGGGGGTATATAGGAATCAGCTTGTCCGTCCGTCCGTCTGTCTAGCTGTCCGTATGTCTGTGCAAAAGTTTCCGCTCCATATCTTTCGTATGGATACACTTGGTAGGTTCTAATTTCACACAGAGATTGCTCATTACCTAAGGGTGTGTCATGACCTTAATCGAAGGTCATTCAGGGAAGTTCAAGGTTACTGGAAGAAAAAATTCATAATTCGTGTATGGTCCATATCTTTCTTATGGATAAACTTGGTAAGTTCCTATTTCACTCAAAGATTCCTCATGACCTAAAGGTGTGCCATGACCTTGACTCAAGGTCATCTGTGCAAGTTCAAGGTCACTGAAAAAAAAATTTCATAATTCGTGTCCGGTCTATATTTTTTTTTATGGAAAAACTTGAATCTACTACTTCACAGAAACATTGCTTATGACCTGAGGTTGTGTCATGACTTTGAACCAAGGTCATTTATCCAAGTTCAAGGTCACTGACAGAAAAAGCTCATAATTCGTGTCTGATCTGTATATTTAGTCTATTTTTTTTATTAGGCTGCGCCTTCGTTTCATTTATAAAAAATATAATGAGCAATTACATTTGCACTAAAAATGTTTTGGCATTTCTCTCTTCTCTTAGATCCATAAAATATTCATGATTTAGCACTTCTGAACCCAGCGGGGGTATTTTGTCCCGTTTGGACAGTTCTAGTTGAATATGTTTTCTCTACCTTGGCATAAAAACTTTTAATTTTTTTGCGTTTTAAGCTATAGATAAAATCTACATGACGTTGACAAGGTAAATCAAAACGATGATGTATATAACCCTTATAGTGTAAAGATTTTGCTTGTTTCACTGGGCACTTGAGCTTGTAATCATTTCCTCATACTAATCGTTATGAAAAATCTTTCGATTAATGAAATAATAACAAAAATATTCTTAGTGCAGTAAGTGTTAATGAAAAATTTCAAACTTGAGAAGGGAACATGGAAAATTAAAGCTAGGTTCTGAAAATAAGAAACACATAAATTAAGATGAAAATCAACCTACATAACTTTTTTAACAGAGCAAATCTTTAATCTCCTTTAAATCAACCAAATAAAGAATTAAATTCTGATATATTGTTAGTTCATAATAACATACATTGGAAATAATAAATAAATGTTTTTTTCATATATTTCGTGAAAGTTTTGGTTCGCCGATAGGCATGGTTTTGACATCACTGAGAGAGAGAGAGAGAGAGAGAGAGAGAGAGAGAGAGAGAGAGAGAGAGAGAGAGAGAGAGAGAGAGAGAGAGAGAGAGAGAGAGAGAGAATTAATTCATAATAATTTGTACTTTTTAAAATTTTGTGCATGTTTATTTTATCAATTAAAACATTTTTGTTATGCAATCCTTTGTTGTTTAGTACATTATATAGCATAATAGATTTGAGTAGTAAGAAACTTTACATTAAGTTACCTGTAACTGTACATAAAAGTTGACAAAACTCTCAATTCTTAACGTAATCGTCAGCTTTTTTGTCATTACAAGTAACAATGTACATGTTTTAAATGTTGAAAACGATACATAAAATGCAAAATGTTTTCTGAATTTCATTAACAATAAAAACAGGCAAATATTTCTTTTTTAATTTAAAACAAAATTATTCATGAATATCAGACATTTGTTAATACATTCAACAGTTTATCATCTTTAGAAATGACAAATTAAATGCAAAAGAGACAATTATTATTTTTCTATATTGTTCCAACTATCTGATTGGCTCAAACTAGATCACATGATTAAGTACATGTA